GCGCTTGTGAATACGCAAAATCTGAGGATACCCTTAGCTCCATAGATATATAGAACTTTTCACAAGGAACTTAACAAATATTTTTGTGAATACATAAATTCTAGAATTATAGTATCTGAATGTTGATCTTTCCAGTTTTAGTCCGTTGTAATTTGTAGTGAAGAAATAGATATTATTGCTTAAACACAATAACAAGACATTAATACTTAGAAGGAAACAGAATTGGAAATTCTAAATTGAAGAAGAAATTGATGGGGAAGGGGTTGGAACTTTAACAAATGATGGTAAATATTTCTTGTTAATCAATAACAAGCTGCGATCATTGTAAATCTATGAATAATAATTACAATGACTATTTATTTTAATTTTAATTTATTTACAAAATAAAGTATTTTAAATTTTCATGAATATAATATTTTTTAAGATATAAACAAAATACTAACTTTATTTCAAATTCCTATTCTTATTTTTAATTTTACTAATATTATTACATAAATATTAATTAATAATTTATTTACTTTAATGCTCACTGAAAGCCAGAGTTAATCATCTATTCACTGTTTTGTTGATGGTAAGGATTGTAAAATAAATTAAGGATTTAAAAGTCAATAGATAAACCTCTTGTAAGATAATAGTTAAACTTCAGAGTTATTTCTAAAATAAGGTTAGGAATGATTTGATATTATTAAAGCCAAAATATTGCACTCTCTAGGAAGAAACGAAGAAGCTTTGTTAAATTTAAGCAAGGCCATTGAACTTGATTAAAAAATGATAGATGCTTATTTTACAAGAGGTACAATAGGTAAAAATCATTAGGGAATATCTACAGATTACTTAATCAAACTTAATTAGCTTTATAAGATTACAAAAAATGCATATCAGAAGGAACTAATAATCATCAGGTCTATTATAACTTAGGTAACGACTTTATTAAACTCAGGTTTATTATTAGCTGAAAGTAACAGAAAGGAAGAAGCTCTTTAATATTTTGATTAATCTCTTAAATATTCAACAACTTTGGAAACATTAATTAACAAAGGAATTTTATGCATCTAACTCAATCTTTTTGAAGAATCCCTCGAAACTTTTGAAAGGGCCTTAGATATAGATCTTAAATGCCATATAGTTTATTTTAGTAAAGGTAAGTGTAGAAATTAAATTAATAGGTTATGCCTTGTTTAAGCTCGATAGATTGAAAGAATCTCTGGAATGTTATAATTATGCAATCAAACTTAATAATTACTTGATTAACGGTTATAATAACAGAGGTAAATTTCACCATCATTTTTAAAGCCGTTGTTCTTTGTAAATTAGGCTAAGAGAAGGAGGCTATTGATAGTTTAAAAATAGGTTTAAAATTATCATCTGATGATCCAATATTAAATTTAAATTTGTTTAAATTATACCGAATCTAAAAACAAATCGAGGAATCTAATATTATCAAAAATAAACTAATTGGGATTGAACCAATGTGGTAAGAAATTGAAAATTTAGAATTAATTGAATCTGTACTTGAAACCACCAAAAATGAGATCAATCTGTTATCAACTAATAATTTAGATTAATCTCTAAGGCAATTAAATAATTATTTTGAAAGAGTTCAAAATGCATATAAAAATTTGTGGAATTATGATTTAGAACTTGAAAAAATTCAGCCTCAATTTAATTAATAAGATACATTTTCAATATCTTAAATACTTGAATAATCTTTGAATACAGAAGAAACAATTATAAAGCATAAGCTACTTTATCTGTAAGACAGAGTTTATTTCTAATCTTTATATTGGAGATTACTCAATTACCTTAGAATCATTTAAATAGCTCAAACTGAGGAAAGTAACGAAAAGCTAAAAACAATTGTTGACCAAATTAATAGTTCTAATTAATTACTAATCCCCTCAGAAAATGATAGAATGAATTTCAACAATAAATCAATGATTTAGAGCTATATTCTCACTAGTTCATATAATAAAGATATTAATAATAATGAAAGTTAAACTAAGAAAATTTCCAATAATTCAGCAGTTTACTAAAGAACAAGAAGTGCTTCCAGAAGAACAACAAAAAAACCTATTATTGATAAATCAAAATCATAACCTTCTTAAATGAAAATAAAAGGAGAAAGAAATTCAATGTCAACTAATTAGAACATCTCAAGTAAAATATATCCTGAAAAGCGAACTACATATTAATAAAAGGATAAGAATTATATTGAGTTTAAGCCTATTCTAATATCATTAGAAATTGTTAAATTAATTAACGAGAGTTTAGGGGTTAAATAATTTTCGGATTTATAGATTAGAAACATTATAAAAGTAATTAGTAATAAAGTAAAAAATCTTAAGGAACTTGATGTTGAAATTTAATATGCTGCTTATGAATTATCAAATAGAAAATTAGAATAGAAATAAATTAGCAGTTAAATATAATAGATTTAAAAAAAAGAATATGAATTAAATAGACTTTATTATATTGATTTAAGGCAATGGTAACAAGGGATCGATGATACTATTTAGGTTCTACATTATTTTAAAGACAATTACCGAACCTTAATAGAACCACTATAACAGGCCCTTAGATTTTAAATCTAAGCCAGTTCAACATATGTTAGAAAGTCAAATATTAAAAATATAGAATAAAAAGTAGCTCAAGTTGAGAATAGTTGCACATGCTTCATTTTTTGATTTTAATAAAAATGACATTATAAATCAAATTATGAAAAATAAAAAATTATAATATAATTGAAATTAAGAGAAAATATTCTGTTTTACAATTCATATCCAATTTCAAATATCTTCCTTTATAGAATCGTTTTTATAATAAATAAACTTAAAACTAAATACCATACTTCTCAATAAAATTTAGAAAATATTACTTAATATATCATTTCCAATATAGTAATAATATATATATGAGATTTAATATTACCCAATTAATATTAAGATTATGTATTTTTCCATTACCATTCTGCTATCTATTTAAAATAAAAAATAAAAAATGATTTAAGAGTGTCATTTTATAATTGAATTTTGAATTATTTCGAAATACACGAAGCCCTTTTAGCTTAATTTTATTAATGAATTAGTATAGTACCAATTTTATCCAAATTATAATTGCTTTTATAGTTAAATAATAAAATTTCAATAATGGATTAAGACTCAGATAATTCAGAAATCTACATTATAGTGTTTGTAATTATATTACTAGTTTTCATGGGTATTGCTTTATTCATTTATATTCGTAAATAACAATAAAACAGAAATAAAAAACTTGAAGAGGAAATTAATAAATTGCAATAATATGTTAATTCTTGTGATCGTAAACAAGAAAGTCGAACAGATAATGTTAATACCTAACCATAAATTTTAAGCTAAACCAATTCTTTCACAAAAACTAATCGGATGTATTAATAGGAACAACCAGATTAAAACAAATAAACTGGTAAGATGTTTCTTGATCTTGAAAAATCTGAAAGAGAAATAATTAATTAGCAGTCTCCTCATTCCCCAAAATCCCCTCCAGATGAAGAAGAAAAAAAACAAACAATAGAGAGTGGAAGAAAAAAAGTGGTTGGAATTAAAAAAAAAAACCTTTAAATAGAAATTCCTTAAGATTGAATCTATAATTAATACGTATATTGTCCTCATCGAAAAAATTCAATTTAACTTAAATATGTTTTGAGCAATTTTTATTATTATTCTGTAAATTCATGAAGCTAATTACTAATATATATCCTCGATATCCCTCTTAGTTACTCTTTAAATTAATTAATCTATCTTATAAAATCATCAGATAGAATTTAACTATATCCAAACGAAATTCCAAACTCTGTCAAACTTTTATTGCTGACAATTTTAAAAATTAATTATAAAGTTTATTCATTTGCATTTGAACCAATTAAATTGATTTTAAATTTTTCTAATCTTGGCAAATACTATATTGCATTAATTATCTCCTCTAAATTTTATGCTTTTAGAGGAGATTTAATGGCGTTGATTTACAAACTATTTAAAGCCATAAATTTAGGAAATATATTTCCAATACCTCCCCAATTATTTTATTATCTAATTGTATTACATATATAATTACAATTCTAATCGAAGTTTTGGAACATAACTATTTATCCCTTTTAAATCATCTATTCCCTTTACTTTTAAATATTTTTAAGAATCAATAATTTTTTATTATTCTTAAAAATCTTAATTGAGCATATCATTAACAATTGAATGGAGACATTCTACTATTTAACTTCCTTTAAGTTCCCACAAATATTCTTTTTCATGTTAAGACTTTAGGTGCTATTGTAAAATGAATTCTTTTATTAATTCTTTTTCCCCTTCGAAATCAGCTTAAAATAAGTTTTTCATTCTCTTAGTATCATGTTCTAAATTCTCTTGCTATAAATAGGTTTCTATTTCCTGAAAATTTAAATATTCTATTACTAACTATAAAGCTAAAATGAGTTCATTAAATTTTGGTTATAAATTTCCTAGACTTAATAAGATAGATTGGGCATCTTTATATCTCTATCAATCTTACTACTTTTTTACCTTCTCTTTCTAGATTTGAATTTTTTCAATAGTATTCTACATTATCCACAGAAACTCATCATATTTCTTAATATAAGCTTTGCAATTTTAATGGTTCTAAAGTAAACAATCAATACAAATCAATCCATGGTCTTAACATAGCGGGTCAGCACACACTAGTACAAGTTTTTAATTATGATTTTAACATAAATGAGGTTTATTTATGATAAACACATCTTTTTTTTTTGAATTCATTGAATTAATAAATTTGAAATAATAATTAAATTCTTACTTTTTTTCTAATTTAAATTCTTTAATATATTCTTATAAGATTAGGTGATTATCAATTTTTATACTTGTCTAATCTAAGAGAAACAAGGTTAGAAGAAATTTTGATTTTAATTAAAAAATAAAATTAGTATAACAATAGATGAGTATTAAAGATGTATTATATAACTCAATTATTTTCAATTTTCCTAAAAGCTACATCAAGTTTAGAGTAAGATTTGAATTTCCATTTATTTTGATTAATGCTGAAAAATATAACTTGTTTGAGCCTTTAAATAACTAAATTTTAATTGAACATGTCTTCAAATAATTTTGGATAATTTAGAACAAAGGTATATTCAATATAATCTTATTCTTAATTTAATACAATCATTGGAAGTTCTAGTTGACTTCTGTTTTAAGAGATTACCATTATCAAAATAGTTTATAGCCAGAATACTGAAAATAAATTTTTATATCCTTATATTGTTAATTTTTTTAAACATTAGAGTTTTACCCCTCCTGATAAATTGATAATTTTCTATAGTTGATTGTATGGAGAGAAGGTTTGAACAGTATAATCCTTAAGAAACAATGCAGATAAATAATGATAATTTAGCTGAATTATTTTAAATTTTGAATCTCCTTTCAAAATAAGTTTAAAAAGATGATTTGAATAACTTGTAAAATATTTTTTCATTAAAGAGGCTTATGATTCTTTAGGGATATTATGGTTATTTTTAGTATCATTTAGAATGATTAAAAAATTTGGATAATCGCTGAAAATTTCACAATAATTCATTTGCATTGAATATTATTTCTTATTTTTCCCTATTATTTCTCTATCATAGATGTTCTTTTGATAGCTTTTCAATCGATTTAGTATGAATGTCTCTATAGATTGATTGTTAAATTAGAATTCCCTTAAAAAATGTCTCAAATTACAACCTTGACAAAAGTCTTCATTATAATTAAAAATCTATGACTATTTATGAATCTGTTTTATTTCAAATTACGAATTGTTATATCGAAAATAAAAGTAGGGCTTGTCTACAATTTATGGTAAAAGTTAATCTAAATTTTAAGGTATAATTACCCCAACCATGATCCTTTAATGTGAGTAAAAATTGAGATCTTAATGTTTTATCAAATTGATATTAAACAATGCCTAGCCATAATGAGACTAATAAAGTTAGTGAGATTGAAAACCAATCAAATTGTTGGTATACTTTTTATATTCCTAATCTAAAACATGCCATGATTAAGATTTATGGTATGGAGTATAAGAAATCCGAACCAAATAACAACATTAGTTGTGTTGCCATAATATTTGCACCAAAGATGTACATTTAATGAGAAGTTGCACCTTCATCTAAATTTATTTATACTAGGCAAAACAGCAAATTTAATATATTTGATCCTTCTAGAATGTACTTTGGGTAATATTTAACGGCGCATACAGTAATAAGCGCAACTAATGATTAAGTTAAATCTAATGGTAAACTATTATTATCATTTCCTATAATTTTTAATATAGCTGAAATTGTGTTCATAATTATAAATCCAGAAGAAACTCCGTATAGAATTTATTTTCTCATTACAAGCCTTGTTGATTGATATTGTACTTCTAATAACTGCTGATTAAACCTGAGAGTGAATTTATTCATTTTTATAATTTGATGTATAATTTAATGTAATTGAAAGTGGATATAAGTAATATTAATTTAGATTAAAAATACATCAAGAATGATTAAAACGAATTTTCTGATAAAATATGGTTACCAAAGCAAAATGTTAAATTTTTCTTTGCTGAACTATGCTTAAAGCAAGATTAAAATACTATTAAAAAATAGTAAAATCATTAGTAATAAAAAGAGATACTGATTTGGATATTTGATGTAATAAATAATCATCCTAATTATTATTTAGATCTTTATTAAATCCATTCTGTAATTTTTGGGATAAGTTCAAGTATTTCTTCCTCTTGAACACAGTTATGCCACATCTAATCACAGTGTATGATTTATTTGTCTAAAGAGGGACTTTACTTCATTAGTTCTTAGCCAACATCAGGGTCGACGACTTTATCCATGCCTGCAGTAATCACTAAAAATGGTTTCTAATATGAAGAAAATGTTTGGGGAAGGGATCTCATAGTTGAAACCAATGTTCTTCCTGTTCCAGGTAGCACTGCCACTAAAGTACAATAAGGATCTTTAAGATTTTCTTCTTAAATTTGAGGATTTCGTGATCCCGGCTATCTTACTGGAGGAAAAGGATTCCATGTCGGGCAACAAGCTCCAAATATCAGACCTAAGGACTTCATAAAAGATTAATTATATCGATTGTCCATGATGGCTGGAGTTATTAATATTGTTCCTTCACATTAATTGGACTACCCCATTAAATATGAAGCCATTCCTCCCATTGATTGTCCCAAAGTAAATAGTGGTAAACCAGGATAAAGATTACGTATTTTTTATATAAATTGAATGCAATCATTTTCTAGTTACTCTCTTGACTCAAGCCAGCCTCTAATTCCTTAGCTTTTTCCAAATCCTCTAAAATCAAATCCTACTGTAATACTATTAGCTTATTTGCTTACAGCCTAAGCTATATGAGCATATAAACCAAGATGCTCATTCAAACCGTGAAAAAATACAGTAATCGATTTTGGTTATTATGCGGTTATGTTGCATCTGTAAGTTGCTAATTTAATTTCTTATCCTTTTTGCGTAACTTAAAAATTGATAAAATTTTCTTCATCCCATTTGTGATTACCAACAGGATTGGGCTTCCGATATTTTTCTTCTGGAACTGCATTTTAAATCATTTAATTTCTTGTATTTGGATCTGATGAATTACTCATGGGCAGATTATGAAATTTAAATATTATTAAAATAACATTAGCAATTGAAACTTATTTATTATTTATTTTATAAATAATGATCAGAAAAAAAAATGTATTGTTTTTCTAGAATTTATTAGAATCATTAAATATTTGTAAAAGAATAATAATAAGATTATGAATTAATAAGATTTTCAACTTCTTGAAGAGAAAAAAAACAATTAAATATATGGTTTAGATCAAATAGAAAAGGAACGATTAAACTTTTTATGGGGGCTCTGTCATAAAGGCGATTTAACAATTAATAATGCTCTATAGATAATGGAGGAGGAAAAGGGTAAAGAAGAAGTTTGGGTTGATTAATAGATCTAAGAAAAAACTTAAAAATTGAAAAATCTAAGAGTCTAGTTTGAAGACTTTTCCAAAGTGAACGAGTACGATGCTACATCAGATATCGAAAATATTGATCTTTCAATTAGAAATATAGAAGACTAACTATAAAATAATAGAAAATGGAATTTTGATTAAAATAGCAAGTTAACCTTACAAAGCATAGAAAAATTAAATAATTTAGTTTCGTAAAAAGATTAGCTTATTGTGCAAAGAAATTTAGAATAATTTAAGGATACCTGTGAAAATTAAAATTATCTTAATTATCTTCTAAAATATCAACAAATAAATAAGAACATTTCGTAAAAGTATTAATTTTACAAAAAATTACAAGTTTTGAAACGAATTGAATAAGTATATGCATCAGGCTTCAACCATGATGGTAATATATTGGTGACTTCCTCCTCTGAAGGCTTGTATTTTTGGGAATTTTCAGAAAATAATTATACATATTTATGTAATCTGTGGACAGCCACGCTATAAGTAGGAATTTTATTCAGTAAATTCTAAGATCTATTAATTACCTATGACCTTTTAGGTTAGTTCGGAATAGTTAAGATGATAAATGGAAAATGGAAATTAGAATAACTAATACAAGGACATCAAGATTCGATATGTTCGATTATGCTATAATAAAATGATAGTTAGATAATAACAGCGAGCTAAAAAAATGGTATAAAATTTTGGTATTTAAATACTTTTAATAACTGGAGTTGTTAATATAACTTTGAGTTTAATAGCAATTATTTATCATATGTGACTGGAAACAATGGAAATTATTTAGTTTCTGGCACCTTTGATGGAAATATCTCAATATGGTAATACTAGGATATAAATATTGAAAAAATAATTATTAAAAAATTTTAAAGAATTCTAAATGCTCATCAAAGGACTATTAATAATATTACATTTATCAACTAATAAAAGTTTTCAAGTTTAAGTTATTAAAGTGAAATCAAAATATGGGAATAATCTCAATCAAATTATTTGTTTAATTAAAAATAAGTAATTAAATTTAATGGTCTAAACTATTGGAGTGTTTTCACTTCAAAATTAACTTATATTCATCACTAAAATTTATTATTTTGCTGTACAGGTAATCAAATTAAAATCTTTAAATTAAATAGGGATGGAAAGTTTGATATAATGACAGAGATTATAAAAGAAAAAGAAATCTATGCATTTAGTGTTACTTAGGATGGAAAGCTAATAGCATACTCAAATCCAATTTCTTTAAAACTAATTATTAAATAAGCAATTGAAATATAATGATAATATTGAAAGAATTTAAAATATAATTAATAACATTATCTATTTTTGTTAACTTAAAATAATTATCACATATTATCAGAATGCTTAATTAGATCTATAATTTATTTAAATTCACTATTGGGATTAGCCAATAATTTTTAAGGATGATCAAATTCAGTAATTTATCCATCATTTAATACCATAATTCTATCTGAATTCATGATTGTGGCTACTTTATGAGCAATTGAAATCATAGTAACATTCTAAAAATATTTTTAAAATAACTAAAATAATAAATAAATGAATTACTTGTTTAACATGTTCTTCCGTTTATGAATCTATATTAGAAGTAGCTTCATCCACTAAAACAATATTTTTATTTTCTAATATGCATCTAACGATGTTTAATAATTGTTTTTCACCTAAAGATAGATTACTTCCTTATAATGCAATTTCACTATATAATCCTTGTTGTTTAAAACTCTACATCTCTAATAGTCCACATTATTAAACTATTTCTTAAATATATGACTCTTCAAATTAATTTAAAGGATCTAAGTTTTATTTTAGACTTCCCATAAATATAAGTGGATCTTATGGAATTATTCCAAATTTTTATCTTTATTCTTTTATTGAATATTGATCAATTTTATTTTTTTCTATTTCAATTGAACCTTCTATCTACTCTAAAATAGCAGTCAAAGCTAAAATTATAGAACTTTTGCCTGATCCAGTTTTTCCAACTACTCCGATCTAAACTTATAATTTTTTATACTTTTTCTTTGTTTTTTAATTTAAAGGATAATTGTTGTAGGACACTTTTTGAGTTTGGTCTATATTGAAAAGTACAATTTTCAAGCTTTAAAACTGTGTTTTCACTTTCATTTTATTTTAAACCCTCTTATTTTTCAGATATTCGAGGAATAAATCTTTCATCCAAATCGACATTACTTATTTTTAAATATTAAGTACTTAGCTAAGTGTAGACATCTTTCAAAGCTTATTAGATACATTTATATGTTGCCATAGGATATTGACGCATTTAGTACTAAAAGTGAAAGCTCTTGCATTTTATTTAAAACCAGAAAGGTTTTATCACTATTTTTTCCAGGAAAAAAAAACTAACTTAAACAAATAATGTACGCATATTATGAATAAAAAAGCTTAAAATATATTTGTAGATGATCCTGCCAGAGATTAATACCAATATTGAATCCCATCTAAGTTAATTTAATTTCCCAAATCGGCATCGACATTTATTTACTATTAAGCAACTATTTTTTCTAATGGCAGGCAAGTTCGTGCGTATGTTATACCTCTTACAATTTATTAAAAGAAGGAAAATATTGGGCTTTTTGAGACTGCCTCAATTCTAGTTATTTCTCTTAAACATCTATAGTAGATTATCGTTAAATAAATTAAACCAGTGAAAAAGATAAGCAGCAAAGGTAGAGCAGCAATATTTAAATATATGAAGCTTTCTACTAATGGGATTAAGAGGTTTATTATTTAAATACTAAAATTTTAGACTTCATTAGGAAACTCTAAGTCGATATTGTACATATCTTTGCTTAATCTATTCATTAGCCTTCCTATAAATATAGTGTTATAAAATTTTGTATATGATGCATTAAGTAATCGATTTATAATGGAGCCATGAATTTTTCTTGAGGTAGATAAACCCATCAATAAATAATAAGCATTAATTAATACAACTGCCAGGCTGACAGGTAATTATGTAATTGGATAATAAATTTAGGCAATTTTTTTATACTCTTCATCTGGTACGTTTTCTTAAGCCAACTTATCATTACCATAAAGTTAAAAGCCTAACACTATTGCGAAATACACAAGAGTACATAACGGTGCAAAATATTTCCCAATATAAACAAAAACCTATTTGTAAACTGTGAGGGAAATATTCCCTTATTCTTAATCTTCCTTTTATATTAAACTCTAACTTGCCTCTTAATTATCAATAAATTCAGGCTTTACTAATTTCTATTCATTTTGATTTTCCACCGTTTCCTTTTATTAAGTATTGTGATTTCCATTGGAACTCATAGTTTAAGGAAATCCACCTTATTTAACGATTCTTCCATTCTCAATAAAATAGATAACATCACAACCTTATAAATTAGATACAGAATTAGTAAATAGGATTCTGGTCTTATTTTTAAGATATCCACAAAAACATTATTGATGTATTTAATATTTAACTTTAATATCTAAAGCACTTGTAGGATCATCTAATAAATAGATATCTGCATTATTATAAATGGCTCTAGCTAAATTAATTCTTTTTTATTATCCTCCAGATAAATTATCACCTTTTTCACCTAAAATAGTATCATCTCCATTTTTAAATGAAGCTATATCTCTTTCTAATCCACAAATTTTAATAACTTATTTATATTTAAGTGCATCAAATGAATTCATAAAAGTTATATTTTTCTTAATACTTCCACTAATAATCCAAGGTTCTTAGGTTGCTACACTAACAGTACCATTGACTATGATATTACCTGATTATTTATCAGTTTCTCCTAAAATAGATCTCAATATTGTAGACTTTCCTGAAGCAGAACTAATTAATATATAAATTTAATTCTATACTTTCCAACAAATGCAACATATTATCCTTTTTTAATTTCTACATCTATGTCTATATTAAAAACATTATTATCATTTATTTGTTCATTTTCATCTTTGATTTCTATAACATCTGAATTCATTTAATCATTTGTTTTCCAACTATAAACACCCTTATTTATTTTTATTGCAAAATTACTATTACTTTCATTTTCACCATCATATAATCCTTCTACAATATTACATTCCTTCTAATCAAAATAATTATTTAATCTTGCCATTGAGTTTCTTGACACTTAGAAACTTTTATATTAATAAGGTAAATTAGATAAAATATTGGAAATGTTTGAGTAATTTGACATCATGATATTAATAATCTCAAAGCTAATAGGGCTTGTTAAAAAAAATACTAATTCCCATGTAAAGATAGCAACTAAACTTTGAATAAGGGGAAGAAATATCATCATCAAAACTTCGTTTTTCAATTGCAGCAATTCTTTTTCACGTTAAATTCTTATCTATAATTTTTATAATTAATACTCTTTATTCAAAGAATTCTTCTAAAGTATTCAGTTTTATTTATTTTGCATAACTGAGGGCTTCATCAACAGCTTTCATTCTATTATCTTTGGCTACCATATATCTTTTTTAGAGTATTCCATAAAAAATTCCAAATAATATTCCTATAGCTGCTTGTAAAACTGAACCGACTGCTGGAATAACTGCCTAACCTTCTAAAGTAACAAAGACAACAATGAAAGCAATCAATAGTTATAAAGGTACTGTAAATAAAATGATGGCATAATAAAAATAATTCGAAGCTTAATGTATATCAACCTACATCATATTAATAAGCTCTCCAGTTGAATAATGCTTTGATCTCTATAGAGGAAATTTTAATGTTTTTAAAAGGATTTCCTAAGATAAAGCTCCTTGCAATTTAATACTCAGTAAGCATATATAAAAGGATTAATAAGGTTTAAGTAATGAAAGAAATAACTTATAAATTAGTTAAATAGTAACAAAAAGCAACATATTTCCTGCTGCAGGCTTTTGATCCTAGCCATAAGAAAAAAATTATATGGAATGTTTGGTTATGAATGGCTAACAAGAAGAAAGAAGAGCAATTAATAAATAGAGAATGGTGCAGAATAAAATCAACCCTAAAATGAATACAATATGCGATTACCTTTGAAAGAGTAAAACAACTGATGCCACAAGCATTATTATTTTTATACGGATTAGAATTTTGCATATGATGTCTCCATGTTGCAGTCTTGATCAATAATTGCCATATCTGATTGTGTGAGCGGCTTCTTTCTGCCTATCTAGAGTTAATAATTCAAAATAGTTAAGTACTGCTAATAATCGATATATCCAACCAAAAAAAAATATGTTACAACAATTTTTTTGATTGAATTCGATTTATTTGTCGACATCTAATAATTAAACCTGATCTCTCAAGTTCATAAAATTTATCATAAATAATTAATATTGATTCAGTTCCTTAATTCCTTGAATTTATTGTAAAAAAACTAAAAATTATCACAAAATAAATTATTCAGAGTATTTAAAAATTATAACCATTTATAATAATAATCCTCTGCTTTATAAACCAAAAATGTCTTTTTTACTTGTAATAAAAATTTGGAGAAATATGAATTGAAAAAAATACTTTGCCCAAAAATCAACTACTATGTTTTATTTGACAATAATTTACTCAAAATAATGATTAGAATTCTTTAAGAGTAATAGCAAATTAAGTATTATTAGTTTATTCGTTAAGTTTCAAAAATTAAAAAACAACAAAATCCATGTTTTTATTTGACTAGATATATTAATGGTTATTAGTCATTATTAATTGAGAAAAACGAGGCCAACATAACAAAAATAAGTTTTTCTATATTATTTTATAAATACAATGACTCTTATTTTTTTGATTATATTAATTTATATAAAATGCCTATTATTTTTTTTTTATAAAAATTATTAGGAATTATCATTTAATGTTTAAATAAAAGTTATATAGTTAATTGCTTTTTACTGAAGTATTATATTTATGAAAAAACCTATTTAAATTTAAACATATATATGATCAATCACAGTGCTTCTGAATGCTTAATTAGATCTATAATTTATTTAAATTCACTATTGGGATCAGCTAATAATTTTTAAGGATGATCAAATTCAGTAATTTATCCGTCATTTAATACCATAATTCTATCTGAATTCATGATCGTCGTTACTTTATGAGCAATTGAAATCATAGCAACATTCGAAAAATATTTTTAAAATAACTGAAAATAATAAATAAATGAATTACTTATTTAACATGTTCTTCCGTTTATGAATCTATATTAGAAGTAGCTTCATCCACTAAAACAATATTTTTATTTTCTAATATGCATCTAACGATGTTTAATAATTATTTTTCGCCTAAAGAAAGATTACTTCCTTATAATGCAATTTCACTATATAATCCTTATTATTTAAAACTCTACAATTCCAATAAGCCACATTATTATGCGATTTCTTAGATATGTGGCTCCTCAAATTTATTTAAAGGATCTAGATTTTATTTTAAATTTCCCATAAAAATAAGTGGATCTTATGGGATAATTCCAAATTTTTATCTCAATTCATTAATTGAATATAAGTTAATATTTTTCTAATCTATTTCTATTGAACCTTCTGTTTACTCAAGGATTGAAGTCAAAGCCAAGATTATTGAGCTCTTGCCAGCTCCTGTTCTTCCGACAACTCCAATCTTATAATTAATAAATTTTAATACTTTTTCTTTTTTGTGTAAGTCTATTGTTAATTATTATAAAACACACTTTGAATTTGGTCTATATTGGAAGGTACAATTTTCAAGTTACAAAATTACATTATTGTCTTCTTTATTATTATTAGTTTTTTTCACTTCAGAAATATCCATGTCATTGCCACCAGGAGTCACTAATGATATATTTCTTTCTTCTTATTCAATTTTTCTTCATTTATAGAAAAAATTACTTTGCTAAATGCAAGCATCTCTCAAAACTTATAAGGTACATTTGTATATTTCCATACGAGATAGATGAGTTTAAAAGTAATTATGATACTGTCTGCATCTAATTTAACACCAATATTGTCATTTGTTAAGTTTTTCCTGGAAATATAAACTATATTTGATATAAAAATGATACACAAATAATGAATAGCAAGGCTTAGAACAAATTTGTAATTGATCCTGCCAGTGACTAGTACCAATATTGAAACCCAAATAGATTTATCTAATTACCCAGATCTAAATCTACGTTTCTTTACTACTAAATGACTACTTTTTCTAATGGCAAACAAGTTCTGACATAAGTGATTCCTCTGACAATTTATTAGAAAAAAGAAAAGACTGGACTCTTTGAAACAGCTTCAATTCTTGTAATTTCTCTTAAACATCTATAATATATCACTGTTAAATAGATCAAAAGAATAAAAAAGATGATTAACAATGGCAAGGCAACAATATTTAAGTATAGGAAACAAGCAAATAATGGAAGCAACAAAGTTGTTAATTGAATGGTTAAATTTTGAATTTCATTTGGAAACAATAAATCTATGTTATAAATATCTTTGCTCAATCTGTTCATTAATCTTCCAATAAGAATTGTATTGTAAAACTTTGTATAAGAGGCATTTACTAAACTATAAATTATGGAATTGTGAATTTTTCTTGAAGTTGATAAACCCATAATTAAATAGTATGCACTTAATAATACTATAGCTATAATCACAGGTGACTATATCAGAGGATAATAAATCAATCCTAAGTGTTTGAACTCCTAATCTGTTATTCCTTCTTAGGCCATAAATTTATTTCCAACTAATTAACAACCTAATACAGTAATAAAGTAAATGATATTGCACAAAGGAGCCATGTATTTACCCATATAGTCAAAGACCTATTTTATAACTGAATTTGATATATCACCTTTTTCTTAATCTTCTTTTTGAATCAAACTTTATCTAACATCTTAATTGTCAGGGTTCTCTTATTTATAGTGTTTATCCTCAAATTAAAAGTCCACTATTTCTTTTTAAGAAAAATCTTAATTTTCATTGACACCAGCAATTTAGGCAAATCTACCTTATTTAACGATTCTTCCATTCTCAATCATATATATCATATCACATTCCTATAAATTAGACACAGAATTAGTAAATAGGATTCTGGTCTTATTTTTAAGATATCCTTAAATACATTATTGATGTATTTAATATTTAACTTTAATATCTAAAGCACTTGTAGGATCATCTAATAAATAGATATCTGCATTATTATAAATGGCTCTAGCTAAATTAATTCTTTTTTATTATCCTCCAGATAAATTATCACCTTTTTCACCTAAAATAGTATCATCTCCATTTTTAAATGAAGCTATATCTCTTTCTAATCCACAAATCTTAATAACTTATTTATATTTAAGAGCATCAAATGAATTCATAAAAGTAATATTTTTCTTAATGCTTCCACTAATAATCCAAGGTTCTTAGGTTGCTACACTGACAGTACCATTGACTATGATATTACCTGATTATTTATCAGTTTCTCCTAAAATAGATCTCAATATTGTAGACTTTCCTGAAGCAGAACTAATTAATATATAAATTTAATTCTATACTTTCCAACAAATGCAACAAATTATCCTTTTTTAATTTCTACATCTATATCTATATTAAAAACATTATTATTATTTATTTGTTCATTTTCGTCTTTGATTTCTATAACATCTGAATTCATTTAATCATTTGTTTTCCAACTATAAACACCCTTATTTATTTTTATTGCAAAATTACTATTACTTTCACTTTATCTTTCTGTTACATTGCATTCCTTCTATTCAAAATAATTATCTAATCTTGCCATTGAGTTTCTTGACATCTAAAAATTTTTAAATTGTAAAGGCAAATTTGATAAAATGTTCAAAATACTCGAGTAATTTTACATCATAATGCTCATAGTTGCAAAATTGATGTCATCTGAAAATAAAAAGACACACTCCCAAGTTAAGATTCCCACAAAGCCTTATATTAATTGGATAAAAATCATCATTAAAACTTAAGTTTTCAATTGCTTGAGCTCCTTTTCTCTATAATTTTTTATCTATTATTTATTTTATTAAATATTTACCCTTTATTCGAAAAAATCTTCAAATGTATTCAATTTAACTTGCTTAGCATATATCAATGCTTCATCAACAGCTTTCATCCTATTGTCCTTTGCAATCATGTATCTCTTTTAAACAATTCCATATAAATATCCAAAAATCAACCCAATTATTGCTTAAATTATTGCTCCAACTGCAGGAACTATTGCTTGATTTCCCAATGTTATGAATATTACTACGAAGGCACATATCATTTATAAAGGAACTGTAAAAATAATTACCGCGTTATAAAAATAATTTGACGCCTAATTTATATCAACTTACATCATATTGATAAGTTCTCCAGTTGAATAGTGTTTAGAACGAGAGATAGGAAATTTTAAAGTCTTAATCAGTATCTCTTGTTACAATGCTCCTTATTATTTTACACTCAAAAGCGAGGAATAAAACAATTAATATGGTTTAATTAAAGAAAGGGCTATCATGTAAATAAGTTAAATGGCTGCAAAATATAACATGCTTGATAATGAAGGCTTATCTTCCGGTTCAACATACATGAAATACTTTTAGGATTCTTTAGTTATAATTGGTTAACATAATTATAACCCAGAAACGATCACATAAAATAATGCACAAAATAATATTAGCCCTTAAGTTTAAGAATATAAAGTACATTTAAAGGATTAGTATAAAGATCTTTTTAAATCCTATTTTCTAAATGCGGCCAAAAATTTTGAATGAGAAGTTCCCATATTAGAATCTTAATCTATGATCACTAGGTCAGTCTATACTAAAGGCTTATTCTTTCCAATCTATAATAAGTTTCTTTATATAAATTTTACCCCCAATAATCGATAAACCCATGTAAAGAAAAAAACCTAAGCACAATTTTTTTAACTGAATTCAACTTGATTTTCAATCTCTAATAAAGATGTTTAATCTTTAGGATTAAGAATTTTTGACATATTATATATTGAATTGTTTAATTTTATAGATCAAATATATATTCTAATATATGGAATATAGATGTTTTTTGTATAACACTAGGTAATATATTATGGTTCATAAAATTTTTGCAATTCACTTATTCTATAATAATCGTATATTTTCAATTAAAATTTCAATAATTTAGATTATAATAACAGGAGTAAGAGTGGAATTTTTCCCTTCCTTACTTATGAAATTTTTTCACCATTATTATTTTAATATTATATATATATATACAATTTAAGATTTTATGGTTATAACAACAATTTGAATTTGTGTAATAAAATTTATTATTGAGTTGACTCTATTGAGCAATCTCATTACCTCATTTTATTATTTAATGATATCATAAAATTAATTAATGAAATTATTCATAGCTCTTTTAATCAATCTGATTGTGCCATCATTGCAATAGTGCGGTATCTGATTTGTATAACATTTAGTTACTGTTTAACCAAATATTACATATTACACCAGTTTGGGAGAAGTTTATAGATGGCAAGCAGATTCATTAATAAAAGGAAGCGGACTAAATTATACTTTAACACAATCAAGTTTCATGGAATACCATCCAGCCTTTGCTTAAATTGCTCCAGAAAAAGACCATTAAGGAGGTAATAACATTCTAGATAAGTTAGTTTAAAGTGTTGCTTATGCATTGAGGGCTTACGACATTGCAAGTACAGGGGCATGGACAAATCACTTCGCCTATTTAGAAATGGATTCTAGTAAAAGACAATATGACATATATTTTGCAATTGGGTAATATATATGTTAAGAATTTAGATCTGTGATAGATATGGACTAAACTCCAAATTTCGATAAAAAAGTTTAGCTTACCAGAAGTGAATAATTGATAGATTGCTTCGACATAGAATATATTAATCCAGAATTGTGGATAGTTGACTGTGCAGAAAGAAGCAGCTAATCAGATTAGCCAATGAAAAATTATTTGTATTTTGTGACTTAGAATGACAGTCCCGACACAGCACTTGCAAATCGATAGGAAGTTCCTAATCATTAAAACTATAAATCAGTAAAAGGACGTAAGTTTTAATATCATGTATATTATAAAACAAATATGGGTGAAGAAAACGAGTTAGTAGCCCCATAACCTAAGTAGCCAATTAGAATGCTATTAAGGGGTTAATAGGCCTTTAATTCAGAAACTGGAAATTTGACTGTTCTAGATAATGATTGTTCTATTGATTTGCTGATGAGAAATGATGATGGCATAATAAAAGACACAGGAAATATTCTAAACAAAGCAAGAATCAGTGCTGATATCAAGAAAGCTGTTAATTTTACATTGATAGATTTCAAGGTCATGCCTAATGGTAGAGTTTACATTTTAGATTAAACAGAAGGAATTTATGTTTATAAAGTTACTGAGGAAGGAGATTGGAAATATGTTCAAACATTACAATACAATGGAAAGGCTAAAGCTTATGCCTTTGATATAAATAATAGATTGCTTGAAGATGGAAATTCTTATTTACATATAGCAATTGTATATGAATAAAATCTAATGACTTATCTTAATGATAGAATGGAAAGAGGATTTAGATTACCATTTACAGCCACTTATACTGCATAAGTTTCCTTAAGTTAATAATACGTAGTGGTAGTCAATTAGTAAACTCTGTACCTTTACAACACAGAAAAAAATTATTTGTTACATAAAGAAATGTTGATATCTTCGAATTACCTTGTGAATCCCTATGCTCCAGATGTCGTCGTTGTATCTGAAACCATATCTCGAAGATATGAATTAAGTGATGGCTATTTAGAATGCTAGAATACAAATCTGATTGAGAAAAACACACTTAAATTAGTAGCAACTGATGGAAACTCGGTGTGTCAATCAATTATCAATTATTAAATATTACTACCAGACAATACTAAAGTGTTAGAATTAGGTCATAACCCTTTTCCACCTATGATCACTTTTCCTGCCTTACCTTTTAGTCTACAAGACTTGGCCTCAGGACCAAACCTGGATTATGTCACACCAGACGTGGATCATGTTGATGTTGAAGTCACAGTGCATTTCTTATGGGAATTAGAAGTTAAGGAAATTAAATGGTTTGATGCTGCAAGTGTGGTGTATGCAGATGTTCTCGTTGACCCTCATCACACATCTTCTAATAAATTTTATTTGTTTTTATAACATAAAAATAAGACAGCCATTATTTGGGATTGTTCTACAGTAAATTATAATGATAATCATTGCACATGTGAAAAATAGGATGAATTCACATTACCAATTACATTAAATAGATTCAACTCTCAATTTGATTGGTTTACATTTGATTCAGAAGCCTTAAACTTTTAATTTTAAGTTAGTGACTATGAAATCGAAATCTATCAATCATTCGATAATAGTCATTATAAAATAGCAAATATCACTTATGAAGAAAAACCTGAAAATAGGATTACTTCATTTACATCCTTGAAATAAAATATCTTTATTGTATTGCAATATAAGAAAGAAATTGATGTAATCTCTGGAATAGTCCCAGCTGTCTAAAAATTCCCAATAGACGAAGACTTAATTAATTCTTATAATCTGAATTGCACATTCACTCCAATAAAAGTCTATGGGAATGTCTTTGTCAAAAGCGAATTCATATTCATAGTAACTGAGGATTGCGTAATCTTAGGGGACCAAAGGTATCATTTCACCCTTATCGATGCATTCCAATATAAACGAGGCTCCTAGATTGAATTAGCTATTGGTTAAAAAACATTTTTCATCATCACATCGTTGGAAGGGGAAGACTCGTTAAAGGAGTATAACTATGAAAACCTTAATGACATCTATTTAATGAAATCCTTACCTCTTTATAATAGATACAAATTATAATTGCCATTGACAATTGATTTTGTCTATGAAACAGGATTCTTGTTTATTAGAGCCTTTGATAAGATTCTGAGTGAGACAGTATTTCTAATTTATGAATCTAATATTCTATATAGGAATTCTTTGCATAAGGTTCTAAAAACGCATTTAAATATTCCAGATTCATAAGTAATCGAAACTGCTGCTTCAGGGTTCGATCAAATGTTTGTTTATTTCAATGATCTAAAGACATAGCATTTAGTTGTGGTATTAAGAGATTCACTAATGGAAATTAGGCCTACTCATCTTAGTGAAACTTACACAACCAATTTAAATGCTAGAGTAAGCATTCAGAATTCGTTATCGGATACTAGTTTGGCCGTAAGTTATCCAGTCAAATTCATCAATACATAATCAATAGTAAGACTCAATGAAACCATACTTAGCAAGAATCGTTATGAATTCGATGCAGTAAACACTATCCAATATATAAAATTAGAAAATAATGGGTGGTATTTAGGTCATGTTACTAAATTTTAAATAGATTGTTTGTAATGCTAAAAAGGTGTAATAGAAATTAAGAATCCTTTTGAAGCTGCTAATTTGAGTAATGTTGAATTTGCTAGTCACAACATTATAGATGGCTCAAAGTTTAAGGATACAGTAGTTTATTTATCATCTCCAAAATCCTTAATATTCCAAAACGATGATGACACAATCAAATTCATTTCAAAAATTGATGTCGGATTATATTGCTAATCAATCACAACCTACAATCAATTTATTGTAGTATCTTGCACTGATGATTAATCATAGTAAATACTTTATGTAGCAAGTTGTGATTTGTCACAGTAAAAGTGTACTCCTATCTAATCAACTACACCAATTTAATTGAATCTTAAACAGATTTCTAAAATTAGATATGTAAACTCAGTGTTGTATCTTCTTGATTCCAACTTAGACAATCCTAAAGATTATTAAGGAAGTCTCCATGCTTATTAAATGTAATTAGAAGCCCAATGGAGTCTAAAAAATGAAAAGATTTTTGATGCTCAATATTTCGGATAGAAGACTGACTCTGATTTCTACATTTCAGATTTTGACATTGCATAATTCCAACAAGGCAATACATAATACTAAAAGATTCTACTTTAAACGACTGGATAAACAACCTATTTCATTCAACTTTATTTAGATAATGGACTGATAAAGGATAATCACAAAGACTCATTCTCCTTAACAAATATTTTAAATCAAAATTTCGCTGTCAAGTCGAATACTAAATTCTATTAAATTAGAGTGCTATCCATATCTACCTAAACCAACCTACTCAACATCACCACTCTAATAACAACTAACAATGTGGCCCAATATGGAATAACATTTTCCTATGACATAACAAATCCTTTGAATTAAGGTTCACCTGTTAAAAGTACCATTATGATTCCTTTCATTCTTAACTAATATGGAGTTTATTAAGCATTAAATAAACTGACTGTCAGCCAAGAATATGCTGTGATTCCTTATACTAACTACACTCATTTACTCATAAGTGTGTACAAATTACCCCAATTAACTGCAGCTACAAATACAAATACAACTGTGATCACTATGACAGGAGCCACCTTGGAAGCTTTGGAGAGTACTTCCAGAATGTTTGCTCTGGTTTTGTAATAAGATCCTATTTCTAAGAGTGTAATATTTTCTAGTTATATTTAAGCCTGCCGTGTATTAAAATATTATTAAAAGCGAAAAAACTTAAGCTTACGTGTTGATGAAATATCCAATCTATGACTTTGCAAGAGTAGCCATTATAAATGGAGTTTAAATAAAATCCTAACCAGTATATTTGAAAGTAGAAAATGATTATAGTTTTGCAAATGGACTTTTCGAAATAATCAATAAATCAGTACCTCCTAAACCAGATGATGATGACAAAGGCAGGTATACATCATAATAATTATCGAAGTTCTCTACTTTGGCTTTGGATACTCTTAGGTGTCATTGGATCCTTAGCATTGATTGGCGTAGTTGGATATTTTGTTTATACCAAAATTATTAAAAAACCTATCATGGTAACAGATAGCGCTAAGGTTTCTTTAATGCAATAGTGAACATATCAATTTTAAATTAAATTCAAGTTATCATTAGATATTAATTTTAATATTTTTAAGTCTTTACCCTACTAGATAAGGTGTTACTATATCTCTTGAACACTCACAAAGTAGAGAATTTAATTGATAGAATTATTGAAGAAATCAATTTTTAGAGATTTAAATTTAAATTTTAACTTATTAATATTTTATATATTGATGAGAGCATTTATTAAAACTTCATACTTTAATTAACCAAAATAAACTAAGCATTCAAAAAAGCCAGACCCTTAAAAAGTAAAAATCGGCTTAGAAAAGCTGAACAATTATTATTTGAAAAGTCTAGCGAGTGCATATTAACCTTTGATGATAAACATGATTGAATAAATGAAAAGAGAATTTCAGATCATAGAACTAGTATCTAATAATTTCAGTTTAAGTTTAGCAATAAAATAAATCAGAGAAACCTAAAAGATATTTTCTTGGCTTGGAAAATACAAAGTCAATAGCCTCAACCATATAAATTGCAATTACCATACAGTCCACCAAAAAAGGATTTGAATCGTAAAAGTGTGAGCAAGAAATTAGCACGATCTAAAACTCCCAGAAATGAAGTTAAGTTTGTAACACCAGGGAGAGAATCCTCAAAAAGTGTTCTTTCAACTATCACAAAGGATGACGATTTGCATTCGAATAAAATAGCTGATAATTTTAGATTAAGAAAATATTGGAATAAATTTAAGTTATTTGCTAATTTTCAAAAGCACTTAGCATTCAAATCCAAGCATTTTAGAAGTTTCTGCATCATTAGAAAGTACTTTTACAGGCTAAAAGCCATCTTATATCTAAGAAAATTGAGACTGCAAGGTAATTCGGTTAAATATTTTATTTAGAATATTAAAAATCAAAAAACATCTATATTTTAAGATTCTCCTTCTCTAAATGGCATGAATATGGGCAAAAGAAAAAGAGATACCAATTCATCTAGGAGAAATTGGATCAAATATAAAAATTGTTGTTAATGAGGAAAGGACTCAAAGGTTTACATTAGCATGCAAAATAAAAATAATAATTATAATCTACATAAATATCCCATAATTCATAAATTTAATCGTAATAACAGAAGAAGATAAAACTTATTCCTAAGAAAAATTGAAAATACTATATATTATTTATTAAATATGATGATATACAGAATATTTACCATTCTTCAATTATTTCTTTTGACCCTCCAAGAATGCTGTATGAAATCACTTATAATTAGAAAAATTAAAGAGTGATTACTCAATTTACGCAAGCGTTGAAGAATTATATGAATGGAACATCAGAGAAGCATTTTTTTCTGGAGAAGATTTAACTTTTTCTTTGGGAGAAAAACCATCAAAATATTTCGAAGTTCAATAACCTTTGCATTAATTGGGGCCTTCAATAATGCATAAAACATGTTATTATAGAATTTAATAGATTTAGTTGGTGACACAATCATATCATTAAAGCCATATGTCAATCAATTGACAGGCGCCTGGTTGAATAGTTTCGTATTTATAGAATAGGATAATACATCTGTTGATATCTTTTATTATATAGGGTATTATGACTGTTTTACAATAGACAACCAACTGAGAATAACAAAGTTCCTTAATTTGACAACTACATATCTGTGCAAAAAAGAGATGCCAATTTTAGATGTTCTGACGTTGACTTTCTTTCTCAAACTAAATTTATAGTTGATTGTAAAAACTTAGATAAAAATTACTTCGTCGAAGTGGATACAACAGAGAAGGTAACATTTATTGAAAACATTTAAAAATTTGATGCGCCATCAATTCGATAATTATTGGTGCATACTTTTGAATACGTCACAGGCTCATAATAGTTTATCATAAGAGGTCAATACTAGGAAGGTAAAGGGTCCCTTGTGGAAGTTTTTCAAGTCAAAGATGGTAATATTACTGTAGAGCCATGGTTGACACTTGACTCTGAAAGTTTGGCAATATTATTAAATTAATAGTAAACCTTTAATTTTGTACTTCTCGATATGCAAGTAGAACCTAACGGAGACCTATTTATTTTGGACTCCTTCAACGGAATCTACGTCCTCAAGATCTTATAGTCTCAGAAGTGGTTAGTTAAAGAATGGTCTAGATTGAATTTTGGAGAGTAGATCTATGCCTTCGATTTTAATTACTTATTCACTTAAGATGGTTAAATTGCTTAGTTGGCATTGGTCTATGAGGATAGAATTTAATATTTTTAAAACAATGAACCAAAAGGCTTATTGCAATTACCTGGAAAAGTATAAGGTGTTAACATTCAAATTGAAATCAGTTAAAAATATATAGTGTTGAAATATCAAGAAAAAATATTCATTTATGATTAGAAATAGTTGCTCTACTCCTTTTTTGAGGATGTTGTCGATATTATTATTATTAATCCTTATGAACCTGATCTGATTGGAGTCAACTTTGTATCAACTCATAGATTTTTAATTAATGATGGAATTCTTAGACTGTAAAAATAAGATTCCAAAACAGATTAATTGTATCAAACCAAAATACTCGCACAATCAAAATCAGGTAATCAATGCAGTATTGATTTAAAAATTCAAATAGTATATTCAACTGACACACAACTTTACGAAACAGGATTTAATGCTCTTCCTTCAGCACTTACTATACCTTCTGATCCTTTTAATGTTGATCTATTGGCAATAGGACCAGACATATCCTATACGCCAGTGGATGCCACTACCTCTGACAGTATTGTCATTGACATTCAAGAGATGTGGAAATTAAATATTAAAATTCAATAAGAACATGTAGTTTTCACTGATATTTAAGTGATAGATGTGGACAAATTTTAACTTTTATAATAATTGGAATCAAAGGAAGCTTATATCTATGAATGCTAGCATGATCAATTAAAAAATGTTGAAGCCGAATGCAATTTACTCAAATAAGTTGCCTTCTAAAGCATACTTACTAAAACAACATTTCATTGGTGGTTTGAGACTAAGAAGATATTCTTTGTTATTTAAGAATCAGAAAAGTAAATCCATTTATATGGTTTTGATAAAGAAAGCAAATCATTTGCTGAGTATGATAAGCTTACTTTAGAGGAGAAGATATAATCATTCAATGTACTTTATAATAAAATGTTTGTAGTGATTCAAAATAAGATTTTAGTTTATGATTAATTTATCCCTTTTAATTTAGCTTATACTATTTCTGATATTGTGTAACCTCTTAATGTTTTTGGAAATAGATTAATTGATTTAATCTTTATCCAAACTTCAAGTTAAGTAATCATTGGCAATCTCGCTCTTTTATCAAATGGTGGAGCCTTCACTACAATTCAAACAATAACCACACTCCCAGATTCATAGATTAAAATTGCTATTGGTAAACACTATTTTTACTTATTATAAAAAACTGCAACGGATTTTCGAATAGATGAATACAATTACAAACACTTATAAGTTATCTACAGAACCAAGACTCTCCCATTATATAATTATAAATTGCAAGATTCCATTGTAGCTGATTCTTGTGAGGAATCTGGATGGCTTTTTGTGAGAGGTTAAGATGATAAATAAACTGTGATTTTAATTTATGAGCCCGGAGTCTTGTCTCATTAATCATTAAAAAAAGTAATAAAACTTGAAGGTAAAGTTGATACAACAGTAGAAGTAGATGGAGGACTTTAAATGTTTTTGCATTTTTAATAAAAAGTCTATTCAGTTTTATAAGATTCCTTATTCTCAGTATAGAGTAAGATACATTCAGATAACTATTTGAATAAGGTAGTGACTGGTGTAAAGGCATCCAACGATTATTCAAGCAAGAATATTTACAAATAAATATCTGTTTTGGACACTCACAGTCAACCTATATTCGAAAACCCTCAAAATTAGAGCTTCAAAGTGAAAAAAGACAGTGAATCTGCATCTCTGATGATAGATACCAAACTCTATACAGGTCAGATAACTCAGATATCAATTGATTGCAAATCATGTTCATAGGCAAAATTATAGCCATAGATACGAAGCGTTAGTGATGGTCTGAATTTATTCTATAATTTCATTGATGGATTGATCTATGATGCTCATTATGGAGTTTTCTTAACTTCCAAGCAATTAGTGTTTGCCAAAAGAGATGGATAATTTGAAAAGGTATTCACCTTGGGTCTTTCGATTTTGGAATAAACAGATGGATTATATATTTCTGAAGATCGAAAGTACCTTGTTGTTTCAGTCCTTGCGGCAACTCCGTAAATCTTAATTGTAGATTGCGGTACTAATTTGGAATGTACTGTTGTTTCAAAAATTACAGTTCCTAATACAAAAAGAATCAGTGGTGTCTAATTATTCAATAACAATCATTTATTTATTTTAGATAGCAATCCCCAAGATTTGACATAGTTTGAATCTTCAATTCAGGCATTTTACATAAATGCTGATAAAACTTTAACTCTATCAAGAAGCATCAATGCGCAACTATTAAATTTAAATTCATTGAAAATTGCAAGTTTCTAAGTGATTAAACACAATTAGTTTTACACCGTATTTTTCACAGATCTAAATTTTGGTTTAAGAATAAATCACTTCAAATTGTTAGATTTTAGTTATATACCTAATATAGAACATTTTGAATTAAGAAATTATTAGAATGATCAATTTTATGTGCATGAGAATACAGAATTCTAAACTATTAAGTTGATCTCATCTGAGATGTAAGGAACTCTATAAACATTCAATTTGTTGATTCAAACTAACAATGTTGCATAATATGTCTTTGGCATTCCTTTTGAGATTGGGAATCTTCCAGATTTAATATTGGATAAAATTAAATTAAAATTTGTGTTGACTCCCTTTGGATCATGGACAAGTGTAAATAAGGTTGCAACTTATCTGAATTATGTCTTAGTACCTTATAGAAAAGGTCAAGATGCAATATTAGTGATGTACGAATTAGTTGACAGTAATGTTACTAAGACTATTACTAGTCATTATGCCTTATATGAGAATTATAAGGGTACTCTATCAAATTAAATTGTATTGACGGTTGAAGTAGAAGATAATAGCACATATTTCTTTGCAAATTTAAAATATGATGAGACAAGAGGCATCCATAATTTAATAAAATATCAATATCAATAAAATTCCATAATCAATTTTGAGAGTCTTACATCAGTCGAAGAGTAGCCAATTACAATCACTGTTAGTAATTATTATGGAAAGGCCTCAGGAGTAGTGAATTTAGTTTATGTAGATGATAATGATGATGATGATGATGAATCGGAGTAAATCTATCTATTTATAATTTTAGTCACTCTTGGATTTGGATTTTAGTTGGAGTCTTGGGTGGCATTATCATACTTTTGGTTACATTGTGTTTATTATTATATTTCTGGAATCGTAGAAATAAAAAATCTGTCGCTTTATTAGAATGATAGGCTAAATATATTTACATAAAATAGCAAATAATAAATTAATCAATTATCAATGCTTGCATCTGTTTTAAATCGACTCTTGTTCCTCAAATCATTAGCAGACTTACAAGAACTAATTTTAAGTGACCCCACAGCATTAAATCTAAAATTCAACTTAAACTTCTTCAGTAGAATCTCTTTCATCTATTTAGTCATCGGTGAAACTCTTTAAGTATAATTAGAAGGAGATCGAGTAGTTTTTAGGTTCTTTTCTTTTGAGAAATATAAGTCCTCTGAAATAGATTGCTATTAATTTATAGGATTAGGCTTGGCTTTCTTCTTATTAAACTTGGTTATGTCAAAATAACTTAAAAATTTAGGTTGATTCGATCTAACCTCGTTATTCCGAGGAGACTTAATGACAAACATATCCTAAATCAGTCTTCTTTCCACTGGGTAGTACAGTGGTTACACATTGGTTTGTCCTTTCTTCACTTCCTCTTTTCTTCTTTCAAGGTAAGAAGTCATCAACTTTGCCTTTTCTATTAGTACTTTAACGATGTCTGGAGCATTTTTTCTGGCGACGTTGAAATCTTCATAATCCATTAAATATGCTATTGTATTGTCCAATGTTTTGCAACCGTATTGTCGTAGAGTCAGGCCTTCTAGGATCTCTTCATGACCAATGAAGGAATTGTCAGATACTTAATATAAGGGCATTTACTATTATTTAATTTCAACCCTTCCTTTTAGAATCAATATAAAAAATTTGACTTGCTCTCCTTCTTTCCATAACCACTGTTAGGGAGAGAAGTCAGTTTTATGGAAAAATTGTATGAATTTAGATATTTACATTTTACCTATATAAGGAAGCACTGTAACAAAGTAATCTAGAGTCTAATTCATCTCCAGAACTGATTTCTCACATGAGATCTTAAAATCCTTTTTACACATGCTAATTAAATAGATTTGATCAGATGTGACCAAGATACTAGCGGTTCTTGGTTTATCTGAAATTAGAGCCACATCTCCAAATGATTATCCAGAGTAAAATTGGAACACCTTCTTAAACAAACAAACATTATCTTTGAAATAAAAGTTTGAGTTCTACTATGCTAATTATACTTCTATTTAAATTGATTTTGAAGGTTTCTTATTTCTCTAAAACATTTCAAACTCAAAAGGTAATTTGGCTTAACTTATCTCTTCTCTCTCTGCTACTATTTCACTTTCAGCTCTTGGTACCAGTACGGCAACATCCCCTTTGAGAATAATATACACCTTATCGCCTATGTCTCCATAATGAAATATGATGTCTCCCTATTTGTACTGTTCAAATTCAAAGTATTGTCCTGATTGTATACAAAACTCTTCAAGCTTCGTTCGCTCAGGACAATTACGCTTCATGAATTCCAAACTGGCCAAACCTGGAGCAACCTATTCTAATGAATGATCATCAGTCAATTTTCCATATTTAGAGTAGTATTGTAAGGTGACTCTCAAATTGGCTTCATTTTTTCTCCTTTATGTTGTCGTTTCATTATAAGCTTGTTATCCCTTTCCAATTACTGTGGACATTAATTATTTATAAAAACTTCAATTATCACATTTTTAATATCGGATCATTTTTATATAAAGTGAAGCTAATAAGTACCCAAGGTAAGGAAACTTTGTCCTCTTTCAATTTCAATAATAATCAATCTTGTAAATGTGTATTTATAAAAACGACTTATTGCTAATGAAATTGTTATACTGAATGAGAGTTATAATTATTTGTACAATTAAAATTTAATGTCAAATAATATAAATAATCATCATTTAAGTCTTCAATTTGATGAATGTTCTATAGAAGATCTATTCAATTTTCTTCTCTAAACTCCACTTGTTTAGAGAAGCGTTGTGATTAACATCAATTAATTTTTATGTAAAATTTAAAAATTAAGATTGATTAGTTAATTATTTCAATTAGGATTTAGCTTATAATATAATTAATATTGTATATTTAGATGCAATCATCAGCTTTAGGACATCTCAAAGAATTCTTTTTACAATTTGACATGTTTGGATAGCCACCAGCATTTAGAATTTTGGGAAAATAAAAATACAATTCAACTCTGGGGGCACTTTTGACAATGGGAACTATATTCTTTGCTCTAGCCTACTTAGCTGTCGGAATCCAAGAATTAATAGCCAAAGATTCTCCTAATGTGATTTCGTCAGAAAGACAAGTCATCGAGACATCGGTATTTTTGCTATATATTTAGCCATTTATTCTTAATAGGAATAACTTCACCATCGCTCTCACCATGGCCGATCTAAATAGTCAACCTTTGACAACCATTAATAAGTACTTTACGATTTAACTGAAAAATTGCCAAACCACTAGGATTTATAATGAGACCACTCAGATTTCGAATGTTACAAGGAAGTAAACTAAAATATAAACTAGTTGCACCATCCTACCCTTGGAAGCATGCACCAGAGAACATTTTTTATCTGAAACCTAAATTGACTATTTTTCGAGGATTAGATTGGGGTCGGTTTAATGCATACAAAAGGATTATTGGGATAGTCATCCACCTGTAAGAAAAGTTATTTTATTCTCACACTAGGTATTACAAGGGATTAAGACAAGTCAGATTTATTCTTCTTTGACTGTGACTGTTTCAGTATGTAAGAACTCAACCAATAAGACCGATTGCGCTCCAATTGAAGATATTAAAAAATAACTTAATTCTGGTTTTTACGCCGTTCATCTAAGTGATTCCTTATTACAGATGAACAGAGCTGTGAATATGTCCCTGGATATCATAAACATTTAATACTATACATTTTCAATTACCACCTCTAAAAATATATTTTAGCAATTTAAAGCGATCGAAACATAAACGGATTCAGGATTGGTATTTGAGGACGTATCTGAATAGCACGTGTTGATTTAAGATTCCCTAAGAGAATCCACAGACTTATACAACAATGAATATTTAGTGTTACACAGTATCAATCTCAGCCCAAAATACAGTGAATACTAAAGATCATACGTAAAAGTCTAAGCCATTCTAAGCAGGGTGGGGGGCTTATATTAAATGATATTTTTATTGTTGGCTGCTTTTATAAAGCCGTTAGTCCAAATTATGTTGGACATAGATATGGCAAATGAACTGTTTAAATTTACTACTTACAATAATGCCAAGGATAAGTCAAACGTGTCCGATGATAACAAGGTCATTGATGCATTAGCTGGAATAGTTAGGAGTAGGAGGAGACTCTTATCTCCCAGAGATACTGGGAGATTAAATAGTGAACCGAATCAAGAAGTTATGATTGTAAATAATATTAGTAATATCCTTTTAGAATGAAAGTTTAAATGTAATTTTAAAGAAGAAAAATCGAATAGATCCAAGCATTAGATAAATACTTTGGATATGTATTGGATGCGATAGAAAAAAAAAAAAAATGTTAAATGTGTCGAAAGAAAAATATATGGAGAAATTAGATGTGAAATTGATAGTTTAGAAATTATTTGAGTTTGATTAGCTAAAAGATGTCATTTTAAGTGAAGAATAGAAGAAATTATTTAAGTACTTGCCTAAACCAAGTATTCCTTAAGATTTAGAGTAAGCTAAAGTTTTAGATTTCTAAAAGTAAAGTTAATAGTTGTAATCTATTGCTATTTAAGAGGCTTTTGAAGCATATGAAAAAGTGATTTCTTAGGGAGGAAAATCAGGCGTTAATCTAAAACTAATTTAATCTCTAGACCCGGAAATATAAGCACTGTTTTAATCAATTTAAAAGAGCTAAGCTAATTAGAATTAATTCTTAAACGATATTCCTTTGAATCAATCCAAGATCAGATTTGACGCCGGTGAATTAGGAGAATGTTAATCAATCTATTAGGAATGTATCACTACTCCTCAGAAGATTTACACTAAAATTCCAAAAAGAATGAAAAAATAACATGAAACATAATGAATTATATATAAAAACTTATATTAACTTAAATAAATATATATTAATCCCAATAACTCAAGATACTTACAACTGATATAATTATATTATTAAAACAAATTCTATTAATTGCATTCTTACAAGTAGTTTTTACCTGATCTTGAGTCAACTATGAGCAAAAACTATTCCATCGCTTGTTATATCCTTTTCCATAATATTTATAATCATTTGTAATTCAAGAAAATCTATTTATGCAGATTGAAATTCAACTCAATTTGAGGATACATTAAAACAACCAATGATTCTTTTATGCTCCGATATCATATAATTATTAACCTTTAGATTTAATAATAAAACAATTAGAATTAAAAAAAATCTTTAGCATGACTGCCATAAAAAAACTCAATTCAGATTAGTATGTGCTTATAGTTTTATTGATGATAATGATATCATTTATAGGCTTGATAATAATTTATATGATTAGAAGATCATAAAAAAAAAGGGAATAAAAAATGAAGGTTGTTTCTAAATATTAAATACCATTGAGATAACACGCAACTTTATTAACTGATAACAATGCGTCTAGCTTGACTAAATAAGAATTCTCTAATTAAAGCCAAGTAAATTTGAAAATGTGATGCTCAATTGAATTTATATATTTATAAGATAATTATTTTAGGAAATTATTTTTAAGGGGGGGGGGGGAGAAAATCGAATTCTAATATAATTTTTGAAAATTTCAATATTATTATGATTACGCAGTAAAATGCGAAAAATGATTGAATTCTAGAAATCCGTACTATTCATTATTAATTATCAATTATCTTATGGAATATCTTCTATAAAATAGAGCTATAAATACACTTAGAAAAATATACAGTAATTCAATATTACTTTTTTATGAAAATTCTTCATTTATTGCTTATACTATTCTTGGTTTCTGTTGCTATCTCTCAAGAAGCAACAACTACTTGCACAGAAGACTAAGTCCTAGTAAAAGGAAAGTGTAAGGATGCTAAAAATTGCAAGACATAAATTGGATTCTTTAAACAGACACAAGCTAACGGAAAGAAACAAATTGCCAGAAGACCCACATTCGGTGTGTAATTGAAGGATGGAAATCTTGTATTCTCATTGACATTTGCCAATGGCAAAGACCTTTAGACTTCTGTAGAAACCGGATAAACTACAACATGTATTCAGGTTAATTTGAGAAGATTTGGAGCTGCATTTACTAATGAAGTAGCTGATGCTTCTACTATTACATCAGTCTCTACAGACACATCAAGAACTTGGAGCTTCACCGTCAATAAGGAGTATTTAAATCTTATATTAATAGTTAATTCGATACAGTATTTTTGAAGGATGAATCCACAGATGAGATTAAATATACCGGATTTTATGCCATCTCTGTGACCTTGTTATTACCCAACGATAATGGTGTTAAACCCTTGGCTTTCTTTGCTTTTAAATTTTCTGGAGTTTTTAGCAAAGATTTAGCAACCCTTAAATCAAGTGAGATCAAACCAAAAGTACAAGCTGAGTAGGTATGCGCAGATACTGCAGGAGAATAATGTGTCAATACTGCTCAATCCACATTGACATTGTGCTCAGATGATACCTGCTCAACCCCTCTCAATACTAATGAATTAGTTGTTGGAGACACCATTTATATTAAATAAACAATCACTTAAGATGGCTTTAAAGGTGGAAAATGGAAACCCATGGACGCTGAAATTACAGTGGTTGCAGATGGAGTATCAAAAACAGTGACCCCTAAAAAATTGGATAAAGGATAGAATGGTGAATAAATGTATTAACTTAAACTGAACTTCTTGGGTAATAAAGTCACCATTGCTTCTGATGCCACATTGGGAGAAACAACAGCTGCAAGAATTTTGTAAGAAACTGCAGATGACCCTTCAGTGGTTGGATCAACTTCTGTTACTTGCATTAAAGAGACTTCCTCTAGTTCATGCCCAACATAAGATTAGGTGCTTACATACAACTCAGAGAATTGTGCAGGAGTCTCATGTGATGACGAAAGTTCAAATGCAATGATATTCTAAGTCTTAATTGCAATGTTAGGATTATTGATATTATGAAAAAAATAAAAATATCCAATATCTAAATATATTTATTTTATAATGATAAGATGTTTATTAATTTCATTAAATACATGATCGAATATAAAATAATGAAAATAATTTGAATATCATCATTTCTTATCAGGTAATTTTCTTTATCCAGTGAGTATTTTTTCAAGATCCCCATTTACTTTAGCTTTTATGTCAGCCTTTAATTAGGAAACAATATCTGCATGAGCTTCTTTAGTTTGCTATCTTTTAATTTCATCTTGCGATTTTGTATCCAACAACTTTTATTCTAAAGATTCAACCTGTCTTTGCAATTCCGTACACTCCTAATCCAATTATTTAATTCTTAATCGATATTCGGCCTAATTAAATATTTTTGAATACTTTTTTTTCTTCTTCTGATAAAAACTTTCTCATTCCAAATGCAATGCTTGATGCATACAAAGTTTAATAAGTTTGAATGACCATTCTCACTTCATTTCGGACTGTTACTAAGAGCATACCTCTCTCTGCACAATTAATTGTAATTTGTCTTATTAATTCATCAAAACACTGTGAGTATAACTCCTCTCGAATTGGACATAGACCAGTCTCTCTCGCCTACCTTTATTGCAACCACTTATCTAATTTATCTTATAATTCAAGCACATCTTGTTTGGTTGAGGGTGCAGGAGAAACACATTACATTTACAATTGATTCTTCTGATGATTAAATTCTCTGGGAAGCAGAATGGCATTCAAAATATCTTCAGTATTGCTTGGAGGCTGTTATTTAATTTATTTCTTTTGACTGTTTGAAATGAGAATGGGATTACTATATTTAACAAGACTTGGAGCCGGTTATATGTCGTTCATTAATTATAATAATTTTCAAAGTAATGAAATTACTTTATCATATAATATTTCCTTCTACTACTCTAGTATTTGGATTTCCCTATTCAAAATATCATACTACGCCCTCATGCCTTGATAATCATTTTTCGTAAAACTATCATTTAATTTCAAATTACTTGTTATGCATTTCATAGACTGATTCGATGGATTGTATCTATTAAATATAGAGAGATGATGCTTAACAGACTACAGCCATTGCAAAATCATTTACAAGTTGAAATACTTCCTTAAATTTGTTCTAAACCTCATCTTTTAACTTTTTGTTTTCTAACACAAGCCCTTAAATTTTCTCTTGTATATTTTTTTTTTTCTTATTGTCTACTTGAAGTAGTTTATTAATTGAAGGCACTTATTCAATTTAGGGCATGCTAATTTATGACTTTGTTAATTTAGTTGATTGTGGATAATAGTTATATTTACCATCAAGTGATGTTAATTTTTGCATCATGCGTTAATATTATTATTTTGAGAACAAGAGTTCTTATTGCAATCTATTAATTTTGAATTCCTGTAATCTAATAATGCTATCTTATTCATCTATTTTGGATCGAAATTCTTTGAGAGTATTTTCAACCTAAATCGAATAGGAAGTGTTAGAGATATTTTTCTCATACTTCCCATTCATAATAATCTGTAGTTTTTCAATATCAATTTGAACTTTAGCCGGATTGATAAGTGGCCTTGTATTCACTTGCAAAAGCTATTTAATCTTTTTGCCTGATTGTTATCCTACAGGTAGTTACCAGTTCGTACCTTAATCCGATTGCACATGGTTGTTGGTTAAAGGAAGTGCAAGGTTATTCATTGGCAATTTGAAGGGAAAGGATGAATATTTGCTGTTTGTACGACGAGGCTATGGAGAATGAGATTTTTGCATTTTTATATTAATGAGAGATCTCTCGATATAACTTATAAACAAAATTGTTAACTAGCTGTAGTTGCTTCGTCCCTTGCCCTCAGGATGTAACTAGATTAAACGCAGAAACCTTTAAATGAAGCTAGAATTGATCTGATTTTTCTACCCAATATCTTTTGTAAATCTAAATATCGAATCTGAATTGGAATTCTTACAGATATATTTAAATAACTCAAAAATGAGCTTCCCATAATAAGATTACTTGGCAATGCTAAAAGCAAAACTTCCAGGATACCCTCCAGTATAGCAAAGTCCACAAACTCCAATGATCTATCCGAGTCCTCAATTCATGTAAGCAATAACTCCTTATTTCCACTTATATATACTCCATATACTTATTCCTCTAAACTCTTATACTGTCTTAGGTCTCCATTAATGAACTACACACCCTACTATATGATGATGCAGCAATTGTAATAAATCCCATAAATACAACAATTTCCTCAGATGGCTCCCATGAGAATTCCAATGATACCCTAACCACCCTAGTTGCAAACCATACCCTAGCCAACCATGCCATTTTAAATGCAGCAACAGAATCCGGTTTAATAAAAAGTCGATCGAGACATTCCTGTGTCTGTCAAAGGCACAAAAGTGAAACTAAATCTCAAGATGATTAAGGATCTACCCTTAGAAGATGACAGCATCCTAGATTATGATGAAATTAAAAAGTAAAGTGGAGATCACAAATACATAAATTTGAAAAGAAAACGCCGACTTCTAGATCAGTAGGAAGCACCCTTGATGTAGACCAGAAGGAGGAGTGAATAATCATAATGTAATCATAAAGATTATGGTTATAGATCTAGAAATAAGAGAAATGTTGAAAGTTGATGACAAAGACATGACCATTATTTTAGAGGCTTATCCTGATACCAAAACCCTACTCTAAGAATTAAGAAAAGGAAACTTGAAGAGGGAAATTGAAAAATTGTTACCCAAGTGAATTTGACTATTCTTTCCATCAATTTCTTAACTTAAATCAATCGATCAAGTAAAATTCCACCTCTAAACATCCCACCTCCTTCACTTGCACTTCTTCTCATATTTCGTAATTCCAATTCATCCATTTTCTGAATTGTCCTTCTGTGTCTTTAATTTCAATTCTAACATTACTTACTTCGCTTTCGAGTTTATAATTGTAATCTAAATCAACATAAATTATTTTGAAGTAAGGAGTTTATGGCAGTCATAGGAGATTTTTAAATAGACAGTGAATACATTAAATTGATAGTAAGCTTCTTACTTCTATATACAACCTCAGGATCATTTTAAAGAATAATCAATTTATTAATCTTTTCAAACTTTATTACCAAAACACCTGAATTTTTGAAGCTTAAGAGAAATCCTGTGTGTAACATACTTCGGAAATTAAAGGGAAAATAACAATAAAATTATTAATCTTGATATCAAAATGAAAGGACAATAATTATTCTAGTAAATTAACTTATAAATTGGAGTGACATTTAGAATATTATAAAATAAATGATTATCATTCCATTTTTTACTTGCTGCAAGCCATAATATATTGGGTTTCATTATTACTATATTTCATTTCTCCATTCAATAAGTTATATTCTACTCCACGCAACTATAATTAAAATATCATACCATACCACATCTATGTTGATTTTCTATTTATTTAATTGCAGCCACACCTGTTCTGGAGTCTTAAAGTTATTCCAATCATGAGTACCCTATGGAACTACTCTAGCAATATATTCCGCACCAATAATTAATTTCAAATAAGATTCATAACTTTTATTAATTGATGAGATAAATAGTTTCCCATCAGGCTTTAGTAATTTCCCTAGTGATTCTATAAATAATGGGAGATTTTCAACATGTTCTATTACTTCCATTGCTGTAATGATGTCGAATTGCTTTTCTTGGTTTTTTGATAATTCCTCTATGCTTATTAATTTATATTCCAAGTCTGAATCATTTAATTCTGGGTCTGTATTTTTATGCTAAATTGCAGTCTCTATTGAATTTTCAGATACATCAATTCCTGTAACTTTACTTCCTAATCTTCTCAGGCTTTCACTAAGAATTCCTCCTCCAACTCCTACGTCCAAAGAATGCAATCCAGCTAATGACTTTCCCTTTTATGGTCTATTGAGGATTTCATGAATAAATTAAACTCTCAAATGATTATATGAATAAAGAGGTGCCATTGATCCACCTACACTCCACCAATCCTATATTTTATTGAAATTTTATCTGTCTGCCTAATTTATTGTGGAGCTAAAGTATTTCAATAATTTAATTCTGATCATTTTATATATTAATATATAATGTATTACAGGATTTCATTTCAAAATAGATTTTCATGCTTGAAAATTTATTTTGTTCGGTAATAACATAGATGAATAAATTTAAAAATAGAGGATATTCACATTAATTCATACAATAATTCAAATCATGTCTGATTATTCATGGACTTCTTTCTGTTATTAGACAGGTTATTTTTATTTTTATTGAGAAGGAGCTTATTCTTTATCCCCTCCCCTTGTAAAGACATCCTTTTTGTACTTCTACTATTTCACACTCAGCTTTTCATTGTGCTTAACAGGTTAAGCCTTATAATCGTGAGTATCTAATGTTGATTTTAATGTATCGATCTTCTTTTATGAAGGATCAATCTCATTTATTTATGACTATGATGGATCAAAATCTTTCATATTTTTAACAGTATCAGTTTATTGCCATGTTTGATTAGTGGGAATTAACTTTTATTTGGTAGCTGTGCTTTGTGTTTATTTTGCATCTCCTCCAAATACACTCGATTATAATTCCTGTTCTTTTTTATTCTTTGCAAAAGTATCTGGATCATAGTTCTTTCCGCTATTATCAACTGCCTTAGTAGAAGTCGACCATTTTTGATTTTAGGATGTCAACTTTTCTTATTTCCCCTGTTATTAATAAGTTTTCTTTTCATTTTATCCAAAAACATTTGATGAGTTCTCTAATTATTTTCTTTATGATGGATCAACATCCTGCTTCTATTACTTTTTAACTGTTTCTTTTTTTTCTTCTAGTGATACCTTTTGTGTTGGTAAATGTTCCTTTCCGATTTCATTTCCATACAATTCCTTGACTCTTCTGTTGGCTGGATCATATTCCTCTTTTGGTTTGAATTCCTTCAATGTTTATGTTCGCTTAATTGATTTATACTCATCAAAATCTAATACATTGATTGTTATTTTAAAATACCGCTTTTTCCAAACAAAAAATCTTTTCCGTGATCTTGATGTCTTGCTTCAGTATTCTTCCCTTTATTTTAGGTCTTAATGGTCTCCTTAGCTGTGTGTGTATTATTAGCAGAGGGATCAACCTAAAATATGTTGGATTGATAAGTTTTTGTCTATCTTGTCTATAAATTATTAGCATAACATCTTACTTCAACTCTCGATTAAGCAAGTGATTATGTTGCACTTTATTCAACTCCAAAAATATCTGTTTTAGCACGTTATTATTGTCTACTAGGTGTTTAGACCACAGGGCCTGAATTCACACCAAAGATATCTGATCTTTATTGCTGACTATTTCATTATTTGAAAATGTACTTCTATCTAACAGAAGGAGCTTAATCTAGAGTCGATTTCTGAGGCCTTGATCCAGCAGCAGGAATATTTATTGGATCCATAAATATAATAAAATATAATTTTATATATTCAAATTAATTAATAGCAAAATTAATTGTAGGTGTGTTCAGCATCGATTATTTGCTAATTCAATTGATGCAGTTTAGTATTTGGCATTGGAGCACTGTTTCTTTGTATGCGTATCCTCTGTGGGGATTCATCAACATTAAAGGTGACTTTTGGATCAAAATACTGCACATCTCCTAATAATTGCTCCCGCTCTCTAACCAATTTCTCTATTTCATAGCTCAAATCACTCGGAGCATTCTCTATATTAGTTTGATTCGGAGTTGGAGTCTTGGTTTCGACAGAGGCCTGAAAATTAAACTTTTTCTACTGTCTGACACTACTTGGAAAAGAGAATCCAGAGAAGTGGGATTCCCTATTCTGATATATTTTAGAGAGATTTAATTCTTCTCCTTTGAATTACGGAGACTCTTCTATTCTAAAACTCATTTTTATTATTGAAATAAATTTTATTTATTATTTATAAAATAAAAATTAAATAATAATTATCACTATTCCAAGTTAAAAGCTGATGTCAATATTTCTTATTTTGATTCTTCGCTATCCGAGTCAAATTATTCACTCACATATTTATCAAAAGTGACATATTGTTCCCCTCCATTCTTTTATTACTCCATTACCATCTACTCTTATTTGCGATCTACCTATTCCTATTAATCCTATTCAGAAAGTTTCTCTGGACATTCTTCAATAACTGACATCTCTGCTTTCTAATTTTATTAATTGTTTATTTCAGTCAATAAAAAAGAGAGTTACTGGTCTGGAATCACCTTCATTTCATATTTTAGCATCTCCTCATAATTTAATGATTCAATTCCCTTACTCTCCAAGATTCCTTAAACAATTAAGTAATCCAACTCAAATGAATTCAATTCAATGTTTAAAGACATCAAAGCTTCATTAAATTATTATTTATTCACCCTTATACAATCCTTACCATAAAGTTGTTTGATATTGCTTAAAATGAATGGTTTAAATCTAGTCAAGACATCTTTTAGTTTTTCAGAATGAAACAATTGATTTTTCACTATTTCCAATTTGTAGTTCGATACTATTCTTCTCAAAACTGAGCGAATATATGGATTAAAATTAGAGGCTGTGTCCAACAATTCATAAACGTCATTTTCGCTTTCCATAATGTAACGAGAAACCAGTAAAGACTCTTCACTTGTTAAATTAAAAGGGTAAAGCCTTAACTTCTCCTTTAGTTCTCGATAACTCATAGAGTCTCCTTCAAATAAATATTCATCCAACTATGCAATATTTACATCCATAGCCATCAATCTATACTTCAATGTTTCTCCTATGTTTTTGATCTCATCAAATTTAACTGGTACAATCCTTCTTCTTGGAGGTTATTTAACTTACTGTTAGATCTACTCCTAGATTACAATCGAGTTTTTTATTGGCAAAGCAACTTCTTGCATAATTTCAGTTGCAAATACTGGGATTTAGATCTTAATAACTTTGGATTTGGTTGATGTTTCGATTCTTTGAGATTGTGGCGTGATTTCTTAGGTTTCTGATTTCTGTTTTGCATTTAGATCTTTAATATAAGTTTCGAGATCAATAATAATCCGATTTAAGCCATCGATTTCATTTTATTTGGCTTAGGCTTCTTATTTTGCAAACATCAAATCTGTTAGTAATTAGAGCTCATCTGGTTTGGTTTATTATGAAGTTTCTTTGTTGCTATCTTTTTATGAATTACAGGCTTCTTCTTTCAATTGGTCTATCAGTCTCTTGATTTCCTTTTTGCTTCTGAATTCCTATTCAATTTATGACGACTAATATAAATAATCAATAGATTACTCTGTATTTCAAACATTCCTTTTTAAGTCTTTCTATTACTTTTTGCATTTCACTTTTTTAGATGACATGTTCTTACAATTAAGTAATCAGTTGAAACAACCTTTCTTGAATTGCCTATTCTACATTATTCTATTGTAAATTGTATAAACTGGCTTAAAATAATTATTCAATTTATTATCTTAATCTAACCGTCTCTTCTTGAAAAGCAGTTCTTTCAATTTACAATTCATTCATTTAAGTATATCTTTAGTTTTTCTTCATGTTTACGAGTTCCTGATCTTTTTTTTACATTTACATTTTCATGTTATTTAATTCCTTTTTTAATGCATTTAATGCCGTTGCATAAGTTAAAGTTCTTAATAGTTGGGTTTTAGCAGGACCTACACGATCTAATTCTTGTAACATCTTCTCTTATTTTAATTGATTATCTAATTTTAAAATTGAAGATGCTTACCTTCTAATTGATGAATTTTGGTTTTGAGTTTAATATTTTCACTTTCCAGAGAATGTAAATTGTTCTTCAGATACTTTAATTCCTATTCATATTTCTCCTTCTCAGGGAATCGAAACGAACTTGTCTGGTCAAGCACCGAATTATTGGGGTCATCCAGTCGTCTTTTCCTATAAAAGCTTTATCTTCCCACGAGTTCAGAAGTATCAAGAATTTACTTATTTCGATTTACTCCAACCTTAGCGGATTCAGCTCTGGTTTTTCTTAACTACTAAAATAAAGTTGCTCTCATTTTTATAATTAATAATGTCTGATATAGAGGAAACAATAAATAGAATCAAAACCCATAAATCAGTTTAAGGGATAGTTATTTGTAACAATGACGGCCAAATCATACGCAGCACCTATGGAACAGAGAGCAAAGAAGGCGAAAATATCGCCAGGACAATCCCAACTCTGGCAGCCAAAGCCAAGTAAGTTACTTAAATTTATTCGCAGATCCACTGTCAGAGACCTAGATCCCATGAATGAATTGACCTTTCTACGCATAAAGTCCAAAAATAACGAGATTATGGTGGCTCCAGATAAGGAATTCTTGCTGATTGTTGTTTAAGGACCAAAAGAAGAAAAAAAAGAAGAAGAATGAAAAATAAACATTTATAATATATAAAAATATATATGTAGCAAATCAACTAGATAACAGATCATCTCTAATTGATCCAACAAGGCAACAATTCCTACATCCACCGTCGAGTAGGCCCATCAGAGGTAATGTTTTATTCTAAGTTCACTAGACTGTCGTCATTAAATCGGTGTTTCATGGGCAACTTTTCATTGAAGATGAGAACACCTGCAACTCTGTTCATTAACGAGAATGCCAAGATCTACAGAATGAATGGAAAATATTGAGTTAACTCAATCATCCAAACATCATTAAACCCTAATAATTCATCCCTCATCATCAATTGGATCCTGCAGGAGGGAACCTATAGTGTTGCAGTTTATTCCTTGAAAATGCCACCTGTGATCTGCATACTCTTTGTAAAACTAATGAAACATCACTCAAAATTATAATCAAGTACTTCACTTAAATTTCTATTGCTCTTGAATATTTACATTCCCAGTATATAGCACACAACGATATCAAACTTGAAAACATGCTCGTCTTTAACAGAAATTGCATCAAATTAGCAGACTTTGGTTTCAGCTACAGACCTTCATTTGAAGATCTCCTTTCAAAATGGCTACCCAGAACTCTCACTCCCTATTCGAGTCCAGAGATTGTTAATTTTAGACTCAACCTAGATGAACGTGAATTCCAAGAATTTTGCTTGTTTAGTGCAGATGTTTATGCCTTAACAACAGCATTATTTTTAGCAATTTACAAACGACCACCAATTATGGGATAGGTTCCTACAAAAGAGGATTAATATTATTAATTATTAATCAACTAGCCAGATCTATTTTGGAAACTAGATTTTATCTAGAATGTGGATTAGTAATTAATAAGAGAAAATACTCCAAAGTAATTACTCGAAAATTTAAAAGACTTGATAGAGGGAGGACTAGCAGAAGAATATAACAGAATTACGGCTACAGAATTTGTTAATCACGAGTTCTTTAAATATGCTTAATAAATTCAGGGTAACTAATTTTGAAATATTAAATTAATATTAAGTACTCAAATGATAACTCTTTAATAATTTCTTAAATCTCATTTTAGGTTGCCACTTAAACCGATGAGATAATATTATATTGTATAAATTTATTTCAGTTTTAATAAAGATTATTAATATTAAACTCCATTTCTCTCATTAATATATTTGCATGTTCTTTGTATATTTTAAGGTTTTCTGATTTATGATCTTTTAACTTTCAAAAATATAAAATTATTGTTTTTAATAACCAAATATTGAAGAATTATGAAGAATATTAACTAATTTTATTTGGATAAATAGAATCACAAATCAAAATGGCATCTAGTATTAACGACTTCTTTTGGATTAATAGCGTCAGCATACTGTTTAGTATTGCCACAATAGTTGGGAAATCTTGGAGAAATATTTAATTTAGATGATGAAAAAGAATTTTTGAGCCTTTTGACTACTCTCCATTATTTATTAAATTCATTTCTCCCCTATTTCTCAGGAGTCTTAAGGGATTCTTATGGAGATACTTTTGCAATTCTTTTTCAAAATTCATTATGCGTTATTGGCTAATTTATTTCCACAATTGGTATTCATTCAGGAAATATGACTACTTTCATCATAGGGAGGTTGATTCTAGGTTGGGGAATAGAATCTTTATTAATTGTGTTAACCTCTTTTATTTGTTCCTATTACAAATTTACATATTTGGTATATAATAAATTTATTGTTATTTAGACCTTTGTGTTAGGAATGTATTAATTAGTATATATGAGTGGAATGGTAGTTTGTACATTGTTCGCTCCAAACTTTGATTCGGTATATGCTTCAAATGTTATTGCATTATTATTTACCATTTTAGGGTTGATAATGGCTTTAGTAACCAGAGATATTGATACTAATGTTTAATCAGTAATCATGTAAAAAGGAGCAAACTATTTTTAAATTGAAGAAGGCATCAAAAAATCTTCACAACTTTATTAAAAGCAAGGTCCAAGTGAAATATTCTCGTTATAAGATGATGGAGAGGAGATTAAAATTGAATAAGATTACATTGAAGCCTAATAAATAGAGTCAGAAGTGTTGGAGTAAAATTTCTATGAAAATTTTTGTGGTTATGGGAACAGACATGAATTTCCCATTTTATATTGGTTATTGCTATTCTTTTACACTTTTGCTTCAACGTCAGTTCTCGTATTGGTAGGCTATGCACAAGAGTTTCTTTTGAATAAATGGTTAATCAACCTTCAAAATGGAGAAGACTTGGCTAGAAAATTAGTGACATTGATGTGGCTGTTCTCAGGATTTATAACTCCCTTATTAGGTTTCGTAATAGATTTGTTTGGTTAGAGATCAACTTTGGTAAGATATCATCTAAAATAGAAAGACTATTTTCTCGGGATTGATGGCCATTTGGGCTCACTTGTTAGTGTTGTTGCAATCCCCATTTGAAGGGTTACTATTGCTAGGGTTCTCTTTCGCATTATCCTATACTACAGTATGGAGCAGTGTATTATACTTAACTCATCCACATAAATATGGGAGAAGTTTGGCTCTTTTTGTTTGTTTATAGAATTTTGGGATTTCTGTAACACCACATATTTGCAGTTTCTTTGAGATGTATTAACAGATTTAATTAGGTTGACTGATTCTAAGATTGTGACAGAATCATTCTTATTGTTGTTGGCTATAATGGCAACTATGGCATCTCTATTGGTCTACAAAGAGGATAAGAAATACGTGAATCTAATTGACAGGGGACTACATGTGGAAAGTGAAATTTCTTCTAAAATGTATCAATTTAAATTATTTAGAAAATCATCAAAAATTTAAAGTTGAATCATATCTGAAGATATTTATAAAAATTAGATATAAATATATATATATAGTTAGAGTTTTTTTTAAGATAACATTAAATCTATAATCTAAAATATCAAAATAATTTTTAAAGTGAATCAAACTAAGAAAGGAATAAATACATTCTTTGTTATATCATCTGTCCATTTTAAATGAGAATCATCAATCTCAATAAATTTTATTTTCCTTTGTTAATCCAGTTACTTTACACCAATATAGTCTTAGATATAAAATTCTGATTCTACAAGTGGAACCACTTTATCTGTTTCAGGATCTACAGATTCAAAAAATGCAGATTCTTTTGGTAGCACCATTTCATCTTGTAAAAATTTCACAAGCATCACTTGGTCAAGCGATGAAAACTAAACCGATATATTAAGTTATACTTTTGATTTCCTTGAACATTCTGGATTTCTTTCATTATTCAAATCTGGAAGAAAATGATTGTATTTTAAATAAGAATCTAAGTCTTCGTGATTTCTGAAATAACCTGCTGGACCAATGTGTTATTACACATAATCAGTGTAAACTAGAGAATCGACTACTTTATTTAATGGCCAGCACAAATAACTATTGCAATGAGGTATGACTGATACTCCCATTTAAGGACCTCCTATAGATAAATACTTAGACACTCTTCCTCCTTTTAAGTCACAATCTGTAATAATATATCTCCCAATCAATGCACCTTGTGATAGACCAACAACATTTATTGTTTAACCTGCGTATTTTTCCTATACTTTGACACAAGCATCCTTGGCTTAATCTAAAAATCCCAACAAGATCGAGGATGATGGTCCTGAACCTATTTCTATACAGTCAGCGTTGATGTCTGAAAAAAAAGATTTAAGCATGGACCAAGAGCAACTATCACCTAACCCATGAAAAAGTACTGTTGGCAGAGTTTATCCTAAAAAAAAATAAAGTGGAATTAATAAAAACATTTAAAATTAATTCGTTTCTGAAATATGTTAACTATTAATTACAAATAAAATTCTGCTTTTTTTGAATAATTGCAACATGTCACATTCAGAAAGGGTTTAAGTTCCTATACCATTATTTGTTGTTAAATAAGATTTTATGAATAATAATAAAGAATTTAGATATAAAATAAGTATGTGAATCGATGAATTATCTTCACTGATATTACACTGAGAAAGCACTTTTTCACGGTTAGGTTGAATTAATCTTATTAAATTTATTAGTTCAGAATTTATATATATTCCTTTGAATTAATATTCACAATAACATAGAGATTCGAATCATTTAGTTGAGAAATCAAATTTAAAAAATGATAGGATATATATTTAAGCTATTATGAAAAACTACTTTGCAATGATCAATTATAACTCTATTAAAACATCCTTTAAAGTTGTTATAACAGAAGAAAATTGATATTTCTAATTAGGAATCCATTTAAAACATAAAATTAGCATATCAACTATAATGATACTTTTTTTTAATTCCAAAATGTCATTGTTATAAACAAGTTTACCACAATTTTTCAAAATAGGATAAATATTAATTGAAAAAGAAGGATTAATTTGTGATTTGGATAGAAACTAGGATGAACAAAGAACATAACTATTAATTTGAAAACCAAAAATGCAATTCATTTCCTTATATTTGAAGTTCTTATAGTAGAATTAGATATGAGTGTAGTATCTTAACTTCAACTGATGAAGATGATCCCCTTCCATTATTGCTATTTATTAATTATTTTAATTAATGATTAACTTTTAATTAATAAATTTTAACCAGAATTAAGATGGCTATGCGTGAATAACCGTGTCCTTACAGAATCATTGATGATTTTGGAGGAGCTTTCTCGATGGGGTGCTTTGCTGGATGCATATTCTATTTCTTAAAAGGCATGTCATTTGCTCCAAAGAAGGAGAGATTTTTCGGTGGAATCTAATTATTAAAAAGAAGAGCCCCAATTTTAGGAGGATCATTCGCTCTTTGGGGAGGATTGTTCAGTATCACAGATTGTACTCTTATGCATCTGAGAAATCAATAAGATTTTATTAATCCCATAGTTGCTGGTGCATTTACAGGAGGATTTTTAGCCATAAGAGGTATAGCCTTTGAATTATAGTTTAGCTGGTACAAGAATTGCAGTTAGAAATGCTATATTTGGAGGCATAATCTTGGGTTTCATACAATTGGCTGAAGTTGGAATGCTTAAACTACAAATGAGAGAAGAAATGAGAAGAATGCAATAACAACAATAATAATAAATGCAAGAAATGCAAGAAATGATGGCAATGCAAGGCTAATAACCAAGTAAAAAACAATAACCCAAAGTTGAAAAATATTGAAGTTTAATATATATCTGTGTTCCTTTATTATATTAGTTTTTTTTGAAAACTTTTCTGGGTAGATAATAGAAATATTATTAAATCATTTTTATACTAATAAATTTGCAAATGCATTGGTTCAAATAGTATAATTCATACGACGACAAGCATTCAGCCATTGCATACCTTCATTATATGTTTTGGGTTGAACTTGAGGAATGACTATGCCTGGCACATTTAAAGTCAAATGAAGATCATTTGATCTAATTTTCTATTGGTTGGGACTTATCTTATAACAATTAACCTCAACGTGCATAATGGTGTCCTTCACAGCCGTGATTCTACTCTAAACTTATAAAGCACTTCCAATATCAACTGGAGCAAGGAATTGAATATCGTCAATGTGAATGATTTAAGGGAATCCTTACCCTTTGACATGCAAATAGGCATTGAGCCAGCCTAGTTCAAAGGCTTCTCTCATGACGAAACCTCCAAATACTTTCCCATGGAGATTTCTATCTTAAATGTGCATCAATAGTGTTTTTTCGATTTGAGTTTCATCAATAGTAATGTCTGAGGGAGGATTCATGAAAAATTTATGTAGTTCATTTATTTCCTCCTAACTTGGTGCTTTTCTATCAAGACTTCTGTCTTTTTATAATTTTCTTTTGTCTTGCATATGTTTACCCAAATAACATCTCAATTCTGCAGTTTCCTTATCACTTTCCCCATTCAAATCCATGGTAGGTACTTTGTATGCTTTTGAATGATCTTTGCCATCTCTGGCTACCATTAAGAAATTGGCTGAAACATTAACTACTCCTTCCTACATCACATCGATATACACTTCAATTGATGAATTACCGACATAGGTGACATATCCTTATATTTCAAGATCTTAATCAGCAGAAATCTTTCCGAAAAAATTAATGTTATCTACCATTGCAGTAACCATGGTTGCACCACTGCTAGGTAGAATATAATTGTAGGAAACTGTGGAAGCTATATAATCCATCAATTCCAGTAAACGACCAATTCTTACTTGATTTGTGTAAAATCTTCTAAATTTAAAACTGAGCTCGGGATTACTTTTGAATGGCAAAACTACCTTATACCATGAATTTCTGGGTGAGCTGCTCTTTTCATTTGGTTCTCTCTGTGAATGACCATACACTTTTATTTGTTCGTGATTTTTTGTGAAAAATGCCTTCACTAATCTATCTTCTTCAGAATTTTCTTCTTTTTGCATTTAAGAAGGTACCTTCATCATTATCCCTTGATATTGCAGTTGACCTAATTTAGATCGAGCAACTTAATTGCTCAAAAATTACAAAGTTTTCCTATAAAGCATAAATATAATTTAATAAATATGATCAATGAAATACCAATTTAAGAGATAAGAAATTTCACAGTCTATTAATTCTGATAATACTGAAGAAACCTACTCTAAGGCTCTTGTCTCTTAATTTGCTTAAAATTTACTTTAAAAAAATGCAATTTAAGGAAGGTTAACGGATTGTTGAAATTTTTTAAAAGCATAACATTATTAAAATAGATGGAATTTTAAACACGATACAGAGAAGAGATAGCAATGAATCCAAGGAAACAAATCAGTATGTTAGGGATAAGGAGAAATAAGATAGTATTAAATTTCAAGATGTAGTAATTTTTAAGTTGAAAATATAAGAAAGGAGTTAAATTTGATGTTATTATAACAGAATGATAGAGTGGTTCTTATTTAATATGAATAAACGAGTAATGTAGAAAAAAAATAATTTATCCTTGATTAAGGAGTAAATGCTAAATTATTTAATGAAAAGAAAAGCAGAAATTGATCAAAAGGTAAATCTGAGAAATAGTTTAAATGGATATAAGCATGGAATTATAGTTTAAATTAAGAATAAGCATTACTAAAGTAGCAAATTTCATAATAAAAATATTTTTATATGTTTTAAGTTAAATGCACTTAACTACTCTTGGTTCTCATGAGAACTAATAGAGGAATTGAAGGAATCGTATGTTAAAGTTACACTTTCAAAGAAGGAGGAAGAGTCTGCATTCAGAATTAACTTGCATAAACGAAGGAGAAGGATGATTTTGCTAGTTAAGTTAGACAAATTGTAGACTACTCAAATTAGAATAGAAAGTGTTTGTAGATAAATTGATTTATTTTATAATTCTAGATTTTAATTATGATTTCTAGATTGCCACGTAAGTATAATAGTAGAAATTGTTAAGAGTAAAAAGTGCAATCTCTTTGGAATGCTATGATTAAGGGTATTAATTTAAACTGCTTTCAATATTGTAATAATCACAAATCTCAAACTCCTAATGACAAACCTTTTCCTGATTTTAGACTAATGATGTAATAGTAAAGGAAATCTGCATATAATACAGTTTAAACAATTCCTCCCAAAAAGTGATGTCCAACAAACATCTCCAGTGAGTGAATATTTGTAAATCCAACTAACAATGTAGAAGAAACGATAAACTCCCAAAGCTCCCACGTAGTTGGATGTAATGTTTTCAACCTAATAATGATAAATGATATTAACATCTTTGATCTTCTGTAACATATGTAATTGTGGTATAATTGCTAATGCTTCTAACCAAATGCTATAAGACCATCCTAATTCGAATGGTGCCAAATCTGTATGGACGAGTAGAGCCAAGACTGCTGCTCCAGTGTAAATGAATTTATAGTGGGGAAAGTCATCACTTGCTGAATCATATGACTATGGATTAGCAATATTAAAATACTAGACAATATGGTTTCTTGAACTTCATGAGGTAAATTATGAACACAGTGCTGCTGATGTAAAGTAATTTCATTGAGGTATTGTATACTGATACAAAATACATGAATAGATCAATGTATCTGACACAGAACACTGCAAGGTAGATTTCTTATGTTCTGAATGATAATCCTATTACATTAATTCATGAGTTACCTAGGCAATTTCTGGTTTTGCGGATTTTTAAAATGAGTATCAGAAATGACACCAAGTGTAGAAAATCAGCAATATATCGAAATGGATTAAACATTTAATTAATGCAAATGGATGAAGAAAATTAAGGATTAGTACATCAAGATGTGAAGAAACCTAAGGATCCTGAAACACGTGGCATTCTCTCCACCATTTGTTACATAATCCAACTAGTCATACTCATCTTATTGGTTTTCTTGGTTTTCAAGTATGCTCTGGCCAATCATAAATAATCGACTTAGATCCCTTAGATTTAATAGTTGTAATGTGAATGAAACAGAAAATATAGATGATATTGATAATGCTGTGGTTTTGGATAAAGAAGATTAAGACATCATGCAATTCTTGACTAGTCCTGAAGATGTTACTCAATTTGATAACATCATGCCAGAACCAGAAGAAGAACAATTCGAAGAATTAATATTCGAAGCTGAACCATGGAATGAAGGACAATTGTAAGGATGGCAATATAAGAATGGCTTAACTTTGATTGTCTAAGAAAAATAAGTGGAAATAGCTACTTTGTAATTTGTCATCTACCATGGTTATCATGATGACGAATACAATACATTATTCATGCGTTTGTTATTGAAGTAGTAGTGTTCCTAAGCACAATTGATTGAAAGAGCATACATGAGTACTGTGACTATTCACCTTAAAAACGAATAAATGGAAACTTGCATAAGAAAGTTCGCTGATTCACTTGTGAGAGAATACACCTAAGATGATTTGGATAATATTAATAGCGAATCAATTTAAACGAGCGACATTGATCTCATTTCCAAAATAGACAGAGTCTTAGATGCAATATCATTAAATAATGAAATCATGACTGAACCCATCCAGATTCAAGATTTGCAGAATTACATCGAATTAATATTGGTTTCCAATCCACTTAGGTTGACAATAGAATCTGCGCTTTCAAACTAAGAAATCTATATGCTTGTCTCAGATACTTAATTATTGCAAAAAGAATTTGGAACTTCCATAATTGACTCTTGGGATCTAGAGCCAATTCTATATAATCAAATTAGAATCAATTCCAATTAAACATCCACTATTTTAATATACCCAGCAAAACAAGACGAGTTTTTTAAGCATTTATTATTGCAGAAAACACAAAACTCTTTACAAACCATTCTCAAGTGCTAATTCGAAATTCTAGATTTTGATTTCTTGGCAATTAACATTTAAGATTGTGATGTAGATAGTATAACATTGGCTAATGCAATTTACAATTTCGGATCATTTCTAAAAAGATAGAATGAAAAGACATTATTAAATTGTCATAAAGACTTTTACAACTTATAAATCCTCTATTAAAAATATGTTGAAGATAAGGAATTCTCTAAGAAAGATCTAAATGCTATTATTGATAATATTTAATCAGGAGTCATTATTATATAATAGGGGTAATTTATCTATCAAGAATTAAAGACTTTGAACAAAGATGATTTCTTAAGCTCCAATTTTGTTAATAAAAAAGTACAATCAATCGAATATTCCAATATTTTGTTAGATTATACTATTGTCTCAAACATAGTTGAATAATTAATTTCATAGCTTAAGTTACCCAATCTCTCCCAATACATCCCCCTTGAATTACCAAATTACAATTTTTATACAACTAATTAAATTGAACCAATTAACATAACGTTATAGGAACCCTAACTTAAGAGTGATTCTCCAAATGATATAGAACCCCTTTATAAGCCTTTAATTCCTTACGTTCCGTTAGACTTAGACCAATCTTAAAAAAATTTCTTAATTCCAATCTTAACACCAATATAGATTTCTTAAGAATTGTGGTGGCAATACGATAACCATACTAATAGAGTTTTTCTCGGAATCTTATTCTACAAACCGATTAATGGTTTTAGCATTGCAAAATCAAAGGCTATTTTAAAGGTTGCCTAAATGTATATTGAACAATCAAACTTAGACGCCATTTCAGCTGGTTTCAACTTTTAAGTAGAAAGTAGTTTTAAAGGTCTCTCGTTTATGTTGTCAGGATGGAGTCTAACATTTGAAGCAGTAAAAAACTAAGTTCTATCAAATATCAAAGAGATAAAGGACGAATCTAAATTCTCAAGCATAAAAGAAGATTTAAGAAATTAGTTTTAAGAATACTATTTTTAAAAAACTCAATTCTACTTAGTTCAATATTGGCTACCTAAATTAATGTTGAGACCTGTTAATGATCCTGCAGATATAATAAGAGAATTCCAGGATCTAAAGTTTTCTGAGTTCTCGCAATTTTTAACTGATATGTTTTCAGACATAAAGTATACAGCATTTGTAAGTGGGAACATTGACATTCAGAATGCAAAATAGTTGGTTTAAGATTACCATCCTAATGATATTGAAACCATCACAAAAACATTACAAATAGATAAGAATTTGATTCACATAATCAAATTGCCAGCCAAGTAGAAACAAAATGCTGTTGTAAAATACTTTTCTGTCGGAAAAAGAGATTTTCTAACAACAGCAGCTTTTGCTATTGTTGTAATTGCATTTTGAATAATAATAAACAATTTAAGTTAGTTTTAAAAGTATTTGGTTGTGTAGATGGATTACTATTCTACTATTAAGGTACTGATAGTGTCATAAAATTAAATGAATAAATTTAACAATTAATTGAATAACAGAGATTCGATTTGAATAATTTGAAAGATCGATTGATATTACATTACTAAAATAATGATGAGTTTTTATGGGATAAGATCTATAATAGAAACTACGCATTTAATGTATGATATAAGTAATAGATTTAGGAAATCAATGAGGTTAAGAATTAGATTGAGAATGTACAAATAAGTGATTTCCAAGGAATACTTCAGTCAGAAACGTTGAGCATTTTTGGAGTCACAGAGAGTTCCAAAATTCCAAACATCCCTTCTGGATAAAATGATTACTCAAAGTAAAAAGATAAATCATATTTTGAATGTGCCTATTAGTATCAGTCCTAATGAAATTTTGTAAATATGTCATTATTATAGAAAATATAATTTAATTATCTTTTAATTCACAGTTCTTTTTTGTATAATACGTAATTAAAATGAGTTTGAGTAAAATTTGTTATTATGATTCAAAGAATACGATTGTTATATAAATGTTTAACAAAAATGAGTATTTTTCTCAGAAAAATTCAAGGCTGTCGTTAGTTGTGCATGATAATTTTTAATCATCTCTTAACATCTTTTCTAATTTTGTTATTCGTTAAAGAATGAGTTCATTTTTCTAATATGAAGATGAGAATGTTACTTATTAAGAAATCTAGAGCTCTGATCGGGATTTGTGAATTTCAATAAAGAGCATCATGTTCACATTTTAGATTTCAGCCTGTTATGCCTTCATTTGCTCCAACTCTTATTCAAGTCTATGGATTTGGAGACTTTGACTATGATTGTGACGTATTGGCTATTTGTTCACTTACTATTGTTGACTTCCGCATTTTCTATGTTTAGGTTAAGCATCTTTCGCTGAGGGTGTAGCTATGAATATAGTGAATTCATTACAACTGCATTCTGTAATTGTGCTCAAATCTAAAGATTGTTTTGGTTTATACTTCATTTGACCAAAATTAAACATAGTATTGAACAATCCATAATTTTAATCATCAAGTTTTTCAACTATCTAATGATGTAGAATAGGTTATTGTTATATTTTTTTAATAATAGCTCTCGTTTCATTAGTATCATCATCATCATCTTAAACAAGAAATTCAGATTGATTTGGATTGTAGTTACCACTTGATTTTGTTCTTCGATGATGAGTTTTTTTCATATATCGTATATATATTTAAAATATATGTGTAATTTAATTCTCAATTTTAACATAATTTGTAACTAAGACCATTAACTACTATTTAATAATATTTCTTGAGATAAGGATGATTATTTAATTAAAATATTAAAATGATTGATTTCGATCCCTCAACATTTGGATTAGCCCACACATATTAAAAGGAAGACAAAGATGAAATCAATACTTTAAGTATGCCCAGTGCACCTTAAGTGATTTACAGAAGCTTAAATGGTCCAACATAAACAAATGGAGGAAACAAATTAAATAATTTCAAACATGGAACAACAACATTGGGATTTGTATTTAAAGAGGGCATTCTTTTGGCAGTAGATTCAAGAGCTAGTATGGGTAGTTTTTTGAGTAGTGAACAAGTGCGAAAGGTCATTGAAATCAATGAGTATCTATTAGGTACATAATTCAAATTATTCTAGGCACAATGGCTGGAGGTGCAGCTGATTGTTAATACTGGTTGGCATATTTGGCCAATCATTGTAGAACATATGAATTGAAAAATGGTAGTAAATTGAGTGTGGCAGCTGCCTCCAAATTCCTTTAAGGCATTCTTATTGGTTATAAAAACTCTGGTCTCTCTATGGGTTGTATGATAGCAGGAACTGATCTATCTGGACAACACTTATACTACATTGATAATGATGGAATGAGATTGAAGGGAGACATCTTCTCAGTTGGCAGTGGTAGTACATATGCTTATGGTGTATTGGACAATCATTATAGATATGATATTATCATTGACTGAAGCAGTAGAACTGGGAGTCAGAGCTATTTATCATGCAACACACAGAGACACTGCTTCTGGTGGTGTAGTTAGAGGTAACTATTGAAGGTCATTCTAGTTTATCACATTCATTAGAATGGCTGGACTAAAGTACATGATGGAATTGATGTAGTCGATTTGCATTATAAATTTGCATAATAAAAGGGATTAGTAGGAGATGGTGATGAAGCTAAATAGAGATTGTTTTGATTTATAAAGCATAATATTAATATTTATTTATATGTCTAAGAAAGAGGCTAAGAAGCAAGCAAAACAGCAGGAAGAATCCAAATCCAAAATCAATTTTGAAGAAATCATTATGAATAATCTATCAGGATTTAAGATGGTTTAGGATAATAGTGGTTTTCATTTCACAATCCTGAATTTAAATCAGAAGAATGTAGATGTTTTGACTCAAACCTTTGGAAATTACAAATATATTGAATCCATAGATTTAAGTGGGAATAACATTACTGAAATTGTGCAACGTATTATTCTTACTATCTAGTTTCATAACTGCCGTACTTGATCAGATTGAATGTCGAAGGCAATAATATTAAGGATTTGAAATCCCTTGCTAACGAGGAGGCTTTCAAATCTCTTAAGTATCTCAATGCTGCATCCAACAAATTGGTTGAATTAGGTCCTATCAAAGTTCCCTTAATATAACTTAATCTGAATGATAATAAAATAGAAAAAATGGATACTTTTGACGGTAATCCAAAATTGAGGTAATTATACTTGAAGAGAAATAAAATTGCTGCTTTAACTTAGTTTTAAAATCTACCTGAGTTGAAAGAACTTAAATTAAGCGAAAATAAAATCAAGGCGATTTAGGGAATAGAATTATTAACCTCCATTTAAATATTGCAATTAAGAAAAAACTTAGTATTTACTTAAGACTAATCTAGATTGAAGGGTTCGATGAAACATTTCCAGTTTTGGAGAACATTGTTCATTTTGACATCAGGGAAAACAAAATCGATAAATTTGACGAAATTACTAAGTTGCAAACCTTACCGAACTTAAAAAGATTGCTATACAAAGGAAATCCTTTTGAGTCTAAAAGTCCAAATTACTTATTGGATACAATCAATATTATGGTAAGATTAGAAAAAATCAATAATATTTTTGTAACAAAGCAACTCAAGGAAAAAGCATTTTCATTTGCTAAAGATAAATACGATAGAGAAGTCGAGTAAAAGAGATTGCAAGAAGAAGAAGAAAGAGCTAAAGAAGCAGCAGCCCTTGCAGCATAATAAGATCAATGATATTGTTTAAATATAAATTATAACACATTAATATTTTCATTTGGATCTTCTTTTAGCTTTTAATTCTCTGAATAAAAGAACGCAACAAACTAATTCAGCTAATAATGTTATAAGACACAAAAAGGTAAATAAGTGTTCGTCTCCGATCCTTGGGATGATGATCTAGAACATGGCGGCTGTCAGAGTTCCAGTACTTTCAATCAAGGAGGATACAGTTGATATCGCTGCCTTATCATTTTCAAACTATTTAGTAAGTTCAATTGAAATCACTCCTGAAATGTTATTGTATGGTCCTCCCTGGAAGATACCTATTGCCAAAATGCAAAGATAATATGGCCAGACTATCAAATCCAAACAGAATTTAATCACCAACATAGAACACATTGCCAATAACAAGCTTGGCACAAAATAACAGGCACGTCGCTTATATTTATCACCCAAGTATCCTAAGAATATTCCACCAACATAACAGCCAACATCAAACATTTGTGAAATATATGAAGAATGATTCTCAAGTTTCTCTCCCTTTTATTAAAAATAGAAGGGCAACCAATCTAAAAATCCATAGAAAGTTCCTTTAAGACAAGCATATCCTACGGCATAAATGGCAACTCCAGGAACCAACCAGGCTGATAGAACATTTAAACTTTTATTTTTCTATTTTAAAATTAAAGGAGCAGATTCCGATTCATTTACACCTTAAATTTAATTTCTAGGTTCGCTTTACAAAAATGACAAGGTGGCTACACTAACTAGAATCAGACAGCATGACATAAAGTAAAAGCCCCAATAAACTGGCATTTCGAGTCTTTGAATGACAACATCACCAATTAATAATCCATAAATATCACCCGCGTTAACACATCCTGACCATAACCCCATCATTAAACCTACCTTATGATTTTTAAACCAATTTCCCAATACATTTACGCATGCAGGATAGCATGCAGATTGTATTAAACCATTTATAGCCATTAATATTATGACCAATGGACTATTCATTAAAATTTAAGTCTTACAAAGTTAAGAGTTGAAACTCCTGCAATATCCCAAGGATTGCAAACAACATACCAACTGCCATACAACTAATTCCAATAGAATGCTTCAAACTGTTTTTACAACACATAGGACCTATTGTATTCATACCAATGCCATATGTTAATAGGAATGTTAAATATGCCTATCCCATTTTATTTTTATCATAGTTATCTATGGTTAAATATTTTTGCATGTATGACCATAGAGTTCTGGCTGCATGCATTTAGGCATAACTAATAAATGTAAGAATCAAAACAGTCTTTTTTCCCATTAAAATAATTGTTTATATAAGTCTGTTCTTTATGTATTAAGTGATATTAATTAATGATGTAGTTTTACGCATTATAAATGTTACAATCAAAATAAGTTGTCATGTTTTTATACTAAATAGCTTTCAAAAATTATACAATGACTCAACAAAATATAAAAGAATGAAGGATGAATCTGAAGGAGAGGAAGATGAAACTTGAATCAAATAGTAATGGGTTTGAATTTTCATAATTCTGTAAAAAAAAAGCATAAGTGAGCATAAAATCAGAATATACAATAATATGGAAACGTGATTAATAAAAATAATAGAATCATAAGAGAATGGGACTTTTTATTTACAATTCCTTTAAGTTACTAAAGAGAATATTCTAGTAGATATTCTATATTTATCAATTGGTAAATGTAAAGAAAGAAATAATAATATAAAAATGATTTAAACTTTATCGCAGCAAGAATTGAATATAGAATTTACAAATCAATTAATAGGACTTAGGAAGAGTTGCATATTAATATCACACGAAAAATGAAATTGTTAATCTTATGTTATATTATTATTAATGAATTAACAAATATTAAGAAAAATGGGCGTCACAGAACAAGATCTATTACCTCTCAAAAAGATTAAAGTCCCTCCTGAATTTGAGAATGATTCTCAATTCTATTAAGAAACAATCCTGAAACAATATGAAAAAAGAAGATAGAGATTGTTAATTGAATATTAGGAATTACTCAATAGAAAATCAGAAGAAACTTAAAATCACCCAAAATCGCTACCACCTGAAGAAAAATAAGAGGATTCTACAACATCTAGGATTAATGATAAATTGTTGAAGATAAAGAAGTTTTAACAAGATTATCGAGAATAATAATTGATGCAATATTCGTAAAAGGAGCAATTAATAGAAACACGAAGGAAACAAATAAGTAGTGAAAGGGAATTGCGTGCATATTAAAAGGAAGTCTTAGACACTTCTCGATTAGAATAAGTTCATAGAAACAGAGACATTATTTAGAAATTGATAACAGATAAGCAAGTGTAAAGAAGGATGAGCTATGATGTTAAGTTGCAAAAATGGGAACTCTTAAAATAAGCCCAATATTTAATTCCTAAAAGTACTAGAGTTAATGAAACATTGGCACGTTATTAAAAATGTTTAGAAGAGAAGAAACAGCAGGATTTACAGAGATTAAAAAGATTGGAGGAAAGTCTTGAGAAGGCCTGTTCTAAGAAATCTTAAAATGTTGTTGAAGTTAAAAGAAGAGGGTTACTTGAGTAATTAAAAATTGAAGAAGCTTTGTTTAACCGAGAAAGATCTCAAAATGCTAAGAAGAGCAATCTTCTAGAAAAAACACAGTAAAGAACTGTTCTGGATAGACGATCAATGAGTGAATTACCAAGAGAAAAACCTTATCCTTTGCCAAAGTTTTTAAGTTCTAAATAACAAAAAAAGTTAAACTCTTAAACTATGTAACATTTCTCATCTGAAATTATATAACTCATAGATTCAGTCAACATTCATGATATTGAAGAGAAATTACTACAAGTTTGCGCCTCTTAAGATAAGACATAAGCAGAATTATTTGCTAAAACTAATTATTTATTTTTATATCACTGATTTACATAATCTCAAAAAATTAAATTGATATTTATTTATTTTTCAAATTCCTAAAATAGAATTCTTCTATTGAGTAATATTTAGTCTTTTAAAATCTAAAAATGAAAATTAAAGTTCAGTAAAGGTTGAATATATTATTGAATCATCTAATTTTATATTAGCATAGTTAAGACATTTTTTATTAAGATTTTGGTATCATTATTAAACTCATTTTTCAATATCATCTTTCATATCCATATTTTTTGAAATAATTGAAAAGAAAATTTATATTGAAAACTATTTAAATTGCTCGTATTGATTAAAAAATAGTATCCATATTATTGTATTCCAAAATAAATTATTTGAAATAATATTTTAAAAATTTTATAACTTTAAATGATATAACAGAAAATTTTATTCTTATTGACATTTTATATCTTGGCATTGTTGAAATATCAATCTATGTATTATTATATTATATTAATTTTATTCACAACATTTTATAATAATTTAATTTGTAATATGAAGATGAATTATCATAATTGATAAAGTAATCAAATTATAAAATTAAATTGAAAGTAATTAAACAAGTCAAAAAGTACAAGAGATTAATCTAATTGTTTAATAAATATAGTAAAATTACTTATTCGCAATTAAGTTGAATAAAGAAGTAATAAAACGGAATATAAAATATCATTATGATGAATTAAATTAATGATTAAAAACGAATATAATTAAAAATAAAATGTTTGGTAAGGCGATTATCTTAATCGTGTCAATATTGAGTCATCTTCTCATTTACAACTTCATTCGGACATCCCTTGTTTATAAAAATAGATAAGAAGTCGACCAAATATTGACATACCTTAACAAATACTTAACAAACACTTATTATGCACCTTCAGCCAATCATTCCGCAGTATCAATTATATAACTAATTGTTAGTATAATTCGATTCTAGTGAAACCAGAATATGACTATTGCAAAAGGTCAGATTTATACAAATTTTACCACCCTGATGTTATAATGACAGACACTTATACTTTTCGCGAAGTCAAAGGTGTGATCAGAGAGACCTTGAGATCATCTTATTTTGATTGCATCCCTTAAATGTACTTAAAAATGAAAAATTCCCAAAGTAAACATGCTTATTCTAATAAATTGATAGCTTTATCGAAGCATATTTTGCCAGAGCAATTAACTTTGCCATTCACTTACTACGATTAATTGATTCATAAATTTAAAGTGGGATAAGGTATGAACTATTAATAAGCAATTAGCATCTCTATGTTTATTCTAAAAATATAACCATTTGCCTTCAAGACATGTTCTTTCTCACAAGGACAACCTCATGAATAATTAATATAAATATATCGATTCTCTAAGAGAGAAAGGTGTTGATTAAGAATGTATTTAAAATGCAACCTTCATTCCAAAAACCTATCGTTTGTTTTAGAAATAAGATTGTAAAGAATTTTTCGATTATTTGAATTCTAAGGAATACAAGGATAAAATAGCTAAAGAAGGGCCCCAATTTATAACCAAAGTAGGTTTAGAAGTTCATCGAGGCAGAGGAATCAAAGTGTTGTTTCCTGAAGAAACTAAAAAGTTGTAGGAAAAATATAAAAATGGAAAAAGTTGTGGTGCAGATCACTCTCTGTTAGTTGCACAATAATACATTGGAAACCCGATGTTGTTCAATAATCATAAGATAGAATTTCGAATATATTGGGTTCTGGCTTCGACTAATCCAATAATAGCCTATGCATACGATAAGACCTTAATTAGAAGATGCATAGCTCCATTTGACAAGTTCTCATTAAACAAGGAAGCTCATGTTTGCAATACAGCCATAGTGAAGAGCACTCTTAAGTAGAGAGGAGCTGATTTGGATTTGGATGATGAAAATGCTGATGAATCTGAATTGTTTATTGATTGGAAATTGGATTATTTGCAAGACTTATTACTTTAATAAGGAAAAATTAAAGACAAGAAATGGCTCCAAAATTATCTCTATCCAACAGTTGATAGAATGATTATACATTCTATTAAGTCAGTGGAAGACTAAATAACAAGAGACAGTAGATTAGCAGAGTTCTTTGCAGCTGATTTTATTCTGACTGATGATCTCAAAATTCACATCATGGAAATCAATTATAATCCTCAAACATTAAAGACTACACCTGCGAGGTAAAAGCAACATGCGAAGATGGCTTAGGACATGATTGATATTCAGAATGCCTATCTTAGGAGTAAGTACTTGAGATTTAAGAAGATTACTCCTTAAAATATAAGCTAAAATGAAAAAAGATTTTAAACCTCTCGATTAAATTATTACACAAAAAAATATAGAAGAAATAAATGAAGCTTATAAGGATAAATTGGATTAAGGCATAAAGATTAATGAAGATAACCTTTTCAGATTAATAATGGATGAAAACTTGCCGGGAACAAAAAAATATAAAGATCTAATTTAGAAAAAATGCTTATGATGTATTATGTGGCTAATTGTGTATTAAATAATAAATATTAAAAGAAATGGATTAAGCTCGTATAATATAGATTATTATTAATAAAAGTTTAAATTTATTCTTAAATCAATCATTCCAAAAAAAACTCATTCATAAACCCCTCTAAAGTTAGCATTCTATATGTTGATTTTTAGAGTATGGCTTCTATCCTATTTATATTAATTTCATTCAAATATCCCATTTAAACTAGTTGACTCTTAATTTCAGGGATTAATTTTCTATTTAGCTCATCAAAATTGTAATGTTTGGTTGATTTTCCATTCCTGTCTTTCACAATTAACTTTAACTTTATGACTGGTCCAAATTGAATCCTTTCATTATGCTCATTTTGATATTCAAATCTACATTAGAACTCGTACTAATTCTACGGGATATCGGGAATGTGGATTTTTATTTCTTAGTTTATTGTCTACTATTTAATTGCTGATTTGATATCCTATCTGATCTAAAACGGGCCTTCATTGCAAACCAATTACACTTTTTAAGGCCAATTATGAAATCCATCATTCATATACCTTAATTGCATTACAGCCTCACCTCCTACTTCCCCTTCAAAATTAGACTTTTCAATTATTTTTACTTTGTATTTATGATTGTATCTATCATCCTGCTAAATAACTAAGATTGTAAATTATTCATACCATCGCTCTCTTAGATATTTTGAATAACTATCATATCAGGTGTTATTGTTAAATATTCTTGCTTAAGACACTTTTTGATACTATTATGGTATTTCAAAAAATCTTCTGGAGAAGTGATTTTTGTCTAGTCTCTTCTTTGAATTCTAAAATAGCATTAATAAATTGTACATCTAACTAATATCCGGTAGTCTTTCGTTTAGTTTGTTCTTAACAACTTCATTTATGAATGGCTAATCGCTTTCTTTAATGATTGCTTTTCCAGTTCCCAAGCATAATTTGCAATCTAATCTGGTGCAACATTCAATTGTATTCCCCCTAACAAATGCTTCAAAAAATTGATTTTATTTATCATTAAATTCAATAATTTCAATGGACTTGCATCCCGATTATTATATCTTAAACATGACATCCTTCTTTATTAAATTGGGATTTCGAAATTCGAAAATTTATACCTAATTTTTGTTTATTTCCAATCTACTCTATTATGAAAATAATCGATACTTTGCGTCGAACTGTTTGATTTTAAATGTAGTGCAAACAGCATAAATGAAATCATCAGGATCGTCAGTCAATTTGTAATATAAGGTTTCAGAACCGAAGGTGACTTGAACCTTGGAGCTTTGCATTTTATAAATTAAGAATTAATTATTTTAGCTAATGTAATAATAATTTCTAGTCCTAATTATGGAATGGCAATTACGTGTGGGTGCTTGATTTCGATAAGTAGTTGATGCAATTTTCAAACAGATAATATATACATTTAGATGTAAATTCATAATTGGGGTTGTTTCCCGAACACAGTATTTGAATTATATTGATTGAAGACTGAGAACTCCGAGGTTTATTGTTTCGGAACTGGAGAAGTGAATCTAGATGGATTTTTCGATTGTTCATTAGACTGTACTCTATGAGTGTTCGACCCGAAACAATATTTATGAGAAGTGGCAGTACTTCCTTCAGTCTTGGTGGCTGAATCTCTGGAATTCGATTAACACTGCAATTCTTTAATTTGCTATTTCAAGGTTTGTATTTCCTGATCTCTTTTGGCTAGCATCTAATTTTGGGCTAGCGTCAATTTTTATTAAAGTTCATGAGCCTGTCTCTTAAGATCGAAGTTTTCCTCCAGAAGACCCTAGTTCTCCTCTTCTAATTCCTTCCTCTTGTTCAATAATTCTTTGTTCTACTTTAGTATTCTTTAGTATGACTCGCTCAACTGTTTATTATGTTACTCGATGTTTTGCGATTATTCATATATTTGTTTAGATACTAAGCATAGACTTGAATGAATAATACTTATGACAACATCATCCTTGGGAAATTCAGGTAAAAAATTACTAGATTAAATGGGCAAGTTTGATTGATTAGTCTCATCAGTCTTGGGAGCTGAGAAACTGAGTTCGCGTTGGTCTTGCATTTCATCTAAATAGAGGGATTCTCGAATTCCTTGATTGAATAGAGTGGCGAATTGATCTGGAGACAGAAAAATGGGGCTATTGCTACTTCGTTACATGATAATTTAATTAATATTAATAGTGTCATTCGATTAAATGAGTGGTATGCTTCTCCGATTCATTTATTCTATCCAATATTTAAGACTTAATAATTGCATACTCTTCCTTGTTGGCTAAGAAATGATCCACTTTCTGATTGCAAATCGGGCATTTATCAAGCATCCCCTTAATTCTTATCCAATCTTCAAAACAATCGTAATGGTAAACATGTCCACAAAATAGTTGAGCAACGAATTGAGAGACATCAAATTAGTCAAAACAAAAAGCACATGAGTCCTCTCCATACAACAACAATGAAGGATCAGATGGGTATTTAGTAATTATTTCTTGGTCAATCAAATTCTGCATCACAGTTTTCAATCTATCATCATTCAAAGGAACCTAATGCTACATATAGGGTGCTATCTTTAAGATTAATTCATATAATTACTTAATTGAGATCATTATCTATCGTCTAAGCCACCAAATATTGTAATCTTCTCTTAGCCATGTATCCCATTATGCAAAATAGCAATATCCCACAGCACAGCCAAGTCAACATTTATAACAGTGATTGTTTCAGTCTATCCCCCATTGATATTGGAGCAGAATTTGAAAAGGAAAACGAGATGTTATTTGCCAAATTATCCTCAATAAATATGATTGTATATCTAAAGTAATATCCCTTGAATGGATAGGTAGTTGTCTAATTGAAATCCCATGGTTCGAAATTGATCTATGAACAAATTTCATTCTTACTCAATCCTAAACAAATTGATATCTAAATGAAGGAAGGGAGATTCACAAGATCAGCCTTGAAAAACAAGTTGAATTACTGGAATTCATTAGCATCATAAAACCAAGAGCACATTTGTCCTTTTCTTATTTATCCTTGATAGGTGAACTCCTTATTTTCTGAAAATTCAGTTTAGTTATATCCACAAAAGACGTCAGTATTTTATTATTGTGTTTCCTCACACTTCCATATCTTACCGTAATACCATTTAGAACTTTACTCATTTGAAGAGAGATCTATTTAATACATTTGGGTTTCCTTATGACAAGCATCATTATCCCAATTGCATCCAATTTAGTTATTGCATTTCAAGCAACTATTTTATATACTGCAGTAATCAGTAAATTATTGATATAGTTCAGAACTAATACACTATTGTTCGTATGGGACCATCTGAATGTCATAGTTAAAATACAAGAGGTCGCATGGTTTGATACATGAAGTATAATTCTACAATTCTTCAAGAGGTTCGAGGTTATTTTTATTTTACTCCCAATTCTCATCCAAGAATTAGAACTAATATTCTAAGGATTAAGAATTTGGATGTGGAAATGAAGTAAATGTATTTGGACAGTTGCTTTATTGATTTACGTTTTCATTTCTATCTAGTTGCACTTTTAATAAGCGGAAGTTGTCATAAACAAAAACAAATTACTTTTCATCTTGAACTATAATCGAATTAGTGAAGGGGACATCGATGATCTAAAGGAAGTTAACCTATTTTAAGGTGAACCAATTTGGGGTATTGTCTATGGAGTAAACTAGAGTTTGATGATAGGACTTCTGAAATACTAGATTCGACTTTTGATCAACGAATAGTGGAGAATTTGAGAATAAATACAAGAGTTGAACCTCATAAAGAATGGAGGAAATATGAAACAAGGCTTAACAGGTTTTTAATTCAACCAGTAGATAGTCTTCAAATTATTAGGTCTTCAAAATTAAATCATTTTTTTAAATCAATTCTGCAATCTAATATTGTGAAACGAATCTCAATTGCCAATCCAAAAAAGAGTACTCCAATATGTTTAATATGTCCTCCTCTGCAATTACAATAATCAAACTATTCCTCTGTTTATTATAGTATTGTGAAAACCCTTTGATAACACAAGTTGAAGTGCAAGTAAAGTTATGTGCCTTCAAAGGAAAAGAATTCACTCTACTTGGATGGATTGGTATAAAATAACATGTAATATAATGCTCATTTACATGACTCACTAAATATAGAAATCATATAATTACTTAGAAGTCCAATCATATTCAAAGTTCCATCGATTGCAGTTGCCTAGTAATTATAGAATGAATATTTGTTGATGGAAAGTGACTGGATCATCTACAGCAAATTCCCATAATATGAATAATATAAAACTAGTAATTTAATTTGGTAGGATAGTGTCTCTGGGTCTATAAGCAATTCACTAAGAAGCATATTGCTTAGTTAGACATCTTCTGTTGTGTTGAAGGAATAGGCGTAGACAGAATCTTGATTTAATTGGGATTTAGGAATTATGGCATTCATTTATGAACACTGAAATAATAGATTGTCTTGATTCTCGCCTTTCATTTTACATCTAGTGAATAGGTCGGTAATGTTATTAAGAGTTGAGTTGTCAAATAAACTGGAACTGTAGCATGTTTAAATCAGCAATAAAATTATCATTTAATTATTAAATGTTTCGAATTTTATTCATTTTCTTAGCTTTATCCTAAGCCAAAATCATTACTAGATCATTCTCCCTCAAATAACTTTCGACCATGGACTACATCCCAATAAGCAGATTCGGCAGTCGCGGAGTTGTAAATTACGAAATACAGTACTTAATCGCCATCTTATAGATAGGTCTCGTTTGATTAATGTTCCCAAAGATTATGAAGGCGAAAGATTAATGATCCCTTTTGAATTCTTTTAATAGGATAAATGGCAATAAGCTTAGTCAATACCTGAGTGCCGTAAGTAGGATAAAGCAAATAGAATTATCTACCAATCCATAGAAGTTAACCCTTTTGAAGAGATCTCTACATTGAATGGATAGTTGGCTTATGGAAGACATCATAATGTCTGGTTGGCAATATTTAATAATTGTGATCACAAACTTGAAAAAATGTTTTCTAATTCTTCATCTAAAATCAAATTGGAAATAACTATCTGGTTCTACGATGAAGGAGGATAAGAATTCTCTTTGGAAGAACATGGATTGTTCAGCATTGTTTCTGTCTTGGCATTACTAACTATAATTGGATTTTATTACAACTATCGGATTTTTAGGAAAGAATAGGAGAAATATGGAGAAAAAGATTACGCATTACTTTTTGTCCTAGTAATCATTGGATTGGAGGCATCCTAAAATACTCTCAATTTCTTCAATCTTTTGGTGTATAACAGTAATGGAAGAGGAATCAGTGTATTTGCAATCCTATCAGAAGTGATTTAATCAGTGGATAACTATTTGCTGATGTTGTTATTAATACTAATAGCTTGGGGTTGGACAATTGATTTTATTAATCTAGAGACGTAGGCAGCTTTCTATCTTCCCTTAGTATTTGTCCTTGGAATAGTCTAAACAATATTTGCCATTATAGGCAGGTTGCTTAGCACTTAAACCTAATTTCATATGTATGAAGGGTGGGCAGGCTATTCAATTAGCATTATTTATATAGTTCTTGCTCTATATTTCTTTTATTCAGCAAATCAGCAAAAAAAGAAAGGGGAAGTTGCTGATAGTTTTTATTTCAAACTTAAACTATTTGGAACTCTATTCTTTATCTCCTTCCCAGTTCTATTGATGGTCTCTAAAGTCATTGATCCCTATAAATCATACAAGGTGATTATTTTAGGAAGCATGTTAATGAGGCTATTGAATATCGCTCTGTTGGTTAGATTATTTGTAGGAAAATCAACGGACTATTAAAGAATTTGCATCAAAGGGAAATCCTTTTTGGATAGGGATAAAATAATGTGAAATGTATTTTAATTTTATAGAATGTATGTAATATTTAAAAATTACGAATACTTATAAATTCTCTTTTTCTGAAATTATATAATTGCATCTATAATGTGTATTTTCATTAATTATTAATGCAATCATCTAATCCCCAGATAATATATGCAGTCGTTGCAAGAGGCTCGAATTTATTTTTGTCAGAATATTCAATACTTAAAGGGAACTATATAGATTTTTCCAAAACAATTCTATCAAAAGTATACCATAATAATATCAAAAGGTTAACCAATAAAATGCAAAGAAATCATTCAACTATGAATAATATGAGTTCCACATTTTAGTAGAAGATGGGTTTTCCTTTTTGATTATGGCAGATAGAGGATTGAAGATGAGAATTGCATTTGCCTGTTTGGAGGACATGAAATAAAAATTCTTTTAAATGTTTACGCCATAATAAAGGGATAAAGCTATGTCGTATGGATTAAATTCATAATTCTCTATCGTAAAAATATTTGCATTAACTATGAAAGGAATAAAAGAACTAAATTTAATATTATAATTCTCCCTAGGCAGATAAATTAAGGATGGTATCCGATAACATTTAGTAAACCAAAGACGTAATGATGGAAAATCTAGATAAATTACTGGAAAGAGGAGATAAAATAGAAATTTTGGTGGTTAAAACTGATTAAATGGCTATGTAAATAAATAGAAATAGCTTTAGGCTTTCAACAACGATGAGAACAAATGCAACAACTCTGAGAAGATAAATGTGGTGGAGAAACAAAAAGATGATGCTCATTATGATACTTGTGGGATTATTGGCTATATACTTTATTATGGTTATCGCATGTGGAGGGTTTGCTATGCATAGGTGCTTTGGTAGTAACGACTGATTAATTAATATATATATATAATTAATAGAAATTAGAAATTATTCTAATAAATGCAATTCTACTTTGTAGAATCTGAAAGCATTTTAGAAGAAGAAATGAAATTGAAAAGAATGAATGAAATAATTGGTTTGATTATATCTCATTATTATTCAGCAGCTCTTCTTTCGGCTAATCTTTCCAATTCTTAGACCAAAACTAATTCTTATCTTCTTCCGGTGGTGACGGCTTCATATTCAACATCGAAGCTGTGGCACAAGTCGGCAGCATCATCCCATAAGGTTTAGTTTCTTTATTTCTTGTTGGTGGCGGCTTAAGCAACTGCGGTTTAGACGGAAATAACTCCTTGTAAGTTTTCAGCCTTGTTGGCTAATCTTCCCTTTGAGTCATCAAGTCTGGCTTATGAGGCAAGGTATAAATCCTTTTATTAGGCGAAGAGACCCAAAGCGTTGGTGTTTTCAGCGGTGTATGAGGCCCAAGCTTCTTCAACGTTGGATCTCAAGGTTTACAATAATTGGGCGAGTCTTTCAGCAGCACCTACTGAGTCTTCTTCTTATGTGATTTAAGCCAAAGCAGCCAATGGGGCCATGAAAGCCTTGTTCATCTTGGTGGCAACTGATGATTTCATCAATTTGGTTGTCATTTCGGCAACTTAGATCAAACTGGCTCCTCCTTTAGCTAAAGCGGCGGCCAAATCAAGGGAGTCATCGATGGCGTTGATGGCATCGTTGAATGTGACGGCACCTCTGTTGTATGATTGGGTGTCTTCCTTTCTGGCGTCGTTGATGAGTCCAATGTGTAATGAAACGGTGTTCAAGATGTTTTCAACTTCACCGAGGGTGGCTTAAGTCTTCTTCAATAAGATGTTTGAGGTCTTCAAGATACCGTTGGCGATTTTGAGTGTACCAGTAGCATCTTCAACTTCAAGTGCTTCTGTAAGCGATTTCGCTATCGCATTCAGCCTTTTAAGCTCCATAGACTTCATCGTGTGTTCCTTATTCTTAGGCGACTGCAGATTTGAAGTTATCAAGAACTCCCTTGATTGTGTCAAGTGGTGAGTGGGCTTTGATCTTGTTTTCGACTTCAACCATGATGTTCATGATGCTTCTCTTTCCACCGTATGTGAGTGGGAATTTTTGCACCATACCAGCGTTAGCGAGAGCTAATACAACCAACAATGTGATAGCAACTTTCATTAAAAATATTAATGTTTATTTCAAACTCTATCCTTGCCTTTAAATACATAAAAAACTTTAGAACTATTTCAAAAACGGATATAAAAATTTATACATCAAAACATTATTTGATACAATTCCAACTCTATTCATCTCAACCTTTGGTCAATTTGAGGGGAATTTTACTTGTAACTCAAGAGATTCACATGAAAATCTAACAAATGAAGGGTTTTGACATCAAAGAAGTAACTATAATATGGGGAAATAAAAAAGAACAATCTTATTTTGTAAATAACTATTTTGATATTATAATTACAGATAAACCCAGAAAAGGATGTCATATTGTCCTCTATTTACTACCAGGATTTTCCATTCCTCTATCCCTTCATGAGTAATTTATAAAAATGAGAGATCTTTTACTTTAATTTTGTGAAAGAAGATTGTGAGCCATACTAATATTGATATAATCCAATAAATAGATATACCCTACATGATTCTATTCATTAATGTTTAAGATTACGAATAATATCTCTATTTTTAGAATTTCTATCTTGAGTTAAGAAATTAGTGACAATTTACTATAATAATAATGTGAAAATATATTAGAATCACTCTTTCGGTAGATAGTCTTGTATAGTTTTTGAATTCTGTGTACTATTTAGTTTTTCTTGAGTATCTGGGACTTCTAATTTATTATCCGGATCTTCGACTGATTCTGTTTTACTTGGAGTTTTCACATGTTCATCGTTTTTTTTATTTTTTTCTGTTCCTTCATTTTGAGTTTCAATTTATATACAATTATTGTCTTTGGAAGTAATTTCTTTTTTTAATTTTTTAGCATTGTAATGATTTGGGAATTCTAAATGAGCATAATTTTATTTATCAATTTGATCCTCAAATTATATTTGTTCTAATTTTTATTCTTATTCTGGACTCTCTTATATGAGTTTATTGTTTTCTTCAATCAATCCAGACTGTTTCAATTCATTCATTCTAATTTTTCGAGATTCATTTAATGAGCATTTATCTGCTAATTCTCTTTATAGTTTAAATGAGGCATCCTTAAATACATTCGCATAACCATTATATATTTCAACCTACTTTTCTTTGGGCAAATCATCTATGCATAGAAAACAGTAGAAATTGATTTTACTAATTTCTTCATTCGGAATTATGATATCTAGACAATCAAAATGAAACCACTCCTCACAGGATTCACAACATATCATTGGATCTCCATCTTTAAATTTGCCTCGACAAACACAATATAAATTGTCATCTCTTTAATAATATTCATCCCCCACTAATTCAATAATTATTTCCTTTTTCTAATCAACTTTCTTACTTTTTTTAAATTTCTTTAACATTAGCATATCTATTAGTTTTGCTTGCTTTTTTTGTGGATTTAATTCTTACATGAATTTACTTGCTCTTCTTCTCAACTTTTCATACATTTTATAAATGATATCCTTCTCGTAATCTCTATATTTGAAAAACTTCCATAACTCATCAGTTGCAGTAATAGTACTTTTATAAAATTATGTAATTATTTAGCCATTCTAATCAACCTTACTTTAATATACTTCTGGTAGTTTAGTTAGGTGATACTATTTTTATTATTTCAATTAGGGTTCTGATACAGACTCAAAAACATATTTGCCCTATTCAGTTCTCAGATTTACAACCATTTTTTAATCTAAAATCTAGTCTATGAATTCCTTTAATTTAGTTGCAAAGTCTACTAAATCAAATTCATTTTCTTAATATTCCTGCATTTCGAGTTTTAATTGAGCTTCCTTGGAATTTTTTGTTTTTTTAACTCTTTATTGAGACTTTTTTTGGACAGATTTGCATTTTTCATATGCTCTAAAAAAATCGATGATTTCTCTTTCATATAATCTTTATTTTGATTCCAATATTCGTTTGACCTTGAGTGGCACATGTTTTTAACAAAATATCTGATAATCGGTTTTAGTATTAACAATAGTTTGGGTTAAGAATATTCCTGATCGTCTGGCACATTCAACATGAAATCCTGTTTAACAATTGCCTCTAGCACATTAGATGCACATCCCAGCCTTCTTGATATTGCATAAACTACAATTAAGAATAAATCTCTTTTGATTAATGTTATCAACTCCTCTTAATATGTCTTACTTTTCATCTAAAAAACATTCAGGAGACCAATAAAAACAGGATAAATGAATCCAGACCTTTTGTGGTTAAGGTTCTTTGATGTCCTTATTGTTCTCAAGATCCCTAATATCTCTGTTTGGTATTTTACTAAAATCATAATACAGTTCTTAATCATCATCTATTTATTGAACTATTTATGTTATTAATAGACTTACATAATTTAGAAACTAGATCATTTTTCATCATAGTTTCCCCTTAAGACTCAAAATAGGTTTAATTTAAATGTTCAAAGCTTGATGCATCGATTTGGGTTGCCTTCATAGCTCCCCCTAGTTTTGGACATAAAGCACAACGCAAATATTATCCGTTGGGTCCAAAAGTCTAACACACATCACATATCCAATCTTCATTCGGTATCACTTCTATTAAATAACACTTCTAATGGACTGATATATTGCATTTGGAACAGAACACTATTAGATTATCGTCTGTATAGTCTCCATCATTACAAACTTAACAAAGGGCATCATCTAAAATTGGCGATAAGTGAATTCCTCCTCCTTACGTCTTTTTGCCTGTTTCTTAAGTAATAATATTTTATCCTTCTGTCTAGATTTTGAGCTCAATTTTTTCAATATATTGTTTTTCGTATTCTGTTAGACCAGAAATATCCCTTAATAGGTTATTAGATTAGTCAGTTTTAATGGGGGGTTTTAGTTGGGGTATATCAAGTGCTAAAAAGTTTTGGAGTGCTTTTTCATTTTCCCTTTAAATTTTTTCCAATTCTAATCTAAAAATAATAAAATAATGCTACTCTTAGTTGAGAATAATATCATCTAAATCCTAAATTCTTAATTGTCTCATCTCTAAAATGAATATATCATCATTCACATCATACCCTTTTTTATTTTTCTATTTTTTACAATCACTTAATTAATCGATAATTATACTCTTAACATGAAGTACCATTGGGTTATTCAGTTTTCTTAAGCAATTTTTGAACTTCTTAAAGGTTATGTTCAAGATAGTCATGATCACAATTGAAATACATAGCTGCAATCATAAATTGTAAAGTGGAAGCCTGCAAAAATTGTACTTGAAATTAGATTTAGTTTACTTGGATAAATAACCTTCGTATTGTTTGTGTTCTCAATATCTGTCCAATCGAACTCTCCCATTTTTTGAATAGAATGTAAGTAATTTTGATATTTTTTCGTTACCTTCTATTGCACCTCAATCATTTAATTTTCTTCGCTTTCCTCATGTAAAGTCTTGTTTACTAGTTATCTTCTCACTCTGGTTTATTTTCTCCTCTTCGTAGCTGGGTCTATATTCTACATATCGCTATCATAATTATGAGCCATTTATTATATACCTCTTAAAATTTGCAAAAAGTACTTTAAAATAAAAAATAATTCCTTAGTCCTCATATAACGAATCAATACTTTATCTTTCTCTTTTCAATATTCTCGAAAGGACCTACCTAATGTAAATACAATAATTGCTATGAAGATTTAGATACCTCCTTGTTCAATCTTATTTACATAATTCAACGTAACTACTAGAATCACTATCCTCTAAATCTAAAATAATCTCAGTTATATAGGATTATTCTTATAAATAAGTATTTAATATATCTTGATTTATAAAATTTTAATAAATTAAACTTTCTATACAGAATAAATCAATTCTTGAACATAAACTAAATTTAAGATCCTTTAGTATATTAAAGAAGTCGTCCTTTTTTAGTTATTTCTTTTCTATTTCATTTTTAACGACAATTTTATATCAAACCAAAAAAATAATTCCTAAATAAACATATTTAGTATATGCACATATTTATGTATTCAAAAATTTAAAAGGGTAATAGTAAGTATGATTAATTTAAATTGAATCTAAATAATTGAATTTATAATATAATATATATATATAATAATCATATAATTTGTTGTAATTATTCCCTAGTTTACAAACCTTCATAAATTTATATCTTAAGGAACTGCTCTGATTTTATCATAGCTACAAAGACATTTCCATTTTGTCCCAATAAAATGTTTACAGCAGTAAAATTTAACTTTTCATAATTAAAATTCTTCTAAGATTAATTTTCTCTATGCCAAAAGTGAATATACTATTCTGAATTTTTGGTAGGTTCTTCTAATTGAAAGAAATAATTTAAAGCTGATTGTGTAACACATTTTGTTATTCTCTCATCTTCATAAGCAATAAATTCTCTTTCTGGATAGGTTATCATCCACACTGCTCCATTTACAAATGCCTTGACTTCATTTCTTTAAAAGCATGAATAATGAGGTATGATTTCACAATCATAGAAAGCTGGTTTTTCTTTTATCCATGTTTTCGGATCCTCTCTCCAAAAATACACAGTTGAGTCTGTAACTTCAGCTAACACATCCTTTTCATAACCGTAAGTTAAGCAATTCATAAAGTCATTGTATTTAAAGATCTTTTTATTTATAATTTTAAAATCTTGACCCAATCTCTTGATGATGTAAAAGGTATGTTAGTGATCTATAAAAATTTGATTCTTAAAAAAAAAGCAGTTGACATCTGATGTAGTATTGATTTGTGTTTATAGATCCAAAGTACTTCGTAATAACCAATTCTAATTCATGTGCAATCTAAGCCAAGTGTATATATATCTTTTGGCGGTATCATACATAATCAAAATGTTCCCTTTTTCATTCAAATACAGTTTAAAAGGTTGACCAATACCAGAAATCGAAAATTATTATTCTCTAGATTTCCAAGTGCCATCCAATCTGTCGAGTGTAAGGAATCTATTTTCATTTAACTATAGCCATAAGACTATTGATTTTTCATTGGCGCTAATTGAGAATCTAACTAAATTAGGCTGTCCCTCTATTTAGAATTCAGATACTTATTAAAATAATTTCTAAAACATTATAAAAGAAAATAATGAACCAATACATTTAATAAAAGTGATTTCTGTAAATTAATATTAAAATTATATTCAGGTGATGATGCTTCAATATTGAAATCAATGATAATGATCATATATTTTATTACCTCAATAGAAATTAAGTAATATTTTGGTAAGTGTGGCAGAACAAAATTACATATCAATATTAAATAGAAGGAACTCCTTTGATAGAAATGATAAAATAGTGAATAAAATAATTAATTGATATGAATATATATTAATAAATGAAATAATTTTATTGTATTTTATTAGCGTATATATAAAGGAATATAATTAGAGATTAAGATATTAATAAAAATGTCACAACTTCCCTAATAAGGATAGGAATCGAAGCCTCATTCTAATTTACCTTAACAAAATATTCCATAAGGCCAAAACCAGAACCAGTTCATACCTCAATAAGGAATTCCAAATCAAATTTTCCCTTAAGCTCAACCATAATATGTGGTTCCTGCTTAAAATTTGGGAAGAGCTCCAATAAGCGGATTTCCAGCGCAACAGCTTCCATATTCATAGCAATAAGGATTATAACCATTGCCTCAATCATAGATCTAAGGATAAACCGGTGCTCCCTATCAGACTGGTCCAGTGTAATTAAGTTCACATGTATTGACCGAATAAGCCATAAAAGGGGAATCGCGAATTGAATATGTGCCATATGAGAGAGTAATCACCGAATACGAGGAAGTGAGAAGGTAGGTGTAGGTGCCAATAACACGATAAATAACTGATTATTATGCGGTCTAATATGAAATTGAATATATTCCATAAGTAATTTAAGAAAAATAAATTGGTAATAATTTATTGTTAATGATTAGAATATGTACCAGTAGAAAGGATCTAAGAGAGAACAGAATATTACACAGTATAAAAATAAAATATTTTGCCTGTAAGAATATCAATAATAATTAAAGGCTCAGACAAATCTAGCATAATCCCAAACTATTCAAACTCAGAGAGTGCAACAACAGATAGTGGTAAGAATATCTTAATTTCCTATAAGACTTAATAAGCTCAACAATATGTGACAGTCGCCTAGCAGCCCCAAGTTACAACCTATTAAGCTCCTCCAATTCAAACAACACAAGTTCTACAACCACCCCCCGTCTAACAACCAATAACAAGCACCTTCATTTAACCTCCGATAACTACAACTCTATAACGACCAAATGTAGTTTAAAACACCATAATTCCATAAACTCAGTTGGCTTCCACATATGTTCAACAATAACCTACTATTATCCCAGGTTAAGTGTAGTCCATTCCACAAACCATTCAAACCACAAGTGTAGTCCCATAAACTATTTAAACAGGCAGTGTTATTCCATAGACAAGAACATTGAGCAAACCACCAACAACAATTATTCAACCCTAAGCAACAATTCCTCAAGCATCAATTCCTTTGGCAACTACCACAGCTTTACCTGTTTAATTAGCTTAAACTGCTGTGCCATCATCTGTTTATAAAGACTTCTAAAGATTGCCAGCCTAGGGTAATTCACTTTACAGAAAAACTTTACCACCCATCTAACCTGGATAATTAGCACAAACAGCCCCACCTATACAAGTAAATTATCCTTTAACATTCAGGTTCCAACATAACCTTAGTAACCATAAAAGCAAGCCAAACAAGATAAGGATAAGACATTCTTAGAAAGGCTTTTCGAGTGAATTATAATAAAAAAATGAATATAATCAATAATTATCAAGAATTCCTTATTCTGAAATAGAATGTTCTATATAAATTCGAATTAATTATATTATTTATTTAAGGAAACCAAATAATTACAATTCCCCACTAAATCTAATCTAGTTCATTTTTCATAATTAATTGCTTTTTCTGAAATCTAGTAAGGATATATTAATCACAATACCAAATAATAATTAATTTGTTGTCCAATTTGGAAGTGTCGAAGTTGGAAATTGTGCTTCCAAACTAAAGTATTCCTAGTAGAAATATAAACCTGGTGCAGATTAGTAATCAAATAAACCAGATCTAAGTAAAGATAAGAAAAATGACCTTATAAAATTATCTAAATATTAAGTTGAAAATCAACAGCTCTATAGATAACCTTATCATATTTGTAGCTAGATTTGTAAATAACACAAAAGTTTTCTACTTTTTTATAATACTTGATGACTGATAAATTAATGATCACGATTTTAAATGATAGAGAATAGAGTTCTTGTCCCACTCATTCAAATATAACGAATAAGTATACCAAAAATCTATCTGAAACATGTTGTAATGAAGATAGAAGGTTTTTATATTGTAAGATTCATATGACAATTTTAGTATTGAAATTGCTATCAATATTATGATTTTATTCAACACAATCAAAACATAATATAATTATTATTATATAATACAATTCATATATTTGATTGTTCTATGGCTTAAAATCAATCAATCAGATTTATAAAACTCAGTACTTTATTAGTATTAGATCTGCAAGCACTATATTCTTTATCAGGCTCAGTTTTTATTGTTTGTGTGTAATATTTCAAGTATTTGTTTTGGTTTTATGATTCGCAGTTTTCAATCCTCTCTAACGACTTTAACACGCATCTGTTATTTTTCATTTTGAACTTCTGCATTCTCTCCAAAGTAATTTAATGTTTCACAAAATCTTAATTCAGAGTTTTTCTATTTATTTGGGGCTCACTTAATATAATTTCTAATTATATACATCGACTTTATTCGTTCTCTCAGTCTAGAATTTTACTTAGATACTTCCCGATCGTATTGCAGCTAAAACTGTTTCCTAGAACTATATATTTTTAGGTCATTTAATTGTAATTTTGGCTCAGTTTTCTGTATCGATCTCAATCGTTAAGATAGTAATTCATTTTTTGCTTATATTTGCTACTCTTGGATTTGATGATTTCTCTTTCTCATTCGTTGCTAAAACCCTGTGACTTGCTCAATTAGCTTCGAATAATCAGAGTCGTTATAGCTTGACCCCCTTACTTAAGCAATTCTTCTTTGGTGACTTTTAAACTATACTCTTTATTCAAACACTTAATGAAATGACAAATAATCTCTTTTAATCATATTAATAAGGGTTCTAAACCATTTAATATTAGCAATCACAAAAATCTCCTGTAGCATCTACTCTTTCCTAAGGATTTGATCACACACTCAATGATTACATGGAGAGATGCCAAATTGAGAGGGTTATAATAGAAAATGTTGAAAAATTCAATGCTTTACAAAAATAACTCAAATGAATATGACTAGCTGATGATGGTAGTAAAAGATGCAGATTCTCTAAATAATCAACACGATGGTGCCTAATATTTTAATTATTATTATTATATAGGTCGATCAATGAGTTCAACATGAAAATGTAACAAACTTTATCCATTAATCATCATATTCTAATTATTACTCCTTAAACAGAGAGATTGCAATAATTAAATAATACACATAAATTTAAACTACTCCAAACCACTGATACTCAGAGTTCGCGAGACTTGTAAACCCCCGTCCTCTCTTAGTTTAATTGAAATGGAATCTAAAAATTGAGTTTCTTTGAAACTTTAAGAAACTTACTTTGTTGGAGATTTATATTCCAATAAAATAATGGGATAAGTGTTGCACATACACATAGAAACAAATTTATATGTATAAACGATCATTGAAATGAGGGTGGCTATAACTCAAGAACTTTGAAAAAGTTCATAAAATGCATTTATTAGGAAGAGTTTAGAGAATAAAACAATTCGCTAAAATCTCTTGCATCTACGAAATTGTGTCTCACCCATTTCTTGAGATAGCAAATGGTTTTGAGTTTATCTTACATTTTATCGATATCTTTCCTTAATTTATGAGTTAAGGCTCTTTTGTATTTTTCACAGAGTTCTTGATTGTAGTTCGTCATAACTTTAGGTTTGATTACCTAATGTTTTTTGTGGTGATTTTCTTTAGTTAGATAATTTTCATAAGGAACTCTAATCTTTTCCCCATTATTGATCAATTGCCTCAATAATTGGATATTCTCAGTAATGAATTACTCTAATCCATCTTACAAAAGGATATGCCTTTTCCTTAAGGATATGAATTGTAATACTTGCAGCCAACTTGATTACATTGACCTAAGAAATTGTAGATGGCACAGACGTAAGAAAAAGAACTTGGGTCTTCTTATTAAGATTTACGCACTCTTTCATCGAAATTAGTATCACTCTAAATGTTTAAATAAGAATTTACAAGGGAACGCAATGAGGATTCGCTATTTATGCGTTCCAATTATTCGCTCTTCTGAGTCATTATTTCTCCCTCCTCGTATTAAGAGTCCATAAAATAAATAATAATTTTAATCAAAGAACCAACAAAAAAAAATAATAAAGAATGTTCGAAATATAATATATAATTTGATACATATTAACATAAAGAACATAAGTATATAAAATAACAAAATGAGTGGTTAAGCGTGTGATCCTGATAAGGGATGCTGGCTATTGAGTGATTGTGAATGGAATGAACTCAGCTTTACATGTGTTCATGATCCTATTTTGGAATTGACACCATACACGGGTTTTGTTTATTCCTTGATTCCAATATTTCTTGGAATCGGAATATTGGGAGGGTTAGGCAGTGGAATGGTCAAAAGGCCTATTTTAAATCTCCTATTAAATTATCCATCTAACATTGCAACTCAAGTCGGAGATAGCTTTCTATTCACAACCACATCTCTGAATTTATTCTTTTTGTTTTTTGAAAAGTATCTTAACATTTCATTAGAAAGACATCCGGATATCCCAGAATTGCCACTTGTTAACTTCGACATCTGCGTAATATTCAATCAAGCCATCCCTTTAGCCTGGAGTCTCGGAGCTCTCCTTTCGTAACTTTTCCCTTAACTTGCTATATATCTCATTTAATTATGCTTTTTGATAGGAGCAACTCCATTCCTGTGGAAATTCAGTATCAAATGGTATTATTAAAGCATTTAGATAAAGACAACTAGAACAAGATAAGAGAAACAACAAGGTTTTTGTATCAGAGAAAATCAAAACGAGGGAAGAAATGGCAAAGGAAACAGATTTGGATGAAAAGTTGTTAAATAAGTACGAGGAATTTTATGTGAATGACCATAATAAAATTTAAATTAAGAACATTTGCTTTGTTATTGGATCCTTCATAATTAATTAAACAATAATCTTAATGAGATCAAATAATTATAATAATTCCATCATTGGGCTAGACCCGTGCTCAGTGGAGAACAATTTGATTATCTTGGTCTTACTTGGCGCAAATTTTATCTACACATCCTTGATTTATTGGAATAAAAGAAATGAAGAATATTATAAAGACTTGGTCTAATACAGGCCAAAGCATAGATTTTTCACACCCAGAAAAATATTTTGGCAATATTACTTCGCAGGTTGGTTGGCTGGTTTTAGTACAGGGATTATAGGAATGGGAGGTGGTATCATTCCCGTAGCATTTTTATTAAATAACAAAATAATTGCAAGAGAGGCTGCTGCAACTGCTGCTTTCGGATCTTTTATGATCTCACTTAATAGTTTACTATAGTTATTTTTGTAAAAAACAATAACAAATGAATAGTTGTTAACTTTTATTGGTTTAGGGGTATATTACTTTTATATAATTTAAGATTATAGGGTTGCTAGTATTCACTAAACCTGCTTATATGTTAATGAATAAGTATAAAGTAGGATTCGTAGTATTAATTGTTGATATAATTCAAGTTGCAAACAATATAATATCTATTGTGGCCTTAATTATAATCAACTCTGTTCTTTTTGGGTTTGATAAATTATTGGTATATCATTCCCACTGTTGAATTTAATGTTGATTTTTATCAAATTAATTATTTATTATACAAAAACTAAATAATATCTATTCAATAAATCATTATCGATAAACTGAATCTTTAAAGGTATGATAAGAATATTTATCAGCAACCGAAATTAACGTCACTCACATACTTTAATAGATTCTCTATTAATGAAGTAATAATTCCAGCTTTGCTTGCTGAAACAGCGAAAGATCCTGTAACTTGAAGGGTTTAATTAGTGATATATTTTAACATAATTAAATATAATGTTATTTTTTTATAATTATAAATATTGATTACTTTAATGTATATAATTTAATTATTTTAGATTACTTCTAACTAAAGAAAATTTCTTAAAGATTAAAAATATAAAATCGACTATTTAATATTATATTAATCATTTTTTAACATTAGCACCTGTAAGGAATTTCTCTAATTCTTCTTTGTATACTTTGTTTGCATTTTTTAAGAAATTGACTTGATCTCTATGTTTAGCTTCTTCATGTTCTTATTGTTCTTAATCTTGTCTTTACATATCTTCAATAGTGCTCTCTATTTTCTCCACCTGTTTCGATAAATCTTGACATTCAGTTTCTAATTACTTTATTTTATTGTTATAATCAGTCTAAACATTTAAGTAATAATTTACTTTTCTTTGTTCGGCTTGTAAGGCTTTTCTCATTCCAAAAGCAATAGAACTCTCATACAAAGTTTAATAAGCTTGAATTGTCTGTCTAATTTCATCCCTGACCCTAACTAAGAGAAGTCCCCTTTCAGCACAATTTATTGTAATCTAATTGTAACTTACATATAATACTTGTCTTATAAGTTCATCAAAACATTAAGCATATAATTCCTCTCGAATAGGACATATACCAGTTTCTCTGGCTTATCTTTATTGCAATTTTTTATCTAAATTTTCTTAAAGCAAAATAACATCTTCCTATTTTGAATATAAAATCGAAATACTCTTTTCGCTGGAGTGGAAGAAACACATTGAATCCATAATTATTATTTCTCCATTGTGTATTCCTAATTTAGTACAAAAAATAGATACTCTAGGAGGAAGAATTGAATTCAATATATCTTCTGTTTATGCATTAGTAATTGACTAAGGAGCAGCATCTCTTCCTTTCTTTTTATCTTTGATGGGCTTTCCAGAAGTAGAAACCAAAGTGGCACTTGCATATTTGACCAAGGAATTAGGAGCAGGGATATTTGGTTTGTCTGACATTAAAATAATATAATTAATAAAATTAAGCATTGAAAAAGTGGAAATATATATTCTTAAGATATTTATGTTTATCAATTCAAAAATGCTACAATGCAAGTGATATCATCTATAACTTCATCCTCCTTTTACCATGCCTATGTGGCTTCCTTGACCAATCTTTCAACAGCTCCTTCAGCATCATTTTTCAAATAATACCCATAGACCACTTCAACAATCCATTTGTTATCGAGAAACCTTGAATATAAATGATTGGATACTCCCAAATTCCATCTGATGCCATGATTAAGAATTTGTCATTTTAAAATGTGTGTTTAATTATTTCTGGAATAGATATTACGCCCACTTAAGCAGCCACATAATCTCCAAAACTTCGAGACATTGCCAATCCTGGAATATTTTCATCTAACAACCAAACTCTAGCCGGACCGATTGGATTTCCTTCTTCATCAGAATACGCTTGTACTCTTCCTCCATTTTATATGATTCTTTTCTCCTCCTTTGGTAAATCAGGTTTTTAATCATGAGACAATTCAACTACATGTAATCCATCCTTCTATCTTCCCAAAATAGCTCTTGAATCTCCAATATTAGCACACCATCCCACATGTTCAATAATCAATAAACAAACAGTTGTGGCTCCACTAAATGTGATATCTATTCCTGAAGTATATAATTCCTTTGTTGTTCTTTCAAATGCTTATCTCAAAATCACTTATATCATCATATCCTAATCATTCTTTCCAATTTTATGAGATTTTAATAACTAATCAATAATAATCGGCAATCGTTCTTAAACAAATTAAGCAACTTCATGTCCATTCACTCCATGTCCATCCGACACTTATATGAGATATGAATTATCTATGTTTCCTATTCCTTCATGAATTGCATAAGAATCCTAATTTACCTTCTCCTATTTTGTATGCAACATTCCAGCTTGAGTTCTATAATTATTCTAATAACAATATACTTCACTGCGTATTTTGATATCAATCTTCTATCAGTAACGATGATGTCTGGATTGGATATTGATCTATAACCCTTTATTTTCTTGGCTGATTATTTCTTTATATATTCTATCAACTTATTGGCAATATCGCTAGTAGGCTTCAAATCGCCATTGCTCATCGCTCTATTATGTATTTAAGGTGGGGATTTGTGAGTTTGTTGATGTTGCTTTTGTAATTCGAATAATTTCTGAAATTGCTTTTGAATTAGCTCCTCATGATATTTAAGATTGCTATCTAGTTTCTTACTTTTAACCAAATGTTGGATTTATTGTCTTGAATTAGGTCTAATTTTTTTTTAATTTGCATCATTTATGTCAAGAATGAATTTGCTGTGAGAATTCTATTTCCTATCCAATTGCTGACTATTATGATGACCATTTCCTCCATTCTTTATCAAAGATATTAAATCATGTGACAATGCAGTTGATTTTGAGACTTTATTATCAGTTTTAGCTAGGGATGACACCCCTGATTACACCAAATACCTTTTATTTCAACTATTTTTCATACTTGTTTTTCTTTATAGGTGACTATCCTGCCTTTTGAGGGGTAGTCTATGGCCTAGTCATTGCTAACTTTTATTAACTGGCAGAATTAATCTTCATTAATATATATATTATCAACTGTTAGTTAGAAATAATCTAAACAAAATTTATAATGTATCATACTCATTTTAACCTATTAGATTTGTGCAATAATATCTAGAATTTCAACTATTATCCATAATTTACAAGCTTCTTTTCTTTACCTCAATTTTATACTCATTTCCTTCATATTTCGATCTTATCTATCTACTGTGGATGAAGAAGATTTATATCCGTTGTTAGAATATTTTATTATAACACTAAAATAATACTCATTATTGGGGGATTAAATCATCTTTCTCTTTTGTTTTTCCTTCTCTCAAGATATGGCAATTATAAACTACAAATGAAATAAGGGCCAATGATGTAGTAATGTAAAGGTAAGAAAAGTCATAAGTCAATGATTTCTTATTAAAAAAGGCCCACCAAATTGAGGATAATCCAAATCCAATACTCTAGCATAAATTAAAACCAGCAAAGGCATGTATTTTAGTTGAGATTTACTTCGTAATCACTATCAGAGCCAAAGAGGAAATTGAACTATCTGCATATCCAATTAAGGCACATCCAACCAATACTAGTGAAAAGCTTTATTCTGAAATTCCAATTTATGCTAACAATATTCCAATAAAGTTTACAACAAAGCTAAAATATAAAACATTATTTTCTTTAAATTTCTCACTTAACTTGCCAGCTGTAATACCTCCAATAACCTAACCAATTCCAGTTATTAAGAATGTTATAAAGATTTTATTATACAAATCTTAACCTAAAAATCCTAGTCTCTCTACAAGAACAGGCAAAAACAAGTAAATTACTGAGTTCATCAAACCTGCGAATACAAGAACTCCTAAAAACAAACAATAACTTCTAAAGGTAATTTCTTTGTACAAGGAAAGGAATTAATACTGAATTTCCTTCACAATTGAACGACTTTCTTTCTATGTTGATATTTGATTGTCTTTCATGCAAAAAAATAGTGCTTGCAAAATAATTGAGATTACAACTATTATTACATAGAATGTAAATAAATTAAAATATTGTTTTAAATAATAGCCTAAATATACATTTACTTTATATACCAATTATATTTGATAATATGTTTGACATACTAGTAAAAGAGAAACTTATTCCGAAAAATAATTCCCTGTTTGAATTGTTGCACATAAAATTGATATAAGCTACGAAAGAAACATAAAAGACTGTTTGAAGAACACCAGCAATTAACGATGAAATCACAGTAATAGTCTCAACTAAGGAAACTGAACATGATTCTTAGCACTTTGCCACCAATAATCCTCCTAATAAAAAAATGTTTAAGTTAAACGAACTAATCAGAAATATTTTTTTGAAGCTAAAGGATTCGATTATTTTATCTACCAAAAGCAACATCAATGGCCCAAATAAATAATTACAAACATATTGCAATGAAGCTAAAGTATTAAAATCGAAATCTGAGTACATTGTATATAGTATATTTTTTCCTGCACTTGTAAAGCTTAATAATAACATAATTATAAAGTCAAAGTATACAATCCAAAAAAATCCATTAAAATACTCTGATTTCATCATTAAAATATATTTAAAAAATACAATAATATTTTTATTATATGATGAGTAAAGAAGAGAGGAATTAAAATCAAAATCAGCCTTTCTTAACATTTGGAGATTATGAGAAGGTGAAATTTACCTTCAGTGGATTAGACAAGTATATCGTTATGGTATTATACTTTTTTAAATCTAATGCAGGAGTTAAATACAAAAATTGCTTTAGAAGATTTGAAGTTCACATTTGCCAATATATTAAAAACAGATTTTTTTGCGAAAAAGCTTGAGTATCATGTCACTAAAGGATTTCAGGATAAGACTTTATCCGCTTAAAAGTCTTTAGCTCATTAGGAAATTTAAAGCCTTTTTAGAGGCCCAGGTTAATAATTGAACATACAAGTAAAATTTATTGAGGAGGGAGCTTGACTTTTTTAATATAAAACAATCATAAACTATAAAAGTCGTAATTGTATAATGAAATATAAAAATAATTAAAAGAAAAATCCAGCAATTGCATCAATAATAAAAAGTATTTAAGATATTATCATAAATTTTGAAATATACATTTTATTATGATTTCCGTATTTTGCAATGATAACCCCATTAAACACTTATTTTATATGATCCACTTACTCGCCTATTCTATAAATTCTGGGAACTCAACTTAATCTTCTTCTAGCTGCTTATTTGTATCTAGGTTAGTAGTACTGGATTGCGATGAATGATCTTAAAAAGAATTGTTTTTATTATTTTCACCTTCTTACTAAATTTTCTTATTCCTTATCGAATCTAATTAGGCTTGATACACAGTACAATATGTGTAAGAAATCTAATGATATGAAATATATATTACTATAGAAATCCATTTATTATCCTTATTTTCATCATACCTTAAATTATTAGGTAATTGTTCTTAAAATATCTACTTACTTAAACCAAGTTAGTTTAAATATTCATCAGAATATTCCCAATGTCCATTCTCTTCTTTAAATTGAATTAATTCAAACAAATTTTAGAATCTTTGTTCGCTCATGTATTCTAATATCATTGATGAAGAGGCTCCCCCTAATAGACCTCCAATGAATCCACCTATTAAAGCTCCAAAAATCGGAACTGGAATCAATGCCTATCCTATTAAAGCTCCACTTATTCCTGAACCTACGTTTGCAGTGGTTGAAATTAATAATTTATTTAATTAAGTGTTCTTGCTTTTCTAAGATGATGATTCATTTGAGTAGATTTTTGCTGTAAAATATCCAAATGCTCCCAAAGCAAATAATTAACCAATAACTGGCATCTAAGTAGCTATATATGTAAGAGAACCACTGACAACGGCAGTTTGACCAAAATCAACCAAAAATTCTTTTCGAGAGTTGTATTTATTTATATTTGCTAAACAATTGCCTAATGATGCTCCAATATCACCTGCTGCACTTGAAAAATGAGCATTAAACGTTTCACCTTAGAGACCATTTATTTTTATTGATTCAGAAAATGCACTCTGTATTTCTGCCGTAGATTCATTAAATGTTATAAATTGCATTCTTTCCTCACTTACATCAAAATCTTCATGAATCGTGTTTACACTTTATTGAAAATTCAAAGAATCAAATGCTTATTAGATTGAACTATACTCACTTTTGGATTCTTCTTTCTTTTTGAGTAATTATTCTGGAGTTAATCCTTCTAGAGCTTCCACAAACATCCATCTATTTTAAACAAGTTTTGCATTAGTAATTACAATTTTATCAATAGGCTTATGAATAATAAACCTTAATTTAGATCCATCCTCACAATCAATGTCCAAAAGTATTCCAAATCTCTAATTTCTTTTGGAGACAATCTTATGAGTTACTACTTTTTTATTTCTACTAGTTATTTTAGTAATTGCTTATTCTATGGCTTCTAATTCATCATTATTTTCTTTGACATATTTCAACACCGTGTTTTAAAATGGAGTAAATACTAAAATTTAATTATTTATTTACAATCTTCATCATTTCTATTTACATATAGGTTCATTAAGTCAAAATAATTGATTACTAATCGAGCAAATTCTTCTTTAGCATCATGGCTTGATAAATGAAAAATCGTGAAATCTTCGTAATTTTCAACTAAGTCATATGCTCTAACTGATAACTCTTGAAACAAACCCATAAGCAAATATTTATTGCATAGATTACATTTGTTGGTAGCATTTACAAATTCATTTGTTATCGTTTTTAATGAGTTAGCACAATCGTTAAAAATTTAAACAACAATTTTATTCAACATGAGAATAAGATCCTGATAATTCAATTGCTCAATAACCATTTGATATAATAATCCTTTAGCAGTTCCAAGAACATTTATTAAATAAGCAATAACTTTTTTTTCTATTAAAGTAGTGAACCAATTTAAATTGATATTATCATCAAGGATGTCTTACCTAGATTATCTATAAATAGACTTACATTTCCACATATGTAAAGAAATCCTATTTAAAAAACATCGTATAAATATCCTATATTTAAGTTAGGGCATATAAAAAAACTTGAAGATCTAGAAGTAGCTGTGATTTTAAAATAGGATTTAATTCTGTATTGTTAAGGTTTTCTTCCATTTATTGAGTTATAAATAATTTTTTAGGTACCATATCTCTTTTGACTGATAAAATGTATAGTTTTATTGTCAATTAGAACTTTTCTTTTATTATTGCCAATATTTCATTAAATTCTTTAGTAACTTCAGCATCGTCCGGATGCATTTTATTATAAATCAAATAATTTGGAAGAAGAGTATCAATTCTAACCTTTGGATTGGCAGTAAATTATTCTAAAAAATTTGATATCATTTTAAATAATATAAAATTATTTTAAATTGATAATGATGGAAGGAGCCCCCTTTTTGTTAAGGGATTTCATTATTGTAGATTTGCACTTGTTAGTGCTTTCTATCATTAATCAACTGATATGATCTTATAACATAATTATATTTATTAATTAGAACGAACTAATCCTACAACTAATATTATTTTAATTAAGAAAAATTGCACTTGTTAAGAGTTGAATTTCTTAAATCATAAGATTTAATTCCTAATCATTTTGGGTCCTAAATTAAATCATCCATAATATTATATTTTTTCCTTTAACATACTTTACTTTATATACAATTAATATTATATATGTCTGTACCAAGCTATGTACTTGCATATTAGTTTCTATTTTCATTTAGTGCCTTAATTGAAAATTTTCTAAATCAAAATAACAAACAGAATAAAACAAAGCCAAACTGTACAGAATACAATAAAAATTCGTTTTATCCATTACAATGTTCCTCAATGGGATTTAGAGAAGTAAGAGAAGATGAATTGATAAAATTTGTTATTCTATAACTTCTAATTAAAACATTAAATCATAAAATATGACTATTAAATTTATTAATATTTTTAAATGAAACCCTTTAAAATATATCTAGTTGGAGAATCCAGCAGTGGAAAATCATCAATTCTAAGTGTTTTATAAAATAAACCATTTACCTTTAACATTGCTTAGACAATAGGCATAAATTATTGTAGATATCAAAAAAATGGTTAGATCTACGAGATTTATGATACAAGTGGTTTGACTCAATTTGAATAACTCACAACAAATAGCATGAAAAATGCTGACTTGATTATTCTTTGCTTTGACATCTCTTCAAAAGATGCTTTTCGAGATGTTGAAAAGTGGTTGAATATTATTTAAAACTCTGCATAAGTAACCCCCATGGTCCTAGTTGGGAATAAAACAGATAAAATTTTGCAAAAGAAAAATAGATACATAGAAGAATTGATTCAAAATTATGCCTTGTATTATACATCGGCACGTAGTCCTTAAACCGTCAAAGAAATGTTTAATAAAATATTTGAAACATATAGAATAATGCATGATAAAGTAGAAATAGTTTAAAAAAAAAAAGATTCAAAAGGATGGAATTGGCTTTGTCTTTGCTGAACATAATTACTTTGAATTTCTAGTTTAATATTTATATCATTATCTTATAAAAGAAATATTTTATTCTCTCAAAACTTAATAACAAAATAGGATGAATTTACTCTTACCTATTAGTTTAAATGTGATAAGATATAATAAAAAGAAATAGCTCATTTAATTATTTTTTAAAGAGATAATAGAATAATAATCTCATATTAATTATGTAAATTAATTCCAAAATTATTACCTTTATTGCTATTTGGTATCTTTCAATTAAATAATTATTGGATGCCCATAATCAGTGTTTCCCAAGGTTTGATGAAAAATGATGGCTACTTCATCTTTATTCAATTGTTTAATCGAGATTCTGAAAATGCATTTATAAAAATTGATAACTCTATTGATGGTAGTTAGTTGTTAATATTGTGAAGGAATTTCCTTTTGAACATCTTTGATAAGGTTATATAGTTATTTATTGTAGGCTTAAATTTAATTCAGCTTAATTTGAAAATAATTATCGGATTCTATTTCTTCGATGAGCTTGGACGTTAATGAGAAGTATTCTTAATTTTAGCTTTATAAGATGGATTGATTTTAGTCCCTGAAGGCTTTGCTCAACAATTTGATTTCATTGCTTTATTGAAGCTATTAATCTTTGAGCTATTAAGTTTGGAGTTTAACAAGGTTTAGCATAGTTTCGATAGTTTGTTTTTCTTCGGTGATAGCAAAAGGTGCAGGGGATTTATTATTTTACTTCATATTTAAATTTAAATTAATTTGTTTGGAATTTATATGTTATCATTAATCATTATAATATTCATTTTAGATTCTTTTTTCTTTCTTTGCTTTCAAATTGGAGACTCTTTATGCAATATACTTCAAATCAATAATGCTTTTGGAATGTATTTTGTCAAGTTCTTTCAATTCGTCTATAATATCCTTAATGACAAGCTATCTATATTTTTAAACACTTTCAACAGACTTAGTATATTAATCCAAATATTGATCATAAAGATTGACTTTGTCTTAGGCTCCGCTATTAATTAAATCATCAAGATTGGCTTAATACTCATTCATCTTTTATAATCGAGTTTGTAAATCCTATAGAGATTAGATGTGATTTAAATCGTACCTTATAATTTTTGGCGTAATTTATCAAATATTGAGGAGGAGCGAATTAAGTTCTGATTTTGTCTTTGCTTAATTTATTAGGATCAATAGTATCGATCATAATTGAAATATCTGATTTGGAGAATATTTATTTTTCTTCCCACTATTTTAGAAGATCCTTGATTTATTATTTCAAATCCTATGAAGAGTTGTGGTCTTTCAGTAAAGCAAATGCTTTGATGATTTGTTTCTTGAAAGCATCCCTCATAGTAGCATCTAATAAATAAAAATTATGGATGTACATGCTCCCTCAAATCTGATGACGGATTCAATAACTCGTTATGCCATATGAAGTAATGAGATAATGACCTTATCGCCATCAACATTTCCTTTAGCAAAATGGAAATGATTGCACCACTCTTCACATAGAGATTACTAAGACTTCTAATCGTGACTGTGTCTAATGTAGAAACGGGCAGCTTCGTCTATATGTGATTGCGATAGGTGGATGTTGTTAAGGAGTTGACTGAGTGACACAATGCTAATCTCGTTCATCATTTATGTCTTTAATATACTTGAAGTGTATAAATTTATTAATACAATTCGTATTTCTAGTGAAAATAATCAAAGGAAAATATATTTTATTAATATAATCAAATAACAGATAAATTTTATTAAAAAATAACCAAACATTTGTTTTCCAATGAATGATTAAACACCCATCAAAGAGATTGATCTCAACAAGCAATCTTGGACCAGTCCCAAAGACAAAAGTGATCGTGTATAAATTGATAACAATATATAAAGTTCATCCCACGTAATGTTCAATCCAACCTCTATCAATTATTCATGAGCGAAGAAAATTGTCAAGGCAACACCTACAACAACCTTCTTTAATCCTCTATATTGGGAAAATCACCAGCCATAAACTAAAAACTCTTTAATTACAAAACAGAAAATAAACAAAATGAAATGAATAAGATTATTAATAATGGATTAAACTTCTCTAATACTCCAACTAAGGTTGAACCTGAAAAGCCCCCTCGCAATATTAATAAAAGACCTTATAAAGTGTTGGAGGCTGAAAACCTATAAGATGATTTTTACCTGAATCTATTAGATTGGTCACCATTTAATGCATTGGCAGTAGGACTTGAAAATTCAGTTCTGATTTGGTCAGGACATACCTCAAAGGTGTCTCGTCTTTGTACACTTGAAGATCCTGATATGGTATGTAGTGTAGCATGGTCTCAACGCAATCAACATCTCTCTGTAGGAAACACTATGGGTGATGTTGATGTTTGGGATGTAGTAAAATAGAAAGTTATTAGAAAATGGAATGGACATTAAGGTAGAATAGGATCTTTGGCTTGGAATAATTATTTATTAGCCACTGGAAGTAGGGATAGAAACATATTAGTTAGAGATGTTAGATGTCCTAATGAATCCATTCAAAAGTATGTTGGACACAAATAAGAAATTTGTGGATTGAAATGGTCCTTTGATGAACAACTCTTGGCATCAGGAGGAAACGATAATAAGTTATTTATTTGGTCCTTGAAGAATCAAGGAGAATTAACTCATTTCTCACAACATCAAGCTGCAGTTAAAGCTATTGGTTGGTCTCCCCATCAACACAATATTGTTGCCTCTGGTGGTGGTACTGCTGACAGATGCATTAGATTCTTTAATACTCAAACTATTGAATAAGTAGAATGCATTGATACTGGTTCTCAAGTTTGTAATTTAATGTTTTCTAAAAACTCAAATGAATTAGTTTCAACTCATGGTTATTCCCTAAATTAAATTATTGTTTGGAACTATGCTAATATGTCAAAGGTTGCTACTCTAACTGGTCACACTCAAAGAGTCTTGTATTTAAGTGGTTCGCCTTGTGGATAAAATATTGTTACTGGAGCAGGGGATGAAAGCCTTCGTTTTTGGAGTGTGTTTCCGTCATCCAATGCCAAAAATAATCATGGGATTACTAGAGCAGAAACTATCGATTTAAGATGATTGACTTTAGCATGACTACTACTATTATATTTATAAATTCTATATTTTATTCGATATGTCTGTCAAAGTCGCTGTTAGAGTCAGACCATTCAACAATCTTGAAATTCAGTAAAATCAACCGTTGTGTATTGCTATGAATGGAAGTAAGACCATACATTTTGGTAATGATTACTCTTCATTTGAGATTCCACTCAAACAAAAGAATTTGATTTTGATTATTCCTTTTGGTCTCATGATGAATTTGAAGTTGACGAGAAAGGTTATCGTAGGCCTCTTCCAAACTCAAGATATGCTGATTAAAAAATGATATTCAATACTGTTCATTAAGATACAATACCTCAACTTTTTTAAGGGTAGAATTGTTGCGTTTTATCTTTTGGATATAAGCGAGTATTTATTCATACTAATTTAATAAGTCTGGCAGGTCTTATACGTTATCAGGGACTCCTGAAAATTAAGGATTGATTTAAAATTTTGTAAAAGAAATTTTTCAATAAATAGCGGAAAAATAAAATATTACAACTAGTAATGACTACCTTATTATTATTGAATAGAGTATGAAGTTTACACCAGTATGCTCTTTATCTTCAATGAAAAAATATATGACTAGCTCTCTCCAACTGATACCTCGGAGCTAAAAATAAGAGAAAATGAACTTTAAGGTGTTTTCGTCGAAAACTTAACTAAAGAATTGGTTGATTCACCTAAAAGTTTTGATGTACTTATGAATAAAGGAATTCATAAAGCAGAGAAATATTTATTTAAGATGAGTTATGTGTAAACTATCTTATTTATTAATTTGTAGTCTTTCATACGCAAATATAATCTTCAAAATAGAAATTAAGGAAACCAAAACCTTGGGTGATTAAAAAGTAGAGAATTTCTATCTCATAAATTTTGTAGATCTTGTCTGTTCAGATAGAATGGAGAAATAAAAGGATTCTAGTATTTGAATTAATCTTTATTAGATAAAAATATCGGCACATAATTATCAACGCTGGGAGAGGTTATTTGTAAAGTATTATTACTTTCCCAACCACAAGATTAAAAGATTTTTGTCCCTTACAGATGCTCTAAATTAACCAGATTTTTACAAAATACATTGAATTAAAAATCTAATATTTTTCTATTTTTATCGATTAGTCCAGCCATTGATAAAATTCAACAAACATTGTCTAGCCTTAAGTTTGCAAATAAAATTATGAAGATTAAGAAAAATATTATCAATAATATTAAGGTATCTGAGAACCAACAAATTCTAGAGGTAAATGAAGCATAAATTTAAACATAAACAAAAATAATTTAAAGCAGTATCAAATAATAGATAGAAAATACAGAAGAGTAAGAGTCAAATCAAAATACATAATATTTTTAACAATTTGATAATTCTGAGGCGATACAAAGTGATACAAATATAAAGTACTAAGCCATTATTTCAACCAAAGACGGAATTATTGAATTGTAGCCACTTTCTTAGGAATCCTGTGAATAAATTTTTATCAATAATCATCAAGTAAAAGAATTGACAAAATTATCTCATGGTGATAGGATAAGTTTTGGAAACGCAACATCTTTGCTTATATAGTATAGTGGAACAGAGATAGCTTAAACTGAATCAAAATTAACTTTGACATAAAAGGATACAATAGATGTATCAGAAGATAATCAAATAATTTAAGAAGATAACAAAAGTGTAAAATTTGACTAGAATTGAATTGATCTAGTTAATAATAAAATAATTCTGATATATTCCTTAGTTAATCACTCTTAATCCTCATTCGAGTAAATAATTATAGGCTTAGTTTATTTTCTTTAGATATCAAGAATTATCATTCCAGTCGCATCAATTTTAATAAAAATTTTCATTTCAATACCTATATTATTTCCATTTTATTTGTGCTTTAACACTACTTAGATATATATTTTGTCTATATTAAAATATATATAATTAATAATTAATAATAGTTATTTTGAACAATTAGGTTAAAGATAATTATTGTTTAAATATAATTGTTATATCTTTATCATTACATTTAATTATTTAATAAAGTAAAATGGAAACATCAATTCGTTGTTAATAACACTAAGAATTTTTAGTTTAATACATTTTCTTTTAGCAGAAAAATATTAAATTTGGTTGTGTCGAGTGTATTTCAGAATTGCAAGATGAAAATTAGAGTGTAAATATATTCAAAAATATTTTGTTATTGCATGATGTAAGATCAACCATTAAGGTTTTAGATATAATAGAGACCCTAAAAGTTATTATCATAGATTTCTAATATAGATGATTAAACTCTATAGTTTTATAGTCGTTTTCATAAGAAGACAGTGTCTATAATAACGTAAGCTTTCTAAAATTGGGAAAACAATATGAGGAATTTCCAAAAACAGATAGACAACATCATCCTTTAACAAAAAGGATTCGTGGAAGAACTTATAGCCAACTATAAAAACACAATGTAATAGCTTTCACATGTAAGAATAAATTAACTTAGGAAATAAAATTTGAAGAATTCTAAAATCTTATTAAGGAATTTGGAACTGCTAATGAAAAACTTCAAAATGATGTTTTAGATTAGATATCACATAAAATTACTCAGCATTTCGAAAGTTTGGATAAAAACAATGCAAAACAATTAAATGAATCATTAAAAAGAATAAAATAAGAGTATCTAAAATATTAAGAAAAGTATTTCTGCATTATTTATATAGTATTAATCTGCCTGATGTTTAAGAGTTTTAAAATTCTTTTTAGTATATGATTAAATCAACAGATGATTTACATTCATAGATTGGCAAATCTTTAAATTTTGTGAATCAAATGAATTCTGCAATAATTCCTAACAGTTACTCAAAATATTTAATAGGACTGATTAAAAACAAATTAAATTAAGATATCAAATAAATAAAAGTCATATATTTGGGATCGAGAGATGGGCTTAATGGTTAATCTTTGTGGAACAAAATTGATGGAAAAGAGCATTTAATATATATTTTTAAATCAAAAAACCCTGGAAATTATGTTTTTGGGTCATATGTTTCTTGCAAAGTTAAACAAGATTTAAACAATTGGTAATCTGATGAATCTTTGAGTTCATTTATTTTTTCTTACACTCACAATGAGATTTATCCTTTAAAATAATCTGAAAGATAACATGCTATTCTGTGTTAACCGATTAGCTATGCTGTTTGGATTGGAATGAGTGGAAATATAGGAATTTGTAACGACTTTATTAATGGATAATCTTATTTAGGTTCGTCATATGAATGGGATAAATTTGAAAACAAAAGGAGTTCCCATTTATTTGGAGGAGATACTCCAAACATTGAAGAATGTGAGGTTTATGAATTATAAATTTGAGCATAAATTAATATTTTTCTTTCTTTGTGTTTTTCCATAACTGTGAAAATTGGTCCCAAATTTATTGATATCCTAGATACAACACATTTAATGAGACATCAAATTTTATGAGTGATTATTGATATGAAAAATTTAAAATGATAAATAAATCTAAATAAGTTTTTTTTAAGTCGTCATCAAATCATATTAAACCTCAATCATAATTTCTAACAAACCTTTTCTAGATATGCTCTTTCTGCAAGTTCAGTGGATATTTCGGTTTTAAGTTTCTGAATTTCATCTCTTTAATGAGAATTTTCTTTTAATTATTATTAGAGCAAGAGTCTTTTATTGCTAAATTTATTCATAAAGAAATACTTCTGCTGGAGATTTGCCAATGTTTGCTCCATTTATTATATGTACATTTTCAAAGTTCTGTTTTCTTCCTAAGTATCATATCCTCTTTTGAAGGGGCTCTTAGATTATCTCTTATTTTGCATAGGTTAAGTATAGACTCGGAAACACGGTTAATTTACTCGAATGATTGGCTAAGTTTATTATGCCCTTTAAATGAATGAGTTGGCTGGACCAAAACTAAAGGTTTATTAGCTTATGGTAGGTTGTTATGATAATCTCATAAAGCTGTTATTAATTTTTATTGTGTAATTATTTGAAATATTTAGAAGAAAAATTATTCATAATCGATTTCATCAAATATTTTAATATAAATATGACAGAATAATCTTTAGACTTTGACTACATGTTCAAGTTTGTAATAATAGGAGATTCATGTAATTAAGCAAATTAGCAATAGCCGTTGGGAAATCATGCATTCTCAGTAGAATAAATGGAAACACTTTTAAAGATAACCATGAAGTTACGTTGGGTGTTGATATTGCTACTAAAATATTGAAAGTATAGGGGAAGATAATAAAGGCACGGATTTGGGATACTGCTGGATAAGAAAATTTCAGATCTATAACAAGATCTTATTATAGAGGGTAAGAAATTTAACAAAAATATAGAGCAATTGGCATAATGTTAGTATTCGATATGAAGAACAGAGAATCTTTTGAAAATATAAAGAGTTGGCAATAAGAAATCAATTAATATGCAAACGAGAAAATAAAAATAATATTAATTGCAAATAAGTCAGATCTAATGAACAAAAGGTAAACTATTTCAATATTAAGGGAAGTAACTACTGAGGAGGGACAATAATTAGCAAAAAAGATAGGAAGCCAATACATTGAAACTTCTGCTTTAAATGGTAAAAATATAGAAGAAACTTTATAATTGTTATCTCAATCCATATTAAAATTGATTTCAGAAAACCAGATTGATTTGACTAATAAAAATTGTGGTGTTCTGCTTCCAAACAAAACTGAAACCCCTAATGAAGCAATTACTTAAGATAAATGTTAATGCTGAGTTCAACAATATTGAGTCTGAAATTTTAGATTATGTTTTTAATTAAAGCAATTTATATCCTAATCATTTTATGTAAATATACTCAAACTATCTCTCTAAAATACACAATCTTCTATATTTTTTTGTTCTCTACTAAGAAATGATAAGAAACAAGAGTTTACATCTAGGAATTTCATATTTAACTATGATTAGATATAATAAATATATTAAAATAATGATCATTACGTATTTATTTAATCAATAACTGATAAAATATATGAGTTAAAGTAATAATCAAACTAATTTATATTAATTTTTGGTAACACGTTATCTTCAATTTCTATACTTTCTTAAACGTTCGATTTCATATCAGAGAGCTTTTGGAAACTTCTTTTATCTCTGTCATCAAGAGAAAAAAGATAATTCACATATGGTTTCAATAGTGTCGAGTTATTAATTTCATTTTTTTCAATCTATAGAATATCAATCTTTTGGAAATAATTCAGTAATTGATTTATTTCATGTAGATGACAAATCCGATTATGTTGCAATGTCAATTTAGTGATTTTATTAAAATTAAAGAGATTACAATTTTCTAAATTTTCCAATTCATAATATTTTAAAACCAAACTATCAACCTCAATTTAATCAATATTTTTAGGATTTCCATAGACGATTAGACATTTTGAAAGTATGAAATACTTGCTTACACAGATTTCAATAGATTCTTTATGGGTAAATTACTTTTTGATTTCGCGAATTTTTTCTATTTCATTGTAATTAAATAAATCTGATTTTGTCTTTTTATTTATCTTTTTTATAAAAGAAAAATCAGGAACAAAATTTATTTAGGCTTATTTAACAGAAAATTAGTTAATATACCTCTCCCTTTTCCCTTATTAACTGATTTCAGTTCTATAATTATTGCTGTATTCGCCTGAATTTTTCTTGATTATCTTTTAAATTAACTATTAATTAAAAGTGTAGCCTTATTTGGCTTAAGACGTTGATGGAAAAGGTGTCTATTCACTAAAATCAATAATGTTTAATTTTTATTCTTTTGCTATCAATGCATCTGACGTATCTAGCTTTAAGCTTTTCTAAGTTTCGACAGACTTGCATCTAAGTTTTGCTGGTTGTACCTAACCGTTCAAATCATTTAGATATTCGAAATAATTTTCATATTGAATAAATCTTGAAAAAGGGTTGCCTTAGACATGAATTTATCTAATTTTTGGTATTTTGGCTAATTATGATGGCTCAAAGATTTTGATTATTTAATTATTCTATAAAGACAGTATTTGTAATTACTCTAGGTAAGGGATATCTGTGAAGTAGGTAATCTAAATCTGTTAAATACATACCTTATTTTCATCCAAATACACCTTTTACAAATTGTATAAGCCGTATAAATTAACCGAAGTTATGTTATTCTTTTATAAATTGAGAACTTTTAAATTGTATAGATTCTAAAGATCTACTCTTTCTATCATATTAATCTTGGCATCTAGAATTTTTAAGCAAAGTGGTAAATTCTTTATTTCTTTTAATTTATTATAGGATATCATTAGAACCTTAATATTTAATTGGTTAATCTCTGTTATTTCCTTTATTTAGTTAGCTGATAAATCAATATAATTTAAATTTTTGTATTCTAACAAACCTTTCATAGATGATATTTAATTATTCTTTAATACTAGCATTCTAAAAAATAACTCTTAAATACTCTTTATTTAAGTTTTCTTATATTATAGGAATCGAATGTAATTACTATTAGGATTCAACATTATTAGTTATCTATTCTTTTTCAAAATGCTTGACTTTGACTGGTCTTCTTTTAGTAGACTCTGCTCTTATCATCATTTAAGATAACGCAACAATTTGTTGCTGTGTTGGTGTTTTGATCTGTAATCTTGATGGGGTTTTCCATCTAAAGTTTGATCTAGTCTGCATTAATTAAAAATTAATATTAATTTGAAGTTAAAAATATTATATAACACCAAAGGTTCCCTTGAATTCATATTTTATTTTATGGTTTGAACTGTCTCTATAATTAGCAGATGTACTAATTATATTTTACTTTTGAATTTATTTTTACAATTGATAATAATTTTAAATAACAAATTAATGAAAAAATCTCCCTTTTAACTCCTTTATAATTACAAAATACGAATAATTTACTATTATTAAATCATTAATATTGTTTGTCGGATATTTAAGGCAATAGGAATTTAAGAGTTCATATTCCTTAAATAATCAATATATTTTTTAATACAATTTTCCAAATAGAAAAACACATTAGTTAATTTTAGACTTTGGTTATTTTATTTTGATGATGGATTGTTGTAAAAAGGTATTAATTTATTAATTTTATGATATCTTCAATTTTTTAATATAAAAGATATATTAAATTCATAATTCATAAATTTTGGAGAAAAAAATTCATTATATTAATTTATAAAATTATTTGTTATTTAGATTAAAAAGAAACATGCAGATCAGCAATTAATTGTAATTGAGTTCAACTTTACAGTAAGAATTAAATTATATTGAGATAATTACTTAAACAGTTCTACATTCCTTAACTTTTATAGTTTTAGTTAAATATATAAAGCAACACTAGTTAATAACTTCGATTTGCAAATTAAAGTGCAAATTAAAATGACTAATTGATCATTAAAGAGGAATACTAGGAAGAGGCCCAAACAATTACAAAGAGTCCTTAATGTATGAAGACAAAGTTTCAGACAAAAAAATAAGGCAATTCTTCAGTTTTGCACAAATTAGAACATTCTTAGAAATATAATGATCAAGCGAAAACTAAAAAAGTAATAAAATGATTATAAATATTAATTTTTAACCTTACTATAATAAATTTATGAGCTATTTCTAGGGGAGTGACTTCGATTTTTATATGAATAATATCCTAGCAGTAAAAAACTAAGGTAATATTATAATATATAAATGAACAGATATGTAAATAATTAATAAAATTTATTTTTGAAAGAGCATTTTAAAAAATAAAATTGTTTGTTGTTGGGGTCTATTTGATAAATCTTCGCATCAAATACAGAAATGAGTTGATAAAGGAAATCTAATATAGTTTCAAAGCCATTATACCTCTTACCTGCGATATTTTAAGTTACTAATAAATTTAAAATTAGAATGGGTTTTGTAAAATGATTATTTCTATTTATGGTATTATCAAATTTTAATTTGAGGTTTGCCCAAATAGAATGATAATAATCATTTTAATAATTAATATATTTGAAGTGAATTTCTTTTTAATTGTTTATGTAGCAGTTCTAACATCATTTTATAAAATGCATTAGATGAGGCAATTCTAGCTATATTTTGTTGCAAAATTGTTGTTTGATAATAAATGGAATTAGTCTCAATTGTATAAAGAATATTTGGCAAAAAATTGAAATATATAATTGAATGCAATTCGATATAAATTAATAAAATCAGATATGATTAGTAATTATTAAATAAAGACTGAATAGTTAGCAAAGAATTAATTTCTTTAGTATCTTTGTAATTAGTGTAATTCAGAGTATAATTTGATTCAAAAATAAAATATTTGTAGGAGAAAGAAATCAAAGGTAATCAGAAATCTAAATGAGAGTAAAAATACCACATGATGTGAATATTCATTTAAACAATTATTGATATAATTTAAATAAATAAATGGATTCTGAAGATTTGCTTGAGAAATTGTTGGAAGCATTTTATGATGAAAAAATAGAGCCTAAAAAGGAAGCAGCAAAGAAAATCCTTGGGTTGGCTGCTCGATAAGAAAATTTAGAATTATTGATCTCTCATGGTATTTATTTATAATCATCAAATTTAGAATAATTCTTATCAACAATCTCTAGAACTTTGAGAGATGAACATAAAAAGTCAACAGAACTCACACTCTATTTATTATGCGTGTTTTACATAGTGTCAAATTATTTAGAATTTCATTAGATTTTATCTGAGCATCAGATAGGAGATATAACTATGAAAATAATAGAATCATAAATCTAGAGATTTGATTTGAGATATGCAGAATTAATGGAAAAATAAGGTTAGCCTTAGCAATTATAGGAGTTAAGAAAATTAAATCTGATGATAGCAAAATAAGAAAAATTGTTTTATGTGGGATTTACTATTTTAATGAACATGGCTGAAGATCCGATTATAGAGAATAAGATGAGGAAAAGAAAAATCATAACATTTTTACTTAGAATGTTGGAAAGAAATAATTTCTATTTATTAATAGTTACATTGTTGTTTTTAAAAAAATTGAGCATAGTGAATGAATGTAAAATGTAAATGGTTGAAGAGAATTGTATTAAGAAATTAAAGAGATTCTTCAGTGCTGATAATAATGTATTGTTACAACTAAGTTTAGGTATTTTATAGCTATGAATATCGTAGGCGTTCTTAAAAATTTAAGTTTTGACACTGAAGCTCGTTTGTAGATTGAACAGAATGGATTTATTCCAGATATTGTTAAGATGCTGAAGATCCCAAATTATAGGTTTGTTTCAATCGTGTTGTTGTATTTACTTACTTTAGATGATAAAATCAGACTAACTTTTGGTTTTACTGAATGCATGACTTTGGTTGTAAAATTAATGCTTCATTTCCCTGAACCTGTTATTGGAAAGGAATTAATTGCTTTGGCTGTTAATTTATCAACAAGCTCAAGAAATGTTGATCATATTACAGAGCAAGAATTTTAATAAATAGTTTAGAGAGCTATAACAAATTAAGACACTTTGTTATTTAGATTTGTTAAAGGAGTGATTGAAAACTCTACAAATCCAGAAGTTTAGACATGTGCAAAAGGATTTGTGAGACATTTTATGAAATTATTAGTAACTTAGGGGAAGGAAGAGGATATTAAGTTTGAAATAATAGGGATAATGAGTGCATTAGATTTATAAGAAAATTGGATAAAGCTCTTGAATGAACCATTTGTTGAGTTTCTTCATAATAATTTAGCAGTTGGAATGGTTGAAGATGATATTGTATTAGAAACGATGATGTTAGTATCATCAATAGCCTCTACATAGAATGCAGCTGAAAAACTATTTAAGAGTAGAATACTAAATGCATTGTCTTAAGTTTATTCTGAAAAGGGAGATGATGAGGAATTTATTGTACAATATTTGTATTGTTTAAACTAATTTCTGTTTCATAAAATAGGAATATCATAAATCTTGGAATAGTAAGAATATTGATATTTTGAGGGATGAAATCTTAATTTAGATAATATAATAATTAAATGATAAAAACAAAAAAGTTTAGTAGATGTCTGAAGAAGTCTTAGCTATACTAAGAGAGTATGATTAGGAATTATGTGAAAAAATCAAAGAAATCAAATTTAGCGATTATAATTAGTTATGGATTGAGCATCTGAATGAATAAGAACTCATGTATTTTTTGTATCAAAAATAGGTTACAAGATGGAGGTGATATGGCATTTGAAGATGAGTATGGTGGTAATGAATTAGATCCAAAAATGTGGGATTCAGATAATGATTGATTATTTTGTTACAATCCATAAAATAGAATATCAAAAGCATTTGCAAATCTTTTTTTATAATACATAAAATTCTCTATAAAAATAATTTTCATATTATCAAAAGCATATTAATATATATAATAATCTAATGGATATAACCAACAAATAGTCTGATGTGAAGTGTGTTATCTGCTTAAGCTTAGCTTCCAACTAAGTATGATAAATATAATTTAATAATTTTAGGTACACTTAGATTCATGTAACCATTTATTCTGTTTTACATGTATTAATAAATGGTCTCAAAAAAGTCATTAATGCCCATAATGTAGAGCAATATTTTCTTGTTTTTATGAATTCAAAAATGATCCGAAAATTCAGTATATTCTATTTATGATAATAGTATAAAAAAGCATGAAGCACCCAAAATTATTAATAATTCTGAAGATTAACGCCTTATGGCTTTAGCTGATATTGATAATACTTACTATGATTTAATTTTACAATAAATAGATTTTATTTGAATTATTATAATTTGTTAGGAAATAAAATATATTTCATAAATCAATAAGTAATCAATTTTATTTATTACTCAAAATATTTCTTAATTTTATTACAGATTAATCAACGTCACCTATATATAGCACTTGAATCATTTTTATGTTGCTATAGGGATAGATTTTGGTCTCTTCTACATATAACTTTTCTAAAGATTATTCTTCTCTAAGTAGAAGATGAAGCTTGTCATATAAGTTTTTAGCGATATCATTTGCTGTCCATCCAAAACCATATTTATATCCTTTGGATTGAATAAACTCTATGGAATCAGCATATATTCTGAGAGAATGTCTTGCCCCCATAAATTTGGCAGAAAATGCAAATGCTCCTGTCACACAATATTCTCCATACTTTGGATGATACCTATCAAAAAAGTACTTCAAAGCCTTAAGTCGAATATATTGTCTGACTTTGCTGATTTGTGGGACAATATCATAATTTGATATTTGTTATTCTTATTCATTAGGTTTTAGGTCGTTGATATCAGTATAAGAAATTATTGCTACTATGTTAAAGATGTTTTTCTCATATGATTATTTCTCATAGTAAACTAGAATCCATTTATATGCATGTTTTATTAAAAAAGACCTAAATTCTTCATACATCTAAGCATATTCTATATTCAATGCTTTAAATAAGTCATTTTTTTTCTAAATATTTGACCAAAGATACCGTATAAGCCTCTGCTAAAGTCTTTGCAATAAGTTCTGTGTTTTCACCCTTGTATTCAGTTCTCACATATTATAATTCTTCAAGTTAAGATTTCAGAACATTTTAATAAATATACATAATAAATTTATTATTCCATAAAGTAAAATTAAAATCAAACTTCTAAGTCACTCATTTTATTTTTGATTTCAATAAAGTGTCCATATGTCAATCTGACAGGGCTGCCTTCTGCAATATGTTCTATTTTTGATTTCTATGCGAATTCATAAGGTTTATTAAAGGTTTCCAATGTCAATTGAGATAATTAAAAGTATGTGACTAAGTAATCCAATAACACCACATCTTTTTCCATATCGACGGGTAGACTTTTGGATAAGTCATCTGAGCCTAATTTTTTATCAATTTCCTTTTGTAATTCCTTAATTGCTTGACGCAATACAGAATTAAAGATGATATAAAATGATTCGAATTCAGTGAAATTTTCATCAAAAACAGCATCAAACTTTTTGTCAATCGACAACTCATTTTTATTGGATTATAGCATGGACCAAATATTTTTAAAGTAAGATTAGTACTTAGTAAAATGTTACTAAATAGTAATTTATGTTTATTAAAACTAACTTGAAGTCTTGTATGCATCAAATCCTTAAATATCAAGAGAATTGGAATCCTAAAATAGAATAAAATAATTTACAATGTCTTTAAGTTTATACATTTTGATCATGATATTTTTAATAGCAAAGAATAATAACTTGTCCCTTATTAATTCAGATCTAAAAAGATTAGTACTTTCAATCAAATTCGCAACTCTAAATAAATACTTGCAAAAATTGATTTGAGACATGATAGTGTATTCAATGTTGGAAGTGTTACTTTTGATTTCAAAAGAACTGGTTTCAGCTAATAGATTAATATATTAAAATACTTTATTTTGATTATTATCCTAAAGGTTTGGTAATTTGAGTAGTGTGCTTCTTTCCGCTTCTATGAATAGAATCTCCAGGTAATTTTTTGGCACTATTTTCTTTGCCTTCCTTTGGTTGTTCTAAAGTTTTTTATTTCAATAAGGCTGGTTATTTATTAACTTAGAAGGCTAATTCAGGTCCTCTTATCCAAGGATGCTTTTCTAGTTCATCTATTGATGCTCTTTCTTATTCATTTACAACTAAACAACGTTTAATGAATTCCTTGCATTCTTAACTAACTTTAGTGGATGAGGGGAATGTTAAAGGCACACTCACCATTTTCTATCCTAATTCCTTTTCACTTGTTGCCTACCAAGGAACTTATCCAAATATTATCTCGAAGGCTGAAACTCCAATAGCCCAAATGTCAGATTTATCAGAATATTTATTGTTTTTTAAGGCTTGTGGACTCATATAAAGTGGACTACCAACATTAACATTAGGTAACAATGGAGGAGAATTAGGAGTAGTTGCAAATCCAAAGTCTGCTAATTTTGGAGTTCCACATCCTGACAATAACACATTAGCAGGTTTAATGTCCCTATGTATTATACCATTCTATTTCAGTAATTTATAGGCTTTCACCAATCCAAATATAACGTTTTGGGCTTGTTGCTCTGGAAATTTTCCAATCTTAGTTAATTTGCTTCCCAAATCGCCATTTTCGCAAAACTCTGTAATCAAGTAAGTATTATTTTATGTTTGAAATACCTAAAGACATAAGATTATATCATACTTTGTATAATTTCATTATATATTGACTATCTAAAGTACTAAGTGCCTCAATTTCACTTTGCAATAAGGCATGATGCAACGGTGTCTTCAATAAGGCTTTGTCGATTACCTAAATAGACTTCATATTACCTTAATAGCCACTGTCTCACCTGTGACTTCATTTTGTCCTTTATAGACCTTACTGCTGAATCCTTTTCCAATTTATTAATGAAGTCCATATGAAAAGTTCTCAATCATCTTTTTAACATTTTGTGATGATCCATTAGTATAAGATGGATGTTATGAGTACATCTATTTCTAAGCCAAATACATTTTTAATTTAACGAATTATTTTTATTATTAAAATTATATTTCACGCCAAATGTCACATAATAACCCAAAATTTCAATAAAAAAAAGGCCTTTATAAATTCTCTACCACTCTTAAAAATATTTTTAAGAGTATAATTAATTACATTTATAAACTTCATTTCTCGTTTCCAATCAGAAACATTTAATAAAACATTATTCATTTGATATTGATTTACATGATGATTTCTATATTTTGGTGCTAAATATTTTTCTACATGATTAATGAGATTATGGAGAATAAATTCTGATTTACTAATTATGAATAGAATCATTTCTTTGCCATTTATTCGTTTTAATCTTCCAATAAATGCTTCATAAATAATGTATTTTATCGAACATGTTAATTTTATCTAAACAATTTTATTACCAATCAATTATTCACTTAAATGTTAGATGAATCCTTCTTTTTTATATAAAAAGGAAAACAAAAATATGTATGTTAATAACTACTTTTTACCTATAAATAATACGATGATTTCAAATCTTATTAGCCTTAGTTTTTTCTTAAAAGAGGAGAACTATATCTAAAATTCAGACGCTTTTAAAAAAAATCAATTCAATAAATTTTGAAAAGTATTAAAACAATATTGGGCAAAAAAAAATTAACATTATTAAACTAAATTTATGTTATATATGAATTAATTATTAAGACTATTATTTAACATCTATTTGAATAAAATACAAAATAAAATCTATAATTTTCCTTTAATTATGATCGCACAAAAAAATTGGTTCTTATGGATTTTCAATATTTTCCAGATAGAGAATGAGGTTTATTTAATATATACTATAATTAATGAATTATTGTTTTAGGACAACGGATTTAGTAATCTTCCTTCTAATTATTTAACTAACAGGTCATCTGTTTATTCATTGGAATCAATACAACTGTAGTATCTATGGAAACATTTAAATGTGTGTTTGGATTGTTATTGTTTTATTGAGATAATTGCTTCAACATGCTTAATTTAACAAATGGGGGTTATTTGTGACTTTGTTTATTGCTGGGGAAACAATTTCAATGAATATAATAGCAGCATAATAGGGTGAATGAAAAGACTACATTTATATTTTATTGTATTTTAGGATATATTCTAACCATTTCTTCATTATCAAAAATTTTTGTCGTTAGTAAGAAAGCTGAAATATTGAAAGTAGTTGATTTGTCGACTCTATGATTAAAATAAATTTATATTATTGTTCATTGAATATTTTTCAACAAGGAGTAATTGGAGCTTCTCCTACTTTTTGATTACACCCTGGACAGTGTTGGACAACTCTTTGCAAGGTTTACAACAAAATGGAATTTATCCTCCAATGAATGTCAATATACACCGGATTCCACAACAAATATAAGTTCAAGTTCTTATGTTATGGTCAACCTTTGATTATTAAACTTTTAAAAATTTATTGCAGAAAAATTAAGAAGATTTTCTTTCATTATTTAAACTTGTTTTATAGTTCTTTTGATCTTGGCTCCTAGCTAAAAGAGACAAAATCTTCAGCCATTTTTTGTTGATATTTTTAGAGTTTAATAATAATAATGAAGATCAATAACAATATCAATGTTTTCTAAAAATTGAACAAATTACTAAAAGTACTTTAGATATTTTGAATTACTTGAGATTGGATTATATAATTTAAACTAGAAAAGAAATACTACATATTGGGTTTGAAATAGAATTTGAGGATTCAGATTATTATTTACTATTCAGAACATCAGTTGTTATAAATATTTGATTTGTTCAATATTAATTTTATATTGAATGCTACATATTTCCATAATTTAATATTCATTGAGGATTTATAATCAAAATTTATAAGCAACTGTTGTTTCTAACATAATTAAAACATCAATATTAGTGAGTTCAAGCTTAAATTAATTTAATGACTTGAAAATTAAATGAAAAATATATTTTGTAGAACAATCTCCTTTTTTTCATTTTACTTTATTATCATAAATTATGTAGAGTTTCGTCAAATTATATAACTCATAATAATTTATTTTATAAATGAAGTTATAATCTTATATTGAAAGTTGCTCAATATTTATGATCTTAATTATCAAAGTTAAATTGCTATTCTGGAAAAATAATAGCTAGTTAAAATCTTTTACGGCATTTCAAATGAGATTTTATGAAAATTATGCATTCATTGATCATATAGGAAATTTTGATTATTGAAAATCTCCTTACAACTTCTTTGAATTGATTTGCATTATTCTTATACTTTAGATACTAGTCAAAGTTGATTTATGGGCTACTACTTCTAATTGAGTTATCCTATTATATATTAGGAATCCAATTTATTTTCTTGGTTGTATGAGTTTAATATTTTATAAAAATTAATCACCTATTATCTAAAAATAAAGAAACTGAAAATAAGCAATAATAATTATATGGAGGATTGGATAATTCAAAATTAACATCCATTATCATGAATCTGGAATTTCATTAAATCTAGCAGCTGACCTTGACCCTAATTGTTTTCTTGCTAGCTCGTTGTAATCATGCTGTTGAATTTCTAATGTAAATTTATAAATCACTTGGTCTAAGCAATTATTTATATGCTTGATTTCTCTAATCATCAGGTACCCATTATATGTAGCTTAGGCAGTCTACAATCTGTTCAGTAGTTGCTTGAATATAATCAATTAGTACCAAATTTCTTATTGTAGTTTTTCTATTTATATTCTTTTGGTCATTTATTGAGATTTTGGTATTTGAGGCATTGACTTATTACTTTTATTTCCTTATTTTTAAATATTAACCATCTTATTTAGAAGTATGTTATTTTCATAAACTATCTTGTTCTCTTCAGCTAAAATTCAATTAAATGAAACTTATACCATTTAAATATTTATTATTACATTTTGAGAGTGAATGAGATGGTCTCCATGGTGCGGAGGTATCTATTCTGCTTTTAGTATTTGTTAATTTTAGATAACAATTTTTCTTAATCATTTACTATTTTCTTTCTTTAACAGATAGGATTTATTGAAATAAGGTTCCATAAATTTAATTAATTTTCAATAGTTAATGAAAATACTGCATTTAAATCTGTTTAAAACCATAAATAAGTGAACCTAAAATAATCTAGCATTCAAAATAATATCACTCAAAGCCGTCCTCTTTATCAATAGAATAGATTTTTGTTAGATTTTAAGTCTTAATACTATTTTCAAAATTTAAAGATATTTTTGAGAATATTTACGACAACTCATATTTATAAAAGGTCTAATCTTGGGAAGAGTAATTAAATAAAAATGTATTAGCATAATATAATAAAATATTCTATTTATTGAAATAAAAAGACTTAAAATCTTCTTGACAAAATCACTCAAGTTTGAAGTGTTAGAAAAGTAATAAGATAGTATAAATAATGATGCATTAAAATTTAATATGTTTGTTCTGAATGTCGATAATTTCAAAAAGTATGAATGCTCTTTAGTTGTTTGATTCAATTATTCTCCAAAAGTTTAATTTCAATCTAGCAGAGAAAACAAATTCTTACTTATTTCTTATTATTTTGCAATAAACATTAATTATGAATATGATAGAAACTTAAAACTTTTCGATTTTGCTTAATACGATAATATAATAAGTGTCTATATAAGTAAATCAATTAACGAACTTTTTCTTTTTGAACATAGTTGACAAACTCTAATGATTGATACTCTAAGAGATATCTTGCAAAGACTTTCTATAAGCAGGTCTAATATCTAGTTTAGATGGTCTCAAATTTTTGTATGATTTTTAACTGCATAACGACGTTGCATCGGAATGGTTATCGAATATTGTTAATAAGGCTTCTTCGTAGGGTTCAAGAAGATTCATAATTTGATTATTCTTTGTTATTAGTAGATCTTAAAGGGGTTATTCATAAATTACCTTTTAGTTCTCCTCTTTGTTCTTCATTAATTTATTCAGACTTATATAGACGGTAAATAGCAAACAATATTTTTGATTCATATTCGTTAGACATATAAATTATTATTCATTTTATATTAAATGAGTAGAGATAGAGGGGGTGTATTATTATAAAAATTAAATTAATTAAGTTCTTTATTTTATTAATAAAGGCTAATAGAGAGATGAAAGTACTAAAATTGATGAAAAATGAAGTGTATTCCATTGTGCTGCACTATTTTGGAAGTATTTTAGCCATTTTTTATGTAGAACAACCAATGAAAAGTTAGATACACAATTATCCTTAATCAGCCAATCAGATTAAAGAATTTTCTTTAAAAATAGCGCTTGGGTTTTCAGTTTAAAATATTAATTAAAATGGGCCCAACAAAATCACCAAAAGCTGAAGCAAAAAAAACAGTTAAGACAGTTAAAACTAAAAAACCCACAGATGAAAAGAAGAAGGCAAGAAGAAGATAAGAAACATTTGCTTTATATATCTACAAAGTCTTGAGATAAGTTCACCCAGAAATTGGTGTTTCTAGAAAGGCCATGAACATCATGAATTCATTCATCAATGATATTTTCGACAGAATTGCTCTTGAAGCCAGCAAATTAGTCAGATTTAACAAGAGAAGAACTCTTAGTTCAAGGGAAATCTAAACTGCTGTCAAATTGTTACTCCCAGGAGAATTGGCCAGACATGCCATCTCAGAAGGAACCAAAGCAGTCACCAAATATACAAGTGGATGATTTTTTAATTTTTAATTAAGTTCAAATATATTGTAAAAGTGACTCTTCCTACTCTTATTATTCCTTAAATAGATTACATTGTTAAACTAAGAATATCTTATAACTCTATCCCTTTCCATGTTTTTATTTTCTTCTTCTTTTTATATAATTCTTGGTTTTAGAAAATTTAATTATTAATTTTTCTTTAGTTCTACCTCTAAAGAATGAGCTCTTTTGAGTTATTATATGAAATAATGTTATTTTATAGTGTAGCTAATGATAGTTGATATACTCCAAAATTTATTATGTTTATCATAATATTTAGGAACACAGAAATATTTTTATAAATTAATTATTATAATGAACCAAGAAAATGCTAAATTAAAAAAAACTAAAGATTCTATTTTAATCAAAAAAAATGGGAAATACTCAGAAGAAGTAAGGGAATTGGCTAGAAAAAGGTAATTAACAAAAATAAACAATAAAGAGCTATATATATATTAGTAATTGAATGTGGAATATTAATTACTTATTTGATTTTTCTTATTGCTTACTCAATTTAGGATAAATTTAAGATGCTATTTTTAATCATATAGATAGGAGTTGTATTGATTCTTTATTTTAATTAAGGTTTTCTTCTAAATTCTTTCAATTTGTTTCTCTGTTCACTCATTAATTTTTTTCAAAGAATACATAATATCCAAAAGTTCTAACTTGTAAAATGTATATTTTATTATTTATAGGAGTGTTCTTTTATATTGTTTGATGATTGCTCCATTGGTTTTGATGTACTTAGAGGTTGAGTAGTTTATCCTTCCGATAATTTTATAAATAATCTTTTTGCTGGTTAATATAATACTATGTATTTTGGATTAGTATTTAATAAGAAAATTTGTAATTGATTTTTTGAAATCAAAATAAAGATATAATTTATAAGCTGGTAAATATTTTAATCCTTATATTAAGCCCTGCATAACCAAAAAAGTTTTGATGATTATTTAATAAAAAGTATCATGAGTAAGTCAGAAGAAAATCCATTATGAGTTTATTCAATAATAGCAGAATGATTTTAATAAAAACTATAAAATTTATAATTGAAAATATTATTTTTTTAAAGTCTTACTACTTTGTAACTTGATTTACTTTTGAGTAATTAAATTACAATTTTACAATATAATTTTAGTTCATCTTGGTTCCTATCATTTCAAACATATTATATTTAATAATTATAAAAATTTTGGTAAAAATAAAAGGACAAGAAATAAGTCAAAGACTACTTAAAGGAGTATCATTTTGCAAATTCGAAATGCGTGTAATTATGATGAGATATCTTCTTTTGAAGATCTGTAGATTTAAATAATTATTACTCAAATCATTAAATACGAAATTGAAAAATTCTATTAAATTAATCTGTTTTCCAATGGTATTTTCATAACAAACTATGATGATATTCATTATTTAGATAAAACCAAACACTAGATGATAAGATTGCATTCGAATTATTTGTATTGAAGAATTAGATTCAACGTTAACTGCAATATTTAAATGGTTTGAATAAAGAAATAGTTCTTGAAATTGTCTGGAAATTCATTCATGCTTTTAATGAAAGTTAAAGAATGGAAAGCAACTAGTTTAAAATTTATTGTAGCTAATATATATTCTAAGGAAGTTATAATTTTTTGTTACTTTATTATCTGTGTTTTAATTAGATAACAAAGAGAGTGAAATTAAAATGAAAAAATTAGATTTCATGTAATAGACACTATTATTTTAATAATTGAAATTATTCATTTAGGTTATTTCTATTATTACTTCAAGAAGTAAACAAGTTAAAGAAAACAGTATTTAATGAGGAAAATCACGACCACCCTTAGCCAGATGTAGAATTAGATAAATTTTCATGTAATAAAGGGGTTATTAGTAAATGTAATTAACAGGCATCCATTGAAATCTTCCTGTATTTGAATTCGAATTTTAAATGAACTGCAAATGTTTATGATAAGATTTAATGAAACCTAGTAGTTCAAAAATGGAAAAAATTGAGGATTTTATGGGTATAAAACATATTCACTACTCGTTTGCACGAAGCTTCAATAAAATAAAAGTGCAACAATAGATAAAATTGAATAAATTTCATGCTTATCACTTACCTGACAATTATACCAAATCACTTTTCATAAACAAGTTCAAATTAAAAAAATATTTAATTCTTTAATTCTAAATTCAACAAATTATACATGGGTTGTAATTCCCAAAAGTAGAGCAAATCTGAGAAGCATCAAGAGAAAGGCAATGAAAAATAAAACTTGCCTAGTATTCATGAAGTAACTTAAACAAAGCCGAAGGAAATTTCAAAAGAATTCACTAAAGAAAAATAGAATTTGAATTCATAACCTTAGGCATAATAAAAGGTAGCAGAATTATTTGAATTGGAAAATTAATAGATTTACAGAAATAAAAAGTTTCAATCAGACTATTTTATATTAGAAGAGAAGGCATCCATGTAAAGCAATGAGGGTAAACTTTTCATTGTTGAACATAAAGTTACTGGGTAAAAAAGAATTGCTAAAATAATAAAAAATGTTTTAACTGATAACCAACTCTTAGAATATATTCAATATATTTAATCGATAAAAAAATTAGTATTTAACATGATTATATAAGGATCATCCAAATATTATAAAGTTATTTGATGTCTATAATGATGAACATCATATATATTTGGTCAAAGAATATTGTGAAGGTGGTAATTTAATTTAAAGATTGCAGAATGAAGAATCAAATCTAAATAAGACACATATTGCATTTACGATTCAGTAAATGTTGTCAGCAGTATATTTCATCCATGCTCAAAATTTAGTCCACAAAAATATATAGACTAAAAATATTTTCATGGCCGAAAAGTAAACATACTTATCCAAAATAAGTGGCCATGAAGAAATTTTTTATAATTATCAGGATTTAAACACTGAAATCAGCTATAGAGCACCTGAAACATTCACTGAACGATACAAATGGAAAGCTTCAGCAGATATTTGGTCAATTGGAGTTGTTTTATATGAATTACTACTTGGAGTACATCCATTTAAAGAAAAGCATAAGAATTTAACTTTCTAAAATATTAAGGAGAATAAATTGAAAAATGATGCAGAATATAAATAATTAGAATAAGAAGCGAAATCACTATTGATTTCAATGTTGAATTAAAATGAAAGTGCTAGACCATCTGCCAAAGAATGCCTTCAACATAGTTTTTTTAAAACTATACATTAATCTTCATTGAAAGTAACAGGTGCTTTATTAAGGGCAAAAAATTTTCAAAGAAAAAATGAATTAAAGATGATTTTACTTAACTTAATGGTTGAATATTTGTTACCTAAGGAAGAAAGAGATAGACTTGCAAATTCATTTAACAAAATGGACACTGATTTTGATGGAAGGATTTCAAAAAAAGAATTAATTAAATTATACTAAGAAAACTTAAGTGATGATAACATAAAGAAGAGAGAAGTTGAGGGAATATTTAAAAAATTAGATTTAAATGAAGACTCATATTTAGGATTCAATGAATTTTTGATTGCTACTTGTGATAAAAAGAACTTATTAAGTGAAGAAAATCTAAGGATATTTTTTAATAAATTAGACAAAGATAGTAATCGTCAAATTTCAGCCAATGAACTTAAAGTATATTTTGTAAAAACTAAACTTACTGACGCTGAATGGTTGGAATTAATGAAATTAGGTGATTCGAATTAAGAGTAAAATAATAAATTATCTTTTGATGAGTTAAAGGAGGTATTAAAAGAAAGTGAATGAAGTAATTAAACCAAAAATTACTATTTTTAATAATCATTATTGTATTATTCTGTTATTATTGATTAACTTTTCTTTTAGTTAAATCTTACAAAATAAAACTTATAAAACAGGTAGTTTAACTTTCTTTGAGGCGCAAGTATTAATGTTACATAGATATTCAATCAAGTAGAAAGATGATAGCAATACTGGAGGAGAACAATGTATTTTTAAAATGTATTATTAGCAATGAACTCAAGATAGAAATCAATTTAATTGAATCATTCTTTCTAATATGTGTATGTGGATGTAATTCATTCATTTAAGTGGAAGCAGATATGAACAATCATGCAGCTCAAGTGTGAATCTCGATCAACCCAAATACCGTTTCAAATATTAAATTATTGATTTTTATAAAGTTATTTTCTACTTGAAGGCGCAAGTTTAAGAAATTAAGTCCATAATAAACATTTATAGAATTTAATTCTTTCCCTTATAACTCTCAGGTTTGATAATGTTAATTCATCACAAAAAATAACAGAAATTAACGACTGATTTAATCTTGAAGAGTGAAATTAATAAATCATCTTGATTATAATTCAATCAGAGCATTAGTAGAATCAGCTATCATCAATTGGTTTGTTCATTTAATCCAAAAATAAGTAGAGCAAGACAGATATTACATAGAATTTTGAAATTCATAGAAGTGTAATTGTTTAGTTATACTGAAATAGAATCATAAATAAGATTGGATGTCTTAATTTTTCATTGTTTTTGTAAGATAAAATTATAAGGAATTTTTTTTTTAATTAACCGATATACAAAATGAACAGAATGTGGATTTCGAATTTTAGAAAAATACAACTAAATTATTATCACTGATTTATATTGTTTGAGTAAGTTAAACTTGAAATAATACATGATATACATACATTTAGATTTCAGATGAAAGCATCCTCAAAACAAGTGGTAATTTAGAAATTATTTATAGGAGTAAGAGCGTCCACACATTTGCAATATTCAGTTTCTAAAATGAAACATTTAAGCGAAGAAGTTTAAAAATAGTAGAATTCATGATGCATGGTATAGAGAAGCGTTAACCAGGTGTAAATAGTTTGATCTTCTCATTTAAATTTGAATGGTTTGACCTTTTTTTTGATGGATATAGCACATGAGTGCTTTACACTTAATTACATATAATTTATTGTTAGAGGAAGATAATAAAATACAAGTTTTTAAGATAATTTTTCAGACAATTATTCATGTATACATTAAAAAATAGAGGGGACATAGGAGAGCATTAGGGGACTCCATTTTTATAATGAAATTTTTCTTTACATATTGTGGGGATGTATAATATCCTACTGTGTATTGCTTGTAAAAATCTTATTTCTTCTTCAGGTAAAATGTTATTCATTGACAATAATTAATAAAATCGATATCTGTCATTGGTGTTATATGCGCTGGAAAAGTCAACAAAGATAATGACTTTTTGACCTTTTTTGTGTAATTTTTTTTTAATATATCCTTAATTATCAACAAATTAGTTTAAGTGCCGTACCCTTTTATGAAACCAGTTTAATCTATATATCATATAATCCATTAATTATTAATAGAATTTGAGCTCTATAAATTTAAAGAGAGGACTTAGTATCACTAGATGGTCGAAATTATTCTTTTGTCGGAATTTTTGGATGAACATTGTTTAGGGGAATTGGTCTTACCCATCCTATCTTTTTGTTAACATCAAAAGTCTTAGGTCCCCAGACATCTTTTAAAAGGTTCCATTTATCAACTAATGAGTTATGCAATTGTATGATAATGCTTTTGTCAAAAGCTATTTATTTCTGTAAACCTAAAATCTGATTTTATGTTAAAGGTTGGAGCTTGGAAATAGTTAGAGGTTCATATTTTATTAGTTTTGAATATTTCCTAATTGCTCGAAGCAATTAGAAAATACTTTAAGCCAGTGATCAGTTCTTAACTTTCGTTTATAAAGCAATTGTAGAATCCCCCATCTCTTTTTTCTTTATTTGTTATGATCGTATCTTCAATAATTTAAAAGGAATTTCTATTTTGTACAAATAGATTTCTGAATTAATCCTGGAGCGAGATGGTTTTATGAAGTTGTTTTATTTACTGTAGTCTGACTCTTTTTTTATTTATTATCTTCTTTTTATATATCTTCTTTAAGTAGTAATTGTAAAATGAATCAAAGTCTTCATGTAAATTCTATACTTTTTAAGATTCTGTTAATGATTTTTGTTTTTCAAAATATTATTTCAGTAATTAAAATTAATTAACTTTTATTTCGAAGGGAGTCCCCTGGATAAAAGTTAATTCTTGGGACATGAAATCGTGGTGGTCCTGGACAGCGCTGACGGCTCCTTCATGCATTGCCCAAAGCCCCTATAACGGCGATAATATCAATGGAACCGAAAGTCGAGGCTTATCCTAGTGGCACATGGGGATCCGCAGCTCGAGATAAGTACAGCCTAGGCGCAGGTTAGTCGATTTTCGATCTGTCTTTTTCTCTCTGATTGAAAATATTTTCGTTATTATTATTATTTCAGTGTCGATTCTCTTTTGCTTTTTCTCTATATATATATAATAATAATGGATATTGATTTATGCGTCATTTCAGCCATTGATTATTATCTCCCATTTCAAAGGGTATTCAACTTCTCCAATTTTCCACAATACAGTTTAGCTCCAAATTAAGTCTCCATTCTTACTACTAGTATGCAGGGAATGTTGTGTTCCTTATAGAATACCTAGATATCTGATCCAATATACAAAAAGTCAATTACTGATGGAAGCCCCTTTACTTAATCCTCTATTGGTTTCAATTTCCCATCAGCTTCAACTAACCCTTGCTTCTCAATAAAATTTTCTTTATCTCTTCTGAACATTACTTCTCTTTTTTATAAATAATGCTACTCCGAAGACAGTTTCGATCTCTCGATAAAGTCCCAGTTCAATTTAATATACAGTTTCAGGTAATTACTACAGCCAAACTCTTGGAAAAATATTTCCAGGAATGAATTCAAGCTCCCTTCCCTATTCTCCTAGGTTCTAACTCATGTGATTGAAAACATTTTCCACTCCTCCTATCTCAATCACTTCCTTTTCTACCTCACTCCTTTGTTTTACCACTATCCCGCCTTGGGGTTAATCTTCATCTTTCTAAACATTTGTAACTCCTGACTGATTCGGCATCAGACATCCGTTCCTCAATTATAGGAATTTCATTAGCTTTGGCATCTTTCATATGATTCTCCATTCGATTGGCTTCTTGACTTGACTTTCTACAGCCTATCTTATTTCCTCACTCCCTTCTAAAGTAATCTTCTTTTCTTTTAGCGACGTATTAATGTTCTGCCAGTTAGAGTAAGAGATAACTTATTGAAGCCATCATTTACTACATAAAGTAGAAATTGAAAAGTTGGAAAAATTTATCAGAGCATAGTTTATTTTTAAGATGATAATATCTCTCAGAATAACTAAAGCGATATTGAAATCAGTAGGAGTAGTGCGTGAAATAAAGTGTAATAAACCATTACACACAAGAAAAGCATCTGAACATATAAGGGTTAAACAATAATACAATATCTATTTGAACCCAGGATGAACAAAGTTTTCAAGTTTCATTAAGAGGAGCCATCAGTAAACGATGATTAAGATTAAAGTTATACATCCGCCTCTATTTAATTAGTAAATATTCTCAGGTTTAGAATTTGATGTAAGGAATTTGAGAGATGCTTAAAAACACAAACTTTACAAGTTGTAAGTTAGGTCTGTTCACTATTACCTCACAATTACACAAGAAGTCTATTAATAGAATTGCAAGTACCTATGATATATAGGTGAAGCTATCAAAAGATTTATGGTTAAGAAAATTCTTAACAAACATATGAACTTTAATATAACCATTTTATGAGGAGCCAAATTTATCTTGTAAATCTAAAATAAGGAGATGGACTGTAAGTGTAAGATCGACTCAAAAAATGATATAAGCAGTGCAGTAAAAAAAATGAATTATTTTTGTTCCGAATGATAAGGCTCCCCTTGATATATATAATTACAAATTCAAGCATTTTGAATATATTATGCAATAAGCGAATGCTACTCATGTAAAAAGAATTCTGGGAATAAGGAAACCATTTATCATATCGATTATTAATGCATCTCTTACAGAATATATCACAAGTTGATAAACATTCTCTTTAGTATAACAAAGAGCACAAAATCTAGAGTTTCCCAGTACTCCTTACGATAAGAGTTCAAAGCATTACAAGTGATAGGAGGGAGCCTACATCAAATGCTCAACAGTAGAAATCTCATCACAAATTAGCGGTGCATCCATCTGAAGATGTAAAGTGTGCATAATATATATAGCTACTTCTAGAAAAAGATAAATGAGCAAACTATGTTCTTTTAGAAAGTAGTCCATCCAGTAAATAATTAAGTGTATTAATAAAAGCACCTTGATTCAGAATTAATTCTAAATATGCATCATGCGCGAGGCTTTATCAATAAATTATTTTTTTCAGGTATAGCACAATATGAACAATTCTTATTTAATGCTATATAATTTATTAAACTCAATCTGCTTAACGTTAATGGCTCTAGTCTTCAGCACATGAAATTTTTCTAACAAACATCAAATGAATTGTAAAGCTTTTGCCAAGGTCACATCAAATAATCGATGGTTGATTCATGTTTATCCATATGCAAATTTTATTTTAGATGCAGCTATGATTCAAAAGCATGCTTTTAATCAAAGATTTTGTTGGGCAAATGAGAAATGTAATATGTTTAGCCTTTTCATGTATTTCATCCTGTGTTACTAAATTTTTAATAGGCTCTGTAGAGGGTTTGGTATATTCAGTAGCTGAAGTCAAACAAGAAAGACAAAAAAAGTTTAAAACTTAATAATTGATAATTGCTATTCTTCAAAGTATCAAAGAGCAAAAATTGTGCAAATGCCTTGGTTTAGTGGAAAGATGGACGAGGTGAAAATTGCACTACATTCCAGAAGAAATTGAAGTGAATATTGTACCAATTTTAATACTTCATTTACACCACTACCATATATAAATCGTGTGCAGGCTCTAAAACATTGAATAACTTTCCTACCATCCGAAAAGTATCTATTAATTCACCCCATAACAAGTCAGTTAAGGCACATGCCGATCTTCATTTGGAACGATCGTTTTATTTAAGAATTAATTATACATTTCATAACATCGTTTGTTAAACCTTTTCAGAATCTGTGAATAGATTTCAAACTTCATATAAACAGCAGAATTTTGCAAGTCCTTACAACTTAAGCATGGCATTTATGTCCACCGGTAAAATATTTAATCTAAAACAATCTATAATTGGACATTTTGGAATCCTGGTTGACATATCTAAAATATATTTTATTTTAAATATAATCAAAAAATAGCATCATTTAGTTCAAAATTTAGGGGTACCATCATTTTTTAATTCTAGAAATATAATTCCATGACAGCCCAAGGTGCATCTAATGTGGAATATTTAATGCAAGCATCAGAATTTTTGAAAGGATCATGAATTAGATATACATATTTTCTAAAAAGAATATTACAAATTTAACCATGTAGTATAATTGTTAGTCACTCAGCATTTCCACACGTTTTTGAATAGGTTCTTAATCATCTGCGTAAATATTAATCAATAAGTTTATAATTTGAAATGATTATTTTATTTTGATAATATGTGTATCAAATTAATAAAATCTTAAACAAATGTATTTCAAAGGATCTAATTATTCTTATTCAATTATTATTTATAAAAGTTGAATTAAATGGGATCTAAAGCCCTGCAAGAAATTTGATATTTAAATGAGTTTTGGAATCTGAACAATTCCACAAGCATTCAAATTTGAATGATACCAATCAGAACATAAAGAATTATCAGAATATTAGGTATTAGGCATTATTAATGATGGAAGTTTGTATGAATTCTATAAATATTGTTCAACTTTGTAACAATTAAAATATTACATATTCTATGATATCTTACTACATGCAAGTATATAATTATGATACAAACTTGACAATAAGTGGACTTAGAGAAAAATCGGTTGCAAAATTTGGATATTTCATACTAACATAGATAAAATTTTAGTGTTTATCATTTTATAGAGAGTTAAATCCAGCATTTAAAAAGAACAAGAACTATCTTTGAATTTTTACAATATAAAATATATTGAGGTTAATGTTGAAACAGTCCATCATAAATGGTATTAATTTGTATCACAAATACATTGCAACAGTCTCATTTATCACTTAAATATCGAGAAATATTGATACAAATAGAAATAGAACCTAGCAACTTCTAGAATTTATCAGTATAAACAAGCATGCTTCTGGATCATATTTACTTTCTATTGTTATAATTTCAAAAGAGCAAAATCGCAATAAGGTTGGCTATAATTTTTACAAATACTAAATGGAAAAGCACAAACTCACTATATAATATCTCATTAAGACATACCTAGTCCTATAATTACTACAATTTAGACTCACAATGCAGCAACTATTATAATATTCACTAGCGTTATCAGAACAATTATCAAAGGCAGTTAATTTATAATAAGAGAATTGAAATACCATGAGTGCATAATTTTTAATAGGCAATCTTTATAGTTCTATAGAATTTTATCTTTAAATATAACTTTTCAATTTACTTGTATTTAAGCCTATTTGGCAAAATAGTTGGAGCAAATACCCAGCTTTAGCTGTAGTATAAAGTCCTACCACTTAAATATATATAATAGTATTGCCTGAGTTACAGGAAGTTGAAGTGGCATAATAATGACAAAATATGTGGCTTCAAACAACTATTGCAATCTTGTATTATGACTAGAGAACATTAAGTAATTTCCTTTTTGAGTAATAAGCCCTTTGTTACAGAAGAAATACAGAAATTAAATTTTTAGCTGAAAGACAAGGTAGGGAATATGCTCTTTAACATTTAGAACAACGGAGAGTAGTATTAAAAATTAATATATTGACATTTGCTACAATCCTACACGATACGATACAGTATAGAATAGAAACCTAAATTTTAACATTAATTTTGTTTAATAATGGCTGAATTTTATGAAATCTAGTTTGGAAAACATATAATTCATAAAAATTGGCATTTTTTAGCATTTGAAACAAAAATTGGATGGAATAATATTTGGCGATCATTTGAACTTCTTTTACAATGAGCAGGTGATGTTCCTTATAAATTAAATCCACAAAAAAAAGATAATTTATCAAATCCATTCTCATTACTTGGCTATCACAAAGTCTAGTTAGGCAAGTGGTTGATTTCTAGTGTATACTACTTACAGTTTAACAAGGAGATTATAAAATTTGAAAGACTTAGTTCTTTTTAATTATCTTTATGTTAATAATTTTTAATAAACAACCCTCCAATCAGGTGAATAATTTATTAAAATAGAAACAATAAAACTTTAAAGTATATTTATATCTATTACGAATCCAATAGTTGTTAACATAAAATAAAGTATCACCATACAATATATTATTATGAATTTCCATGACACAGCAAATCAATTAATGGGATTACAACTAGTTTTATAATCAAATGATTTTCTTTTAGAGAATTTCTAATACTTCAAATTATTCTTGACTCAAATAAATGCCAAAAATTTGGCAAATTTTATCAATGCAAACCCTGGGGGTTCTTTTTCATATTTTAAAAATAATCTATATTTCTCACTCAAACATCATTAAGTAAATGATAACAGTAAGTATTAATAAGAATTGAAATTACATTTTGAAGTAGATAATCTTTTGCATCTCATTTTCAACTCCCCAAATTGATTATAATAAAGTAGTTAACAGAGAATAGATGCATCAGATGTGAT